AAATCCCTATTAGGTTGCATGATTACACTGAAGTCCTTGAAACTGCTGAAGTCCTTGAAACTGCTGAAGTCCTTGAAACTGCTGAAGTCCTTGAAACTGTTGAAGTCCTTGAAACTCTTGAAATCTTGAAACTGCTGAAATCCTTGAAACTGTTGAATCCTTGAAACTGTTGAATCATTGAAACTGTAGAAATGTCTGAAAGAGCTGAAGTCCTATTAAAATGCATGGGCCTATTAAAATGCATTGCAGAATTCTCAATGCAGATTTTTGTCCGATTGCGGAAAAACCGGAAATCGCTGAAGTCCCAAAAGTAATAGCAATAATCTCCCAAACATGTGGAACGTTTTGATGTATAACTTGTGGAAATTGTTGAAAATGTGAAAGCTGTGAAACGTGTCAAAAAAAATGACGGAATAAAGAAATACAAAACCAATGGTTGACTGCGGAAGGTTCCGCAGTCAATCAATTATGTCAAAACATTGAAAAAACATGTAAAATCTATCATAACAATGTATAACACTATATTCATACATATAATGGATAAGTAATTAACTCAAAAGGGAATCATTCACGATACTGTGTTAAATTCTAAACCCTTTGGAAAGCTACCTGAAAGGGGCTTGCGAGCGCTGGTAGCTCCCGAGCGTTATCTAGTCTCTTGCTGTCTCTGGTCTCTTTTTTCACATTAATTGATTGACTGCGGAACCTTCCGCAGTCAACCATTGGTTTTGTATTTCTTTATTCCGTCATTTTTTTTGACACGTTTCACAGCTTTCACATTTTCAACAATTTCCACAAGTTATACATCAAAACGTTCCACATGTTTGGGAGATTATTGCTATTACTTTTGGGACTTCAGCGATTTCCGGTTTTTCCGCAATCGGACAAAAATCTGCATTGAGAATTCTGCAATGCATTTTAATAGGCCCATGCATTTTAATAGGACTTCAGCTCTTTCAGACATTTCTACAGTTTCAATGATTCAACAGTTTCAAGGATTCAACAGTTTCAAGGATTTCAGCAGTTTCAAGATTTCAAGAGTTTCAAGGACTTCAACAGTTTCAAGGACTTCAGCAGTTTCAAGGACTTCAGCAGTTTCAAGGACTTCAGCAGTTTCAAGGACTTCAGTGTAATCATGCAACCTAATAGGGATTTTTCCATGTAAACCAGTATAATGCAACTTAATAGGGATTTTTCTTAATAAGGTTTTTTAATGTAAACCAGTATAATGCAACTTAATAGGGTTTTTTTTCATGTAAACCAGTATAATGCAACTTAATGGGGATTTTTCCATGTAAACCAGTATAATGCAACTTAATAGGGGTTTTTACATGTAAACCAGTATAATGCAACTTAATAGGGTTTTTTCCATGTAAACCAGTATAATGCAACTTAATAGGGTTTTTTCCATGTAAACCAGTATAATGCAACTTAATAGGGTTTTTTCCATGTAAACCAGTACAATGCAACTTAATAGGGATTTTTCCATGTAAACCAGTATAATGCAACTTAATAGGGTTTTTTACATGTAAACCAGTATAATGCAACTTAATGGGGATTTTTCCATGTAAACCAGTATTATGCAACTTAATAGGGATTTTTCCATGTAAACCAGTATAATGCAACTTAATAGGGTTTTTTCATGTAAACCAGTATAATGCAACTTAATAGGGTTTTTTTTCATGTAAACCAGTATAATGCAACTTAATGGGGATTTTTCCATGTAAACCAGTATAATGCAACTTAATAGGGGTTTTTACATGTAAACCAGTATAATGCAACTTAATAGGGTTTTTTCCATGTAAACCAGTATAATGCAACTTAATAGGGTTTTTTCCATGTAAACCAGTATAATGCAACTTAATAGGGTTTTTTCCATGTAAACCAGTACAATGCAACTTAATAGGGATTTTTCCATGTAAACCAGTATAATGCAACTTAATAGGGTTTTTTACATGTAAACCAGTATAATGCAACTTAATGGGGATTTTTCCATGTAAACCAGTATTATGCAACTTAATAGGGATTTTTCCATGTAAACCAGTATAATGCAACTTAATAGGGATTTTTCCTTGTAAACCAGTATAATGCAACTTAATAGGGTTTTTTTCATGTAAACCAGTATAATGCAACTTAATGGGGATTTTTCCATGTAAACCAGTATTATGCAACTTAATAGGGATTTTTCCATGTAAACCAGTATAATGCAACTTAATAGGGTTTTTACATGTAAACCAGTATAATGGAACTTAATAGGGGTTTTTACATGTAAACCAGTATAATGGAACTTAATAGGGGTTTTTACATGTAAACCAGTATAATGCAACTTAATAAGGATTTTTACATGTAAACCACTATAATGTAACCTAATAGGGGTTTTTACATGTAAACCAGTATAAAGCAACTTAATAGGGATTTGTACATGTAAACCAGTATAATGCAACCTAATAGGGATTTTTCCATGTAAACCAGTATAATGCAACTTAATAGAGATTTTTCCATGTAAACCAGTATAATGCAACTTAATAGGGATTTTTCCATGTAAACCAGTATAATGCAACCTAATAGGGATTTTTCCATGTAAACCAGTATAATGCAACCTAATAGGGATTTTTCCATGTAAACCAGTATAATGCAACCTAATAGGTTGCATTATACCACCAGACCAAGACCCAAACGAAGACTCAGACCACCACCAGATAATGACCACAGACCAGGTTTCCTTAGTTACAGGAACCAAATTGTTTCAGCGGTGAGGGGATTTTTCAGTTTCAAGGACACTTTCAATACATTCAGTAGTTTCAAGGATTTCAACTGTTTAAGAATTTAACCAGTTTCAAGGATATCAGGAGGTTCAAGGATTTCAGGAGTTTCCACACTTTCAACAGTTTCTAGGTTTAAAAAAAGTTTCAAGGATTTCAGGAGTTTCAATGTTTCAACAGTTTCAAGGATTTCAGGAGTTTAAAGGTTTCAACAATTTCAAGGACTTCAGGAGTTTCAAATATCTATCAAGTATTTTAACACAGTTTCAAGGCCTTTTAAAGGATTTCAAGGATTTTTTTTAGCAGATTTCCACATTAGATCTGTTCCGCAGTCAATCGCAATGGCTTCAGCCATTGCAATGGCCGTTGTGGTGTTTCCCTTTTTCCTTTTTATTAGTGATTGTTTGAACGTGTGTGAAAATAAAAATGAACAATGACTTGTGTTCACTGAGAGAAGTCAAACTTATAATAAAATAAGAAAAGACACTCCTGCCTTGTGTTCGTCCGTAATTTGGGTCATTACTGCAATATTTTGGTGCCGAGACCCGGGACAACAAAGAAAAGTCCATAGTTTGCAGAAGAGGACCGCGCGGACGAACAAAGCAAGATGGAATTGGAACGTCTGAAGAAAAAGAGAGCGTCCATCCGAACCTCCCTCAGCAAAGTGATAAGTAAAATTGATGAAGAAATGTGCAAACAAAGTCCTGATCACGCTAAACTGGAGGAAAGGCTTGAAATCATAATTGATAAAGAAAAGTGTTTAACAAAAATGGATGAAGACGTCGAAAGTGTTATTCCAGTAGAGGAATTGGAAAATGAAGTGTCAAGATCGCAGGAGTACAAAGAAGAAAACAAAGATTAAAAGAGCTCTCAGAGAACCACCAGAAAGTCCATCAATGTATGACGGAGAGCCTGTGTACCAAAATGTGAAGTTGCCCAAACTTGTGATTGACAAATTCTACGGTGATGTGAGCAAATGGAAATATTTTTGGGAACAGTTTGAGAGCGCAGTGCATAAGAATCCAAATCTAACGAAAACGGACAAATTCAGCTATTTAAGGTCATACCTGGCAGGTGCAGCTGCCAACGTCGTCGCGGGATTGTCCTTATCAGAGTCCAACTATGACAATGCCACTGAATTACTCCATAACAGATTTGGACGGAAAGATTTAATAATTAATGCCCATATGACCAAACTGCTCAATTTAAATCCTGTGAAAAATGTAAATGATGTCAAAGCACTCAGAACCCTGTACGACGACTGTGAAATACAAATCCGAAGCCTTTCATCGATGGGAGTTGTTTCTGAGGCTTACGGCAGTTTACTGTGTCCTATTTTAACAAAGTTGATCCCTGAGGAAATGATTTTAAATTTTAGTAAAGATGTTGCAAAGGACGATGTCTGGAAAATTAATGAATTGATTGAATTTTTAAAGATTGAAGTGGAAAGCCGAGAGCGCACTGCAAGCATGACAAGAGGCACACGAGAGCGCAAGGAGCTAGAAGGAGACCAACAAAGTCATTGGGAAATGCGCAAAAGATCAAATCAAATGTCAACTGCATCAGCCCTTTATTCTACACAGCAATTTCAACGCCCTTTTTATGAACGCAACCAGTGTTTCTTCTGTGATAAAAATGATCATGTGTCAAAGGAATGCAATGAAATGAGTGTGCCAGAAAAACGTGAAAAATTAAAAGGAAAAGGAAGATGCTTTATTTGTTTCGGAACAAGACATGTTGCCAAAGATTGCCGAACCAAAGGCATAGATTGTGAAAGATGTAATCGTCGTCACTTTAAATCAATGTGCACCCTCAACGACGAAAGCCGACATGAAAATGATCCAACAGACACAATTATTTCAATATCCCCGAGTGAATCAAAACGAGGAACTGTTCTGCTCCAAACCGCCACAGTGTGGATTGAAACGACTGCTAAAAGACTACTAACTCGCTGCCTGTTCGATGGAGGAAGCCAACGCAGCTTCGTGCGTAAAGACATCGCCCGTGCCCTAAACCTGCCCAAAATCGGGGAAGAAACACTGAATTTACATACATTTGGTTCTGATGGTCCCAAACAAGTGAAATGCAATGTTGTAAAAATAAAACTGAGCAACATAAGAAACGGACAAAGCATTGAAATCAGTGTGCTCGAAACCCCCCGTGTTTGCACTTCTATCATGCAAATAGTTGGAGATGAGGTGCGCGCAGAGCTGGATAAAAGAGGCATGCAGTTAGCCGATGAAGCGGTGAGTGGAATGGAGACTGAGGAACTCGGAGTGTTAATTGGAGGAGACAATTATTGGGACATTGTTTCAGGAAAAGTTGAACGACTGTCAAAGAAAATGGTTGCACTTGAAAGCAAATTCGGATGGCTCATCCAAGGCACAGTTTTGTCCAATACAGTATCATGTGAACGAGATGAAATGCAAACACTGCACGTGAGCGTGGGACTTGAAAATGAAATGAATCACACTTTACGCTCTTTTTGGGAGCTAGAATCAATCGGAATTGCCATGGAAAAGGAATCCAAAATTGATGATGATGCAATAAAAATGTTTGAAAATTCCATACAATATAAAGACGGACGTTATGAAGTGTCTTTGCCGTGGAAAATCGAAAAGAAAGAACTGTCGTCCAATTATGGAATTGCAAAGGCGCGCTTTGATCACTTGATTAAAAAATGTAGGCGCAATGTTTGTCTTTATGACGATTATAATGCAGTTATTCAAGACTATGTAAAACAAGGAATAGTAGAGCCAGTAAAAAGTGATGATAATGAGACAAATGTATATTACATGCCACATCGTGCGGTAATTAAAGAAGAGAGCGTAACTACGAGGCTTCGGGTGGTATTCGATGCCTCCTCTCATGCCCCCGAGTGCCTTTCGCTCAATGACTGCCTTTTGACAGGCCCTAATTTAAATCCTGACCTACTTGGTGTTTTGTTACAATTTAGACAAAATCCCATCGCCTTTATGGCAGACATCTCTAAAGCATTTTTGCAAATTTTGATAAATGAAAATGATAGAGATGTGTTGAGATTTCTGTGGGTAAATGATTGTCCAAATAATGTAACTGTACAGCCTTGCGTCATGCGTATGACCAGAGTCCCGTTCGGCGCATCCCCGAGTCCATTTCTGTTAGCTGCTACAATCAAACACCATCTTAAAAGGTTTGAACAAACAGATCCAAGCGTCACATCTATTTTAAATAAATCCCTATATGTTGATGATTTAATTTGTGGAGCACAAAGTGTAGCTGAAGCTCATGCTTTCTCAGTGCGCGCAAAAGACATTTTACACTCTGCTGGCATGGAACTGCGGAAATGGAGCACGAATTCTGCAGAATTAAAATACAAATGGATGGAAACAATGGACATGTCTGTAAACGAAAATGTTGAAGTCAATGGCAATGGACTAAAAGTTCTTGGACTCAGTTGGGAAACAAATGAAGATGTTTTCACGTTTGATATTAAACATGTCATGGAATTTTTACAAGAAACAAAGAACACAAAACGCGGTGTGTTGCAAGCGGCTGCGCGAATCTTTGATCCCATTGGATTCTTGTCACCTTTCGTGATCAGAGTAAAATGTTTATTTCAACAAATGTGGGAACGTGGCATAGATTGGGATGGTGATCTGCCAAATGATCTCCTGAACGCGTGGCAACAATGGTGCTTAGAACTGCCAGCCGTCAGACATTTAAAAATACCCAGATACAATATTGAAGCATTAAAACATACGAGTTTATTTGTTAAAAAAGAAGTTCATGTATTTACTGATGCAAGCGAATCTGCTTACTGTGCCGCTGCATATCTGCGCGCCATAGATGGTGATGGACAATGTTCAGTCTCTCTTATAACAGCCAAGACGCGCGTGGCCCCGTTAAAAAGGGTTACGTTGCCAAGACTTGAACTTTTAGGCGCAGTTATAGGCGCGAGGCTCAGTCATTATGTTCACTCAAAATCTGGACTTGAATATGTCACAAGTAACAATGTGGACTGACTCGATGATAACGTTGCACTGGATCAAAAGTTCTGCAAAACAATGGAAACCATTTGTTCAAAATAGAGTGCGTGAAATTCAAAGTTTAACGGAACCTTCTCTTTGGAATTTTTGCAAAGGCACTGAAAATCCCGCAGATGTCGCGACAAGAGGAATTTCTGTGAGTAAATTACTTCAAAGCGATCTCTGGTGGACCGGCCCCCATTGGCTAAAGGAACTATTTGAAAACAACAAAGACAATGGTGCAACGTTAATAAATGAAACTGATATCAACTCCGAAATGAATAAAATTGTGTGTTTGACTAGTGCTGAAGAGGAAAGTGAGTTATTGCCACTAAAAAACTACAGTGCCCTCAGTCGTGCGCTGCGCGTAACAGCATGGATAAAACGCTTCTGCCAAAATGCAAAGAGTGAAAAAACAAGTGGCCCTCTCACGGCAAGTGAATTATCCCAAGCTGAAAGTTTCTGGATTCGCAAAACTCAAGCAAAGTACTTCAAAAACGAAATGTTTTCTTTACAAAATGATAACGAATTAAGCTCACAGTCAAAACTTGTTGCATTTCGCCCGTTCTTGGACCAAGACAATTTAATGAGACTCGGAGGTAGATTGCAAATGTCAGACATGAACTTTGATCAAAAACATCCAATCATTCTGCCCTCTGATTGCGATCTCTCCAAGCTTCTTGTGAGTAAGTGTCATCGACAAGTCATGCATTCAGGACTGCAAGACACTTTAAATCAAACAAGAGAACGATTTTGGATAATAAAGGGAAGACAGCTAACAAAGAAACTAATACATGCATGTCTAATTTGCCGCAAATTCAGGACCAAACCTGGTCGACAGGTTTCAGCACCTTTGCCTGGACAGCGCATCAACGAAGCTCCTCCCTTTGAAGTTACAAGCCTCGATTTCGCTGGTCCGCTTTACACAAAATCTCAAGAAAAAGTATTTATCGCTCTTTTTACATGTGCTGTCACTCGTGCTATTCACTTAGAACTTGTATCCGATTTGACCACTGAAAAGTTTTTAATGGCTTTTAGACGTTTTGTATCAAGACGAGGATTATGTAAAACTATTTATTCTGACAACGCAAAAACTTTTAAAAGAGCAAACAAAGAACTGTCTGTATTATGGGACTCTCTTAACTCAAAACCAGTCCAAGATTTCCTTGCAGAACGGAGGGTAACGTGGAAGTTTATCGCGGAGAGGGCCGCCTGGTGGGGTGGAATGTGGGAGAGGCTTGTGCGTTCAGTTAAAACTTGCCTGAGAAAAGTTGTTGGGAGAGCCGCTTTGAAATATGAGGAGATTGAGACGCTTCTCGCGGAAGTAGAGGCTGTTATTAATTCCCGACCTCTTACATTTACTCACACTGGCAGTGAAGAACCGAGCCCTCTCACTCCCTCGCACTTTCTGGTTGGCCAGCGACTTACCACTCTTCCCGCAGCTGGAACTCTGACTCTTGTCCCTCGAATGGACGCAGACAAAATGAGGAAACGATGGAGATACAGACAAAGACTTTCAAATTTATTCTGGAATCGTTGGAGCAAAGAATATTTATTAGAATTACGCTCTGCTCATTCTTGCACCAACGCAAAGGAATTTAAAGACTTTAAAATCGGAGACGTGGTCATAGTCCACGAAGACAAATTGCCACGTCACATGTGGAAAGTGGCTCGAATCACCGGAGTTTATCTCGGGCGTGACGGCAGGGTTCGCTCTTGTTTACTTATGCTTCCCTCAAGATCAACGCTAAGGAGACCCATCCAGCTTCTCTATCCCCTTGAACTCTAACCACCAAGTGATGAGCTGACTGGAGTCGGGCTCATCGGCGGGGAGTCTGTTGCGGCTATCCAAACGCGCTGCACGCTACCATCTAGGCGCTCATAACGAGCGCACCTCACAGCAGGAGACGCGCTCCTCCCAGTCGGCCCCTTCCAATGGCCGTTGTGGGTGGTGCCCTTTTTCCTTTTTATTAGTGATTGTTTGAACGTGTGTGAAAATAAAAATGAACAATGACTTGTGTTCACTGAGAGAAGTCAAACTTATAATAAAATAAGAAAAGACACTCCTGCCTTGGGTTCGTCCGTAATTTGGGTCATTACTGCAATAGGCTCTCCCTCTGGGCTTTCTCTTCCTGGTCTCTCTCTAGTCTCCCTCTAGTCTCCCTCTGATCTCTCTCTGGTCTCTCTCTGGTCTCTCTCTGGTCTCTCTCTGGTCTCTCTTTCTGCTCTCCTTCCCTCTGGTCTCTCTCTCTCTCTCTCTCTCACTGGACTCTATCTGGTCTCTTTCTGGTCTCTCTCTGGTCTCTCTCTGGTCTCTCTCTGGTCTCTCTCTGGTCTCTCGCTGGTCCCTCTCTGGTCTCATTCTGGTCTCTCTCTGGTATCTCTCTCTGGTGTATGAACTGTGCTATACAATTAAACTTGCTGTATCAATAGCAGTTTACCGTTAACTAGGGCTGGGTATCTTTCAGGCACACTTTTGTTAGCTTTTGTATTTCTCACAGCCTCGGTTTCCTCCAGGTGCTCCGGTTTCCCCTGCCGCACACACCAGGCAAGGTAAATCTAACAGTGTGATGTGTTTGTGTGTGCAGCCTCGCAGTGAGATACCCCAGTCCTCCAGGCCACGCCCCCTCCGGCTCCCCCCTCAAGAAGAACACCAGGTAACACACGCACACACACACACACACACACACACATGGTATTTCTTCAAGGATTATACATTTGCATTTCTCCAATCCTCAAATATATAATAATGTAGAAAACTGAGTCCTGAAGAATCGTCTTGAACTTCAGATCTTCACTCTCTGGTCTCTCTCTCTGTTTTCTCTTCTCCCTCTCTCTGGTCTCTCTCTCTCTCTCTGTTTTCTCTTCTCCCTCTCTCTGGTCTCTCTATTTCCTCTCTGGTCTCTGTCTCTCTTCACCAAGGTGTAGTTCTTCCAGCAGGGGGCTCCACTGTGGCCCATGTGATATTATTAGAACTGAGATATTTACAGTAGAAACAGTCACTCTCTCAGTCTCTCTGCTCTCTTTCTTTCTTTCTTTGGTCTCTTTTTCTGGTCTCTCTTTGGTCTCTCTCTGGTCTCTCTCTGGTCTCTCTCTAGTCTCTCTCTTGTCTCTCTCTGGTCTCTTTCTAGTTTCTGTCTGGTCTCTCTGTCCTCATAATGTGGTGTTAATGATCAGAAACGAGAGCAGAAGGAGCCCAGACTCTTCTGATCACACACACACTTCGTCAACATTGATTTTGTGTCTTTGGGGACCAGAAATATGCTCCCGGCTCCAGTCACTAATGGTCCCTGCAGATGTTCAGGGGACGCACCGCAGCAAACTCAAAGTTGATAATAAAGAACCAATTTTGTAACTTTTTCTTATTGTGCTTTATGACTCTCTCTCTTTTTCTGCTCTCTCTCTAGTCTCTCTGCTCTCTCTCTGCTCTGCTCTCTGCTCTCTCTCTCTGCTCTCTCTGCTCTGCTCTCTCTGCTCTCTCTCTCTGATCTCTCTCTGCCCTTTCTCTGCTATCTCTCCTGCTCTCTCTCTGCTCTCTCGCTACTCTCTCTGCTCTCTCTCTACTCTCTCTGCTCTCTCTCTACTCTCTCTGCTCTCTCTCTCTGCTCTCTCTCTCTGCTCTCTCTCTACTCTCTCTGCTCTCTCTCTACTCTCTCTGCTCTCTCTCTCTGCTCTCTCTCTCTGATCTCTCTCTGCCCTTTCTCTGCTCTCTCTCCCGCTCTCTCTCTGCTCTCTCCGTCTGCTCTCTCCGTCTGCTCTCTCAGACTGACCTTGTCCCTGTGTTCCTCAGGTTACCGGGCCCCTCCTCCAGGGCCCCTGCTGCAGGCAGCGGGGCCCCCAGGAGCCCCTCCAACCTGAACCGCAGGAGCCTGAGCTTCAGCAGCATCGACAAGAGCAAACCGCTGCAGTTCGCCAGCGGGAACGAGCGAGGTACGACACACTGCAGCAGGAGGAGCAGGAGGAGCAGGAGGAGCAGGAGGAGCAGGGCCGAGACTTATATTGTTTTCATTATGATGGTATTGGGACCAAATTATTAGTTTTTATTGTAAGTCTGTTTCAATGTTATATATGTACATCACTTCATTTTTTGTATTCTTGAGGAAATTATCTTGATAGCATGAAAATGTTTATCATGCAACATATTACCATCAATGGTGCAATTTTTTCATAATAATCAGTTCAAAGGTCTTTCCTTTGAGTCAAAGATTACAGACACACACAGATACACACACACACACATGCACACACGCACACACACACACACACACACACACACACACACACACACACACACACACACACACACACACACACACACACACACACACACACACACACACATACTTGTTTCCATAATTCATGGGGACCAATGTTGTAATCATCTCTTGTGGGGACCACCTATTCTAGAGGTTCTACAAGTGTCAAAAAAATTAGGTAAAGTAGCCATTGGTTAGTGAGCCTAAACACACCTTCAAACCTTTGAAAAGTCAATGTACTGGTTTCCCCACGCTTTATGGGGACTTCTGGAAAAATGAGTTAACCTGTTAACAGGGGACCCCATTTGCATACATTTGCATACTTCACACTGACGTATATTTTACTAGTGGGGACATACTTTTATTTAATTTGATTATTTATTTAAATGGCAAATGTAGTAAATTCTCTAACATATTGCACTTTGGATTAGACGAAACCTTATTACAAAGATGGAGTTAAACCACAAAACATAATGCCAAGTTTCACATCTACTATAGCAGTACCTAGAATCATGCAGAATCCCTGATAGAGTGTGATTTAATAGCTGTGCAAAGGCAGAAGATCAGGCTCTCCAGAAGGTGGTAAAGACAGCAGGGAAGATTGGGACACAACTACCGGACAGGACAGGACAGGAATATGTCCCATAATCACTGGAAGTTAAGTTTTGGCTCGATCCTTTTAAATTTATATAGTGTCTGGTCTCGTTAGGCTGAAATAACTGCCAAGTTACATGATTTGCCTATTAGGACTTTGCTACTACTCAGTCAACATGTCACATGACCCCACCAAGAAATCAAACTGGTTTGACCTGCATGACACTTTTTTAATGACAAGGTCAGAGAAATTGTTTCATTGCATACAATAAAAATCTCTGCAATGACAATAACATTGTGTATAAACGTACACATGCACAGAACAGAAGGCTCAGTATTTTTTTTGTTTGTATGTACACAGGCTCCCTCAATAAGCTTTTGATAGCTTCTATGGGAGACCTGATTCATACACACATAATCTAAAGGAGGAATATAAAGGAGAACTCCCACGAGGCTAGAACTGGGTGGATATTATTCAGAATAAGAAAAAACAAAACTTTGGTTGAACAGTTTTCTTTGGATTTACCATACTATTTATCGTGCATTTTCCTTTTTAAGGCTGTAATCCTGTTGTAGACGTAAAATTTCAAGTTCTGCCAGTTTCTGTTACTGAGAGCTTCAGGTTCAGCTCTTAAACATTTCTCACAGTCTCTCTTCGTTGGTACCGTACAAGATCGGATGAACTGGATCATTTGCCTCTCTACCGCCCTAACCTCTGCTGCCTGCCAGGGTGTTTTTTTCTGTGGAGCTTTACCTGTAAGGACACAAAAATTACAGGTTTTAGTGAAAGTAAAAAGGAGAAGCTACAGTTCCAAGTCCTGCGTCATTACATATAGTACAAGTGAAATTATGAGGCTGATCAGAGCTGATATAGGCATCTGTCCTTAGTGATTTGATCAGTGTTCAGCTCTGTCCATAAGTTTACAGCTGACATAAACCTACATCTGAAACCCTGAGGTTTCTTCAACTTTTTCCCTGTTAAAAGGGTTTTCTTGGGAGTTTTTCCACAGTCAATGTGAGGGTCTAAGGGCAGAGGATGTTGTTATATGTAAAACCCTTTGAGACAAACTGTTTGGAAAAATGGGCTACACAAATAAAATTGCCTTGCCTACCAGAGATGGAAGAAAGCACGGCAATGTTTTCCATATTTTCAAAGGTCTCCCACATATGAAATAGATTCTTGTTAGGCAAATGAAAATTTTATTTGTACTGAAATACAGTACTTTGACAAATGTACACAGTTACAGTCCATCAGTACTTGGGGCCACCAGACTGAGGGGTGAAAGACTGTAGGAGTCTTTTTTCATTTATCTCCCGTCTCCAAATCAACTGATTTTACTGCAATAATAATAATTTCAAAAATGTATTAAAAAAAATCACCTTTGGAGGAATGTGCCACAGGACTGACTCCAGAAGATGCTCCATGCTTTGCTGTTGGGCGTCTGTGTTGCTTGCCTGTTGAGTTTTCATTCCCCACAGCACCTGCAACAGTTTCCTCTGCTGATGGTTCTATGAAGTATACAGAATATATTTCATTTGTAACTAATATTCTATATCTTGTAAATGATTGAGGTTATATCTACTTCACATCATATTGTTGCATCCTACATTTACATGACAAAAGTTTGTTTCACTTGTGTCAATCAGCACCCCCAGCTTATTGATGGTCAAAGCCTGAGCACCGTCTCTTTTCATCTCTTTTATTAGCAAGTCAGTTGAATGGTGGCTAAGAGTCTTTTTTCATTTATCTCCCGTCTCCAAATCAACTGATTTCACTGCAATAATAATTTTAAAAAATCACCTTTAGAGGAATGTGCCACAGGATTGACTCCAGAAGATGCGCCATGCTTTGCTGTTGGGCGTCTGTGTTGCTTGCCTGTTGAGTTTTCATTCCCCACAGCACCTGCAACAGTTTCCTCATCTGATGGTTCTATGAAGTACATACACAATATATTTGAAATCCGTGGAACATGTGGTAATTTTAGTGCTTATGCTGATCAAAGAGGAACTATGCAAGTCAGGTCACTTTTCCTCTGTTTTGCTAAACCTCCTCCCGGCTATGTGTATTTGTTTTTAACTAAGCTGGCGAAGAATCAATCCATGGAGCGGTGGATAACGTTATAAAATGTACGATGTTTTGACGTATATTTGTGTAGTCTTAACTGCCAAACAGCGAATTATGGGTTACAGTGTGCGTTTGTGTTGCGGTGCGCAGAGATGAGAGCTGGACACCAGGGCGGCGGATGTTGCAAGGTTGGTTTTCAAGTACGAGATGTCAGGTGGAAGGCAGAGAACCTCCATTCTCACTCGTAACAAGTTATGTAGTTAACCATCAGAATTACTCCGGTGCTTTTCAATTAAGGTAAAAATGTAGCATAACCACAGGAAAAATCCTGCTTAGTTCCTTTTTAACAGTTACCAGGCTGCGATTTTATTAGAACACATTTCATAGTAAATGGTAAGACATTTAGAATAAGAATAAGAAAATGTTCTTGCATGAAGCTAAATAAACCCAACAACCTGGCTGCTCAGCAGCTGGTTAGATGTTGCATATACTGGTAGCCTTAATCATGGTGCAACACATGGGAAGTTAATGCTGCTGAAGGCTTTAAACAGAATGAAAGAACTACTACATTGAAATATTACATTGAGGATGCTTTACACTCTTAACTTTAGTACCAGTGTATGAAATGTACCTTAAAAACAACTAGAGCTGCAACTAACGATTATTTTGTAATCGATTATTTTTACGATTACAAGTAAATGTTTGTAACAGGCTCTTTGTGCTAATTCTGCTATCTGATTGGATGAGACAGACAGATATTCATGAAATTATAAAAACAAAGTCGGTTTTAATCAAAAATACTACATTTTCATGACATTTTTGCTCTGTTTGAGTCCATGTGAACCAAAAAAACAATTAATCGATTACTAAAATAGTTGTCGACTATTTCAATAATCGATTAGTCGTCGATTAATCGATTAGTTGTTTCAGCCCTAAAAACAACCATATTATTAATACGTTATATATATATTTTTTTACATGAAATTACTGAAACCTACCATCAACAGCAAATGAACGATCTCCATCCTGTCTGCATCCCTCTTCCTCATCACTACCCATAATGTTTTCTGCAGGAGACATGACAAGCTTATACATACGGTCAGACAAAAAGAAAAGACGATACATTAAATAGTGAAAATAAAATATACCGTTTGGATCTATTGTGATTTCGTCTAGGTTCTTTCCATGGAACTCTGCCAATCTCCCGCTCTCAAGAGCCAGTAAAACTTTACTGATCTTCGCGAGCTGCAGGGTCTTGTCAGGTAGTCTATAGAACTCGCGGTGAATCCTGATGTCGTGACCAAGAAAGTTGGCTAATTGATCCATGTCTGTGTCAGTCATGTTCAGCACTGTGGACAGAGTTGCTGCATGTTTTCGCAGTTTGGTTGATGACAATGCGTTTGGACACTTGGCACCACATTCCTTGGCAAAGCCACGGATGCAGTCGGAGCCACGGAGATGTGATAGAGCTGCAGGTCTGGCAAACATATAAATATTGTCTTTAAGAACCCCGCAGGCCTCTCTTTGCTGAACAAGGAGTTCCAAAGCATGGAGCATTTTCGGGGTCAGGAGAATTGGAACTGCTCTGCCTCGCTTTCCTCTCGTGACAATTCTGGAGAAATGTCTGCAGAGCTTTTTTTCGACTTCCGACAATGCCCTGTCCAAATCCTCATGATGATCAGATGTGTCCCTTGACAAAAAAGCAGACAGAGGCATGCTTGACACCTCTCCTTCTCTGCGTCTGTTGAAGAGGATAGTCTGTGCTAAACACACCTTTGCAAGGTCTATCCAGGCCTTTGTAGAGGGACTTTCAGACAGTGTGATTGTGTATTCTTTTTGCATTTCACAAAGAAACTGGTGCATTCTTTGCACATCCTCAGTAAAGGGCATTAGAGTAGGTGCATTCCACTTTGCTTCAACAATATTCCTTAGTGCTGTTGCAGAAATCAATGCGTTCCACTTCTCATTGTGCACATCTTGGAACTCAGATGCATGCTTTACAAGCTCTTGGTTGTTGGCAATTAGTCCTTGAGCTTTCAAGAGCTTGCTAACTTTTACCAAAGCATTTCCAAGTTTTGTTGCCAGTGATGGAATGGCAAATGTGTTGGTCTCGCTCTCATAGCCGCAAGTACTTTTGACAGCTTTGACCACGTCCATATAATTTGCAGGATTAATGAAATCCTCCATCTTTTTTAATGGGGTATGTTTCCTGGCATTGTCCAGCAGTCGTCCAAGTTGACGCATTTTTTCACGGATGCACTGTTGACTTTTTAATGTAATTCCACATTTATTGAGCAAGTGCTGTCCATATTCAATAATGACATGATCATTCTTAATTATTTCAGTGACAGGATCCAGATTCATGGAACTGATAAGTGCCCACAGCTGCCTGCTGATATGTGAAGGCACAGGCCCAGTGTATGTACATAGAGCCTGAACACGGTTCTTTCCAGGTTTTGTGTTGACTGGTCCAGGCTTGAGTCTACAAACTCGCATATGTCTCCATAGAACATTTCGTGTGAAAAGTCCTTGACAATATGCACAGTGCATGAAATCTCTTCCTTGTGCTTCTTTTGATGGCCGTTTACGTGAGACAAGTTCTCCCTTTCCCGACTCCATTACAGTGACATTATGGGCATAGTTGCCTTTGTTCCGGATATATTCTAGTAGTTTGTTCCTCTCTTTTGACCTTTTTGGAAAGCTGAAAGCTCTTGCCACATCCACCTTATTTTGGTGTGCATGTTCCAGATGTCTTCCAATTTTGGCATATGGTTTTCTGCAATATAAGCAATACTGTCTCTTGTCATAGATTCTCTTGCCATTTTTATTTTGGTGAGCACTAACTACTATGCTGTCATTGGTGTTGTGACTTGAGCAGGGTTGTTCGTCTACAGTGAGGTCAGAGCAGGGTTCTTCCGCTACAGAGAGGTCAGAGCAGGGTTCTTCCTCTACAGAGAGTTCAGATACAACGAAGCTGGTGTCCAGTTCAGGTGTTGTGGTGTCACATTCATTGGGCATATATGAGCCAGAGTTTCGAGAAGAAAGATGCAGGCGTGTTCTTGGGGTGACACCAATGCTAGCATCACTGTCCTCAGAGTCCGTGCAGGAATCTGGAACATACTCATCTTCACTGACTGATGTGCTGTCATAGAGTTCTGTGTCTTCTAGACATGTGTCTTTCATCTAAGAGATTTTTTTTTAAAAGACAAAAATTAAATAAGGTCATTTAGTAATTTTCTTTAAACTAAACAAAATCATGTACTTTATTAAAGTATTAACATTGCTACAATGTTGATTGGGGCACCCAATTGAGAACTTACTATAATGCTTTTTGTCCTCCTTAGTCTCGGTAAAATAATTTCACTTTCATTACAGCAGTCATGTCGAGTCTGTAAACACAAACAGCTTAAGTCATTCTAAAGAAATTCAACAAAAGAGATAGATGGATGGAGCCAAATTTGACCTGTATTGTACAAAGTATATTGATTGAAAACTAAAAGGAAATTTCAAGGAAATAAACAATGACAATATGAAGACCTTTAGTCAAAACACCAGACGTCAGCGGAGAACAAATCTCCAAATTGTACTGTAATATTTCAGTCAACCTGTGTTTGCTGTCACACATCGTCAACACAACAAGCTTAATGGGGACATTTTCACACACCATGTTTTCATCCTTCATGGGGACAAAGCATCTCTGCATTCTATTTAACACTAGCAGTAACATCAAAAGTGCACTGTGGGGACATCGTAAATGTGCCAGATTACACTTATTTTTGGGCCAAAGGAAAATATCCAGACAGGTCCACATCCATCTACAAAGTCCCTTTATCTTTTGCCTCATTGAGGCATTAGCCTTAACTGTTAGTAGACCTGATTGACAATGCATTAGCCCCACAATGAGCTCATTTGCTTTATTTAGTGCTAAAACCCAACTTACAGAGGCTGAAAAAGTAAACATCAAGTGATGAGGGTGAACGTACCTGTTGAGGAGTGTCCTGTGGAGAAGGAGCTTCTTCCATCCGTTTCTCAGACATGACAGCAGGATGGGAGCTCTTTGCAGGATGAGTATCAATGGCACACAATGTCATCTGCAATGATTTGTAAGGGAAAAAAACTATGACAATATGAAAACCTTTAGGTCAATGTAATGTCAACACTGCATAATATTCAAGCAGATAAATACATGTTCTTAAGGATCTCTAAAATTTAATACATGTCTAAACACCAGACGTCAGGGGAGAAGAAATCTCCAAATTGTACTGTAATATTTCAGTCAACCTGTGTTTGCTGTCACACATCGTCAACACAACAAGCTTAACGGGGACATTTTCACACATCATGTTTTCATCCTTCATGGGGACAAAGCATCTCTGCATTCTATTTAACACTAGCAGTAACATCAAAAGTGCACTGTGGGGACATCGTAAATGTGCCAGATGACACTGATTTTTGGGCCAAAGGAAAATATCCAGACAGGTCCACATCCATCCACAAAGTTCCTTTATCTTTTGCCTCATTGAGGCATTAGCCTTAACTGTTAGTAGACCTGATTGACAATGCATTAGCCCCACAATGAGCTCATTTGCTTTATTTAGTGCTAAAACCCAACTTACAGAGGCTGAAAAAGTAACCATCAAGTGATGAGGGTGAACGTACCTGTTGAGGAGTGTCCTGTGGAGAAGGAGCTTCTTCCATCCGTTTCTCAGACATGACAGCAGGATGGGAGCTCTTTGCAGGATGAGTATCAATGGCACACAATGTCATCTGCAATGATTTGTAAGGAAAAAAAACTATGACAATATGAAAACCTTTAGGTCAATGTAATGTCAACACTGCATAATATTCAAGCAGATAAATACATGTTCTTAAGGATCTCTAAAATTTAATACATGTCAAAACACCAGACGTCAGGGGAGAAGAAATCTCCAAATTGTACTGTAATATTTCAGTCAACCTGTGTTTGCTGTCACACATCGTCAACACAACAAGCTTAACGGGGACATTTTCACACACCATGTTTTCATCCTTCATGGGGACAAAGCATCACTGCATTCTATTTAACACTAGCAGTAACATCAAAAGTGCACTGTGGGGACATCGTAAATGTGCCAGATGACACTGATTTTTGGGCCAAAGGAAAATATCCAGACAGGTCCACATCCATCTACAAAGTCCCTTTATCTTTTGCCTCATTGAGGCATTAGCCTTAACTGTTAGTAGACCTGATTGACAATTCATTAGCCCCACAATGAGCTCATTTGCTTTATTTAGTGCTAAAACCCAACTTACAGAGGCTGAAAAAGTAAACATCAAGTGATGAGGGTGAACGTACCTGTTGAGGAGTGTCCTGTGGAGAAGGAGCTTCTTCCATCCGTTTCTCAGACATGACAGCAGGATGGGAGCTCTTTGCAGGATGAGTATCAATGGCACACAATGTCATCTGCAATGATTTGTAAGGAAAAAAAACTATGACAATATGAAAACCTTTAGGTCAATGTAATGTCAACACTGCATAATATTCAAGCAGATAAATACATGTTCTTAAGGATCTCTAAAATTTAATACATGTCAAAACACCAGACGTCAGGGGAGAAGAAATCTCCAAATTGTACTGTAATATTTCAGTCAACCTGTGTTTGCTGTCACACATCGTCAACACAACAAGCTTAACGGGGACATTTTCACACATCATGTTTTCATCCTTCATGGGGACAAAGCATCACTGCATTCTATTTAACACTAGCAGTAACATCAAAAGTGCACTGTGGGGACATCGTAAATGTGCCAGATGACACTGATTTTTGGGCCAAAGGAAAATATCCAGACAGGTCCACATCCATCTACAAAGTCCCTTTATCTTTTGCCTCATTGAGGCATTAGCCTTAACTGTTAGTAGACCTGATTGACAATTCATTAGCCCCACAATGAGCTCATTTGCTTTATTTAGTGCTAAAACCCAACTTACAGAGGCTGAAAAAGTAAACATCAAGTGATGAGGGTGAACGTACCTGTTGAGGAGTGTCCTGTGGAGAAGGAGCTTCTTCCATCCGTTTCTCAGACATGACAGCAGGATGGGAGCTCTTTGCAGGATGAGTATCAATGGCACACAATGTCATCTGCAATGATTTGTAAGGAAAAAAAACTATGACAATATGAAAACCTTTAGGTCAATGTAATGTCAACACTGCATAATATTCAAGCAGATAAATACATGTTCTTAAGGATCTCTAAAATTTAATACATGTCAAAACACCAGACGTCAGGGGAGAAGAAATCTCCAAATTGTACTGTAATATTTCAGTCAACCTGTGTTTGCTGTCACACATCGTCAACACAACAAGCTTAACGGGGACATTTTCACACATCATGTTTTCATCCTTCATGGGGACAAAGCATCTCTGCATTCTATTTAACACTAGCAGTAACATCAAAAGTGCACTGTGGGGACATCGTAAATGTGCCAGATGACACTGATTTTTGGGCCAAAGGAAAATATCCAGACAGGTCCACATCCATCCACAAAGTTCCTTTATCTTTTGCCTCATTGAGGCATTAGCCTTAACTGTTAGTAGACCTGATTGACAATGCATTAGCCCCACAATGAGCTCATTTGCTTTATTTAGTGCTAAAACCCAACTTACAGAGGCTGAAAAAGTAACCAATCAAGTGATGAGGGTGAACGTACCTGTTGAGGAGTGTCCTGTGGAGAAGGAGCTTCTTCCATCCGTTTCTCAGACATGACAGCAGGATGGGAGCTCTTTGCAGGATGAGTATCAATGGCACACAATGTCATCTGCAATGATTTGTAAGGAAAAAAAAACTATGACAATATGAAAACCTTTAGGTCAATGTAATGTCAACACTGCATAATATTCAAGCAGATAAATACATGTTCTTAAGGATCTCTAAAATTTAATACATGTCAAAACACCAGACGTCAGGGGAGAAGAAATCTCCAAATTGTACTGTAATATTTCAGTCAACCTGTGTTTGCTGTCACACATCGTCAACACAACAAGCTTAACGGGGACATTTTCACACACCATGTTTTCATCCTTCATGGGGACAAAGCATCTCTGCATTCTATTTAACACTAGCAGTAACATCAAAAGTGCACTGTGGGGACATCGTAAATGTGCCAGATGACACTGATTTTTGGGCCAAAGGAAAATATCCAGACAGGTCCACATCCATCTACAAAGTCCCTTTATCTTTTGCCTCATTGAGGCATTAGCCTTAACTGTTAGTAGACCTGATTGACAATGCATTAGCCCCACAATGAGCTCATTTGCTTTATTTAGTGCTAAAACCCAACTTACAGAGGCTGAAAAAGTAAACATCAAGTGATGAGTGTGAACGTACCTGTTGAGGAGTGTCCTGTGGAGAAGGAGCTTCTTCCATCCGTTTCTCAGACATGACAGCAGGATGGGAGCTCTTTGCAGGATGAGTAATATTCTGTCAAAAATTTCCAAAATATGTGAAAACACTAATGAAAACACATTTCTCACACTGTTAGTCTGAGACATTCTCAAACTCTACACATTTAAATACTGTGCAGTCATCAGACATACTTTTATTCGCCATGGGCAGTCATTGCCTCCGTAGTCATACGTAATTTCTTCACCGTCCTTTATGTCTTTTAGAGCAAAAAGACATAGGTGTGGGCTTCCCTCCACCTCAACTTTTTTCATACGACAATTTGGATGTCTGTGTTCATCATTCACTAGGCGGCCAAATGAACCATCTTCTCTGGATGCATCAATACTTAAAATGGACAAGAGAAAGAGGAAAATAAAACAATTTACTTAAAAATAATGTCATTCCCAGGTCCAGTGCAAAATGTTCTCTTCATTTTGCCATATTTAAACATTCAATGTATTTCCTTTACCTTGCAGTGTCACATTATTAAATGGCAGACATTGATTGTGCAAGCTTATATCAAATTCAACAATTCATACAAAGTATATAAAGAAATATATGTATGTATGTAAATACGGAGATGAAGTGCAATTTTAAATCTTACCACCATGTTTTCCCAATCCACTTGAAGAGAAAGAAAAATGCAGCACATGACGGGTGATAAACTTTTCTCCTCCTCTCGGCTTCAGCATCATCTATCAAATCACCCCTGTATTCAACCACAAAGTCTCCCTTGCAGATGGAACCTACGGCAAACAAACCACGTCCTGCAAGAAAAAAAATAAAGGAAATGTAATCAGATTATGCCCCCATCTAAAAAAAATTCTACAACCTTTGGTTTGCCATTTCTTTATTATATTCTACCGGTGTATCCTTTTGTTGTAGATTTAATAACGTTCTTTTTTTTAATGCATTTGACACTACAATACTTTGTTCTGATAAATAATTTTTCAAATTGACTAATTGTCATATTACTAAAGTGATGTTCTGTGTCCATTGCGGCCATCTGTCGGCCCTTTTTGGAATAGTTTGGACATGCCTGATATAAAACCTGCAAGGCAGTGTTCCCCAGGACCAGGGTTGGGAAACACTTGATTTAAGGACTATGTGTCTGTTTATATCTGTGTAAAGCGTCCTTGGGTTTCTTGAAAGGTGCTATATAAATTCAAGTTATTACCATCATCATCATCATCATCTTCTAGACATAAGGCATCATCTTACCTTTTACTGCATCAATGAATTTCACCTCCAGTTTCCATGTTTTGTCAGTCTTTGCACCAACATGATGACAGGCATCATTCAAAGGACTGAGCCTGGGCGGCATGTCAAACTGAAAAGAAATTAATAAAAAAGGGACATAGCCATGGCTTCAGTTACGGTGAAAATACATCAACTGTATTTTAAACTGTGCTATTCCAACACAATTTCTGTGAAGTCCAGCCTAAATAGAAGATATAAAATGGTGACTTTTGTTAATTAGTGACAAAAAAAAGGACAAATTTAAGGTGAAATACACAATGAACTCTTCTCAAGCACCGGTCCCTTCACTTAACAGTGTTTTTCAATCTTGGTACAGGGGGGCGACGGGGCCAGCAGTTATTGGATATAAAAGTTAATAATTTAATAGAAATCACATAACTTATGCAGATTAAATACAAGTAGTTAAATATGCTTGTGTTTGTTATATGATAAACATTTAGTAACGTGCATTTCACAATCTGTAGTGTATTAGCCCGGGAACCTAGTATTATTTGATGATGTTTGTTGTGTCAGAATTCACTCGCACCTCCTATAAGCAATGAGACCCCCATTCCCCCTCCAATAATAATTTTCTGGTGCTGCCGCTGATACCTGAGCTCTGCTGCCATGCGGCTCTGAAGCTCACTAGCCACGTGCTCTCTAGCTAGCCACAGTGCAAGTTGAAGCGCACCATGGCGCACTTCAACTTTAAGTACATTATACATTTACCGTTTACCCACATTTGTACTGATTTTTATATTAACTGAATTAATCCATCCTGGTACTCGAAAACTCGACAACTGCTACCTGACTTGAGCACGGTTGCTAATTAATGCTATCTATAACTTTCCTTGGCTAATAACCTTCAAACAAAAAATACGATAATTTGAATGAATAAATAAACATAAACCGCTATCTTCCAACAAAATGTTTAATACTTACTGAAAACGCCGCTGCCCACACTTCGTATCGCCATTAATCCTTTAAACCAAGTGTTGACAATCTCCTTTCCCGTCGTCGTCGTCTCTGTCTCGTCTGGCGGTTTCTTCGCAGACAGGCCTCTGTTTGTGGGCGCGGTGGGAAACATGCGCGCGTTCTGATTGGTCAATAGTGTCAACAGTATCTGTTGAGTTGGTGCTCTCACTATAATTATTATTATTATTATTATGAATGTTTACGCCTGTATTTATGTTGAGAAGACTGTTTTATTTACATTTGGATAACTCTGTTTTCTTTTCCTGTTTACCAATGGGCGTGGTTGATAAATTGTCCAGCGCCACAGCTGACGCCGGTTGCGCGTAATGGAATGAATGGAATGCAGTGTGTCCCGAGTTCTATTTCCTCCATATATTTCGGATACAATTAGCTGCGTTTCCATTGAATAATGCGCAAAAACTTTTTCGATACATTTCAAAATTCGAAAAACCTGTAATTCGCAAAAGCGGCCGTTTCCATTAAGACATATTCGAATAAGTATACACTATTTTCGCGCGTTTATTCACTAGTTTCTAGTACGTCAACATGGCAACAGAAGTAAACAACACTTTGATTTACGTGAGATATATTAATGTCTTGACTTCTGCTGCGGCTCTCATCCTCTCTGACCCCGGGAGAAACTGTGGCTGCTTTGACAGCTCCGCGAACGCGCGTGTTCATGTACCGAGCGCGGACCATAGACGCGCGCACAGAACCATAGACACGGGTCTTGCCTGTCTCCCCCGTCTCTCCCCCGTCTCTCCCCCGTCTCTTCCCCGTCTCTCCCCCATGCCTCTCCCCCGTCTCTCCCCCGTCTCTCCCCCATGCCTCTCCCCCGTCTCTCCCCCGTCTCTTCCCCGTCTCTCCCCCGTCTCTCCCCCATGCCTCTCCCACGTATCTCCCAAGTCTCCACCGAAGCGCAGCCAAAACTCACTGAATAAAGCTCAGCTCGGCTTCCTCCGCTATATCGAAATAAGTGTTTCCATTGCCGTTTTGCGAAAAACTTAATTTCGATACGTCCAAAAAACCACCTATTTTAAGTGCATTAACTTTTTATCGAAAAACTGTGGTTTATTCGAAATTTGCGCGTTTCCATTAGACATTTTATGATGCGCAAATTCAAATTTCGAAATTTGATACTCAATGGAAACGCAGCTAATTGTCTCTTTATCTGGGTTCACAACGCGAATCTGCTGCTGGATTACCTCTGCCAACAGGTTATGGGCCCAGAGTAACCCAGAGTAACCCAGAGTAACCCAGAGTAACCCAGAGTGACTCAGAATAACCATGAGTAAACGGGTCGGAGATCCAAGCCGCTGGTCTCGCCTGTTGTTTTGATGGAGATGAGAAACATTATGAACTGTGGGAGACAAAGTTCTTGGGCCACCTCCGTTTGCAAGGCCTGAAAGACATTATTCTAAATGTACCCGATGCGGGAGACGCAGAGGAGCAACAGGACGCCAAAAATGCAGAGGCTTACGCAGAACTCATTCAATTCGTGGATGATAAAAGGATGCGGGTTTGTGCAGCGGAAGATAACGTGATGAAAGCGCGTGTGCAGCAGAGATGGAGACCTGCTGTTACGGGTGACCGAGGAGCGGACCGAGGAGCGGACCGAGGAGCGGACCGAGGAGCGACGGATTTAACGTGCTTCAAATGTGGATTGAAGGGACACTTGGCCAGAGCCTGTCAAGCGCAGACTGTGGTGCAGTCACTGCTTGTGCTTCACAGCTAGAAGGTCCCGGGTTCGATTCCCACCTGGACGGGGCCTTTCTGTGTGGAGTTTGCATGTTCTCCCTGTGTCTGCGTAGGTTTCCTCCGGGTACTCCGGTTTCCCCTACCACCAAAAACATGTACAATAGGCCGGGATGAATGATATGAGTGAGTGGTTGGTGGTGGTCGGAGGGGCCGATGGCGCAGATTGGCTGCCTCGCTTCAGTCGGTCTACCCCAGGGCAGCTGTGGCTACAATAGTAGCTTACCACCACCAAGTATGGAGTGAATGAATAGTGCAATGTAAAGCGTCTTTGAGTGTCCAGAAAGCGCTATATAAAACTGATGCATTATTATAGAAAAAGTATTTCGCGTGATGTAAAGTTGAGCTGATTTGCGTGAGGCTGCGGTCATGAAAATGTGTAGTTTGTGCCGTTGTTTTGACAGAGAAATTAAAAGGAGGCGCTGCGGTGTTTTTCTGCCTTTATTTAACTCTGTCATTGGCTGCTGTTTTCTGTGTGCTCGCTTTGGGGACGGTAAAATCACCTACGTTTCTCCTGTGCGTTCAAAATCGGGCTTAAAAATCAAACATGTTCCTGCAACTGAAGTCTAGTCGCGTCTGACTGCTGACACATTACACGATTCAAACGTGAGTCCAGTCGTGACCTCTCATACACTACGCGACACGACTCTGTGTGACTGCCTTTGACTAGACACGACTCGAGAAGACTCGGTGCAACTGAAAATTTGAGCAAAATCGGGCATAAAAGTTGTGTAGTATGGGCTAACCTTAACCGTCCCAAACCTGCAGGGCCTATAGGAATATGCCACATGAAATTAAGACCCCTAGTCTAAAGTGTTGCTATAACATGAGCAATTGGGCCAGCGTTGTTTTTTGTCACATACCCTAAAGCAGGTCTGTGAATACCCTAAAGCAGGTCTGTGAAGACACATTGCCACATATCTTTTGGGTAATAGTTTCAGAGCGCTGTGTGTCACATTTCCTCCCAGCTAGCATAGATGACATGGTAGGTTGGCTACCTTTCTCACCCGAAGAGGCTTGCGGGTGTCGTGTGTGGACTCAATCACTTAAACACTGTGGAAGACATCTCTTCAATAATAATAATAATAATAATAATGATAATGATAATACTGTGCAATATCTTCATTGTGGAATAATTACTATTCAGCTGCACGAGTCAATACCCCATATGCAACTGCTGCTTTTGTAGTTGTGTTTTGTTTCTTGTATATAGTGTTTATATTGATATTAATATTACCTTTTACCTGTATTGTTATCTGTATATCTATATGGCTAGCTTTTTTTATACCACTGTATATGATCTACCTCTCATCCACTTTGCTGCTGCAACACTGTGAATTTCCCCATTGTGGGACTAATACAAGAATATCTTATCTTAGGAAATTGATACAAGCCCATTCTGCCAATCAGTCATCATGGGAAATGTGAACTCTCTGCCCAACAGAAGTGATGAGCAGGAGATATTGGTTAAGATTTAGAATGTGTACTATGAGTGCAGCCTGATGTGTTTTACTGAAACCTGGTTGAATCAAAACATCTCAGACTCCATTGTGGATATACCTGGCTTCACTCTCATACGGCCAGACAGAGATGCTAAGGCTAGTGGCAGGAAATACATTTGTGGAGTGGACATCAATGTGGTGCCAAGCTATAAATATTTAGGTGTACTACACCTGAATAACAAGATGGACTGGTCCCTTAACACAGATGCAAAAAGGGTCTTTTTCCTGTGGAGAGATACACAATGAGGGCACTAGGTTATATCCTGCCCCACTGCCCTGCTACTTTTAAATTAAATAATAATTTAAATGAGGAAGTGGGAAAAACAAAACTCTCTCAGAGGAAACTTTGAGCTAACCCTGATCTAGCTGATCTAGTTAACACTAAATAATTTGGAAAAATGATCGACGTCACCAGGTGTAACACAGGTTTTCACAGTGTGATAACCTGATCAATACAAAGCTGATTGACAACTCAATCTTCTCAGAGTTTGTTCACTTATTCTCTGAGTTTGACTGTGCTGTTAAAATATGGCCTGAAGTCTGACCACCTGGTATTGCCACACTGAGCCTCACACCGGTAAGACTCTGCCTCTGTTAACCTTCTTGACCTTTTTATTCAAGCGGAACAATATATTGTTATAGATTTAAAATAGCAGGATAATTCATGCTTGTAATTCATTGTAATAGCAACCTATTGTTGTGCTGAATCTCTGTAGATGGTGAAGAGTCGTAAGGGTGTTGTTATCATGAGGTTGTTGTTGTTGTCATTATAAGGTTGTTGTCATAGAATGGATCTGGATCCTAACAGTTGTCTGTGTGCTCCGTTGTGACCTTCCGTATTGAGCTTTTTGCTGTTCCCTCCTTGTTCTCTCATTTGCTCTGAGCTTGGTTTTGTCAGCTTATGACGTGGAATATTACATTCTTAATTTAGGCTTGCTGTAGTTTTTGTGTGAAGCCTTTCTATGAAATGGTGGTATAGTGTATGTATATATATATATATATATATATATATATATATATATATATATATATATATATATATATATATATATATATATATATATATATATATATATATATATATATATATATATTATATATATATATATATATATATATATATATATATATATATATATATATATATATATATATATATATATATATATATATATATATATATATATATATATATATATATATATATATATATATATATATATTTTATATATAAAAATAAGACCTCATCAAATGTTACATTAACACTATGAATTTTCTGAACATTCCTAATGGGGACTCGGAAGAGGCGGTACTTACCATATTTGGAAGAAGTGTGTGTGAGGACAACTGAGTGCAATAACATACGGGGACCTTTAGGGGGCGATACTGAGGAAACTGTGTGTGTGTGTCCTGATGGAAAAACATCATTTATGGGCCAAACCGAAAAACTTCACAGGCACCTTCAGAATGGCTCCTGCATTCATTTAAAAGGCATTCCCTAATGGGGACCTCAATTTTGGTCCCCATGGTGTCAGAGGTCCCCATGGCGTGACTGTGTAAACAGAAACATGTCCCCATAACGATAGGAATACCAACACACACACACACACACACACACACACACACACTCTCACACACTCACACACACACACGCACACACACACACACTCTCACACACTCACACACACACACGCACACACACGCACACAGCCTGGCTCCTCCCCCTCCCTCTCATCAGTTGCGTTTCCGTATCAGAATCAGTTTGTATCAGTGGTTGTTCCAGTGTTGTTGCCGCAGCGATGGCGCAGAGAGAGCTCTTCCTTTGTCCCGTGTGTTTGGATTCACTGCAGACTCCGGTCACTCTGAACTGTGGACACAACTACTGCCTGAAGTGTGTCCAGGACCACTGGGACACAGAGGAGGAGCAGCGGCTCTACACCTGTCCCGAGTGTCGAGTGAGCTTCACCCCAAGACCTGTGCTGAGAAAAAATCTCCTGTTAGCAGCTGTAGTGGAGCAGAAGACAGGGTCTTCTGTCAGCAAGAGGTCTTGCTGACCCTCAAGACCTCTGTGCTGACCCTCAGGACCTCTGTGCGGACCCTCTGGGCCTCTGTGGGCCTCAGGACCTCTGTGGGCCTCAAGACCTCTGTGGGCCTCAGGACGTGTCCTGTGATGTGTGTTCTGATAGAAAGAGGAGAGCAGTCCAGTCCTGTCTGCAGTGTGTGGCCTCCTTCTGTGAGCGTCACCTACAGCCTCATCATGAGTCTGCAGCGCTTCAAAGACACCAGCTGGTGGCGCCATCGCACACTCTCCAGGAAAACACCTGCTCTGAGCACAACGAGCTGAAGAAGATGTTCTGTCGCACCGATGGACAGCTCATCTGCCTCCTCTGTTGTGAGGACCAACACAAGCACCATGAGGTGGTGTTCTCGGCCTCAGAGAGGGCCCAGAGAGAGGCACAGCTGGGGGCCCAGAGACGCCTGCTCCTCCAGGACGTCCAGCACAAAAACACAGAGAGGACCACACTCCAACAGCAGGAGCAGGACATCAGGACCTCTGCCCACACAGCACTGCAGCTCAGCAGGGACAGCTTCAGAGACATGATCCTTCTCCTGGAGACAAGAGCCAAAGAAGTGGAGCAGCAGATCCAGTTTGAGGAGGAGAGACAACTGAGCCGAGTCCGAGAGATCCACGACCAAGTGAAGCAGGATCTGAGTGAGTTGAAGAAGAGCCTCTGTGACCTGGACACACTGTCCCTCACCAAAGACCACAACAGCTTTCTGCAGATTCACACTGCACTGGAAACACGATCAGAGGGGCCAGTCCCGCTCAGAGTCCACACTGGCCCCAAGAACCCGTTTATGGAGGTGATCAGAGCTGTGTCCGAGCTCAGGGAGAAACTGCAGCTCACTGTGGACGAGGGGCGCACTGACATCTCCATGGCTCTGACTGGAGTCCAGCTTCTGCTGACAGAACCCAAGAACAGAGACGACTTCTTACAATATTCTACTGACTTCACCCTGGACACAAACACAGCTCACCCGCAGCTGTCTCTGTCTGACGGCAACAGGAGAGTCACACTGATGGGTGAGGAGCAGCAGTATCCGGAGCATCAGGACAGATTTAACATGAGGTACCAGGTCCTAAGCAGAGAGAGGGTGACGGGACGCTGCTACTTTGAGATCGAGTGGAACACCATGTGGGGAGTGGTCATCGCAGTTTCATACAGAGACATTCAGAGGAAAGACCCTCTCAAAAGCAGATTTGGATACAATGATCAATCCTGGGCCTTGTTCTGTGACAAAACCAATCCTTCGTTTTGGTTTAACTCAGTCCGGTCCAAGGTCTCAGGTCCGGTCGGGTTCAGAATTGGGGTTTACCTGGACCACAGTGCAGGGGTTCTGTCGTTTTACAACATCTGTGGGTCAGACATGAGACTGATCCACAGAGAGAAGACCATGTTCTCTCAGCCGCTTCACGTCGGACTCTGGATTTATGGAGTTCGCTTTTTAAACAATGCAGCAAGTGTTGAATTTACTGAACTCAAAGAAAAGCTTGGTTCTCCTCCGTTTGGTAACGGATCTGAAGATGAGGATCAGAGAGAGGGAGAAGAGAGAGAGACCAGGGAGAGAGAAAGAGAGAGAGAGAAAGACCTGAGAGAGAACAGAGAGAGAGAGTTCAAAGAGAGAGACGAGAGAGACATGCCAGAGAGAGACACACAAGAGACCAGAGAGAGAGACCAAAGAGAGAAAGCAGAGAGTTCAAAGAGAGACCAGAGAGAGACCAGAAGTCATGCAAAAAGTGACACCAAAAGGAGACACCAAAGAAAGACCAGAGAGAGAACAAACTTCACAAATAGCACCAAAAAGTAAAATGTTCCTTCTGCGGAAATATCTGAGGGTGTGATGATTTCTGTCTGTTTTTTTCCAGCACTTTGAGTTGTGTATGAACTGTGCCTCACTAATATGTGGACTTTGACTCATGGTAAAACTCCAGCTCACATAATGATTATCTCTGGCTTACAGCCAAGGCTTTAAATCTGCAATAAAAATATGTAATCCATGTGTTTTGTTCATTCATGTCAGACCAGAGAGAGACCAGAGAGAGACCAGAGAGAGACCAGAGAGAGACCAGAGAGAGACCAGAGAGAGACCAGAGAGAGACCAGAGAGAGACCAGAGAGAGACCGGAGACTAGAGAGAGACCAGAAAGAGAGCAGAGACTAGAGAGAGACCACAGAGAGAGAGACCAGAAAGAGACCACAGAGAGAGAGACCAGAAAGAGACTAGAGAGAGAGAGAAAGAGACTGGAGACTAGAGAGAGACTAGAGAGAGACTGGAGACTAGAGAGAGACTAGAGAGAGACCAGAAAGAGAGCAGAGAGAGACTGGAGACTAGAGAGACAAGAGACTAGAGAGAGACCAGAGAGAGACTAGAGGGAGACTAGAGGGAGACCAGAGAGAGACCAGAGAGAGACCAGAGAGAGACCAGAGAGAGACCAGAGAGAGACCAGAGAGAGACCAGAGAGAGACCAGAGAGAGACCAGAGAGAGACCAGAGAGAGGGACCAGAGAGTTTCCAAAGAGAGACCAGACTGACCAGAGAGAGAGAGGGGGAGAGATCAGAGACAGTCGTCCCCGTTGTGTGCTAAACACCGGCAAACACACTCACACACACACACACACACACACAGTGATAATTTGACTCACATTAAATGCAAATTGAAAAAGTTCAATCTGCGGTGAGGCTGTTTGTGGCGTGTCCAGATAATGAAGCCGGTCTCTCTCGCTCCTCCGTCTGAGCAAAGCCACACACTTCACCTGACTCCGCTGTTCCCTGGCAACAAACATCCAGGCCCCTCCTTCATATCTGCGCGCCGCCAAAATAAATGTCACTTTTGCCGGACAGAGAGGATAATTTTGCAAAGTCACACAAACTGAAAGCATCCAACATCCCAAACTGTAAATATTTGGACCTTGAAATTAATAACTGTTTTCTCAATACAAGGCTCTCTGTCTGGTCTCTCTTGTGTCTATCTGGTCTCTCTTTCTCTCTCTGGACTCTCTCTCTCTCTCTCTCTCTGGTCTATCTTGTGTCTATTTGGTCTCTCTCTCTCTATTCTCTCTTTGGACTCTTTCTCTTGTCTCGCTCTGTTCTCTCTCTCTCTGGTCCATCTCTGGTCTCTCTCATTCGCACTCTTGTTTCTTTCTGGTCCCTATCTCTATTCTCTCTTTGGACTCTCTCTCTAGTCTCTCTCTGTAGTCTATCTTTAGTCTCTCTCTGGTCTCTTTTGTGTCTATTTGGTCTCTCTCTCCCTTTGGTCTCTCTCTCTATTCTCTCTTTGGACTCATTCTCTGGTCTCGCTCTGTTCTCTCACTCTCTGGTCTGTCTCTGGTCTCTCTTTCTCTTGTCTCTCTCTGGTCTCTCTCTAGTCTCTCTCTGTAGTCTATCTCTGGTCTCTCCCTGGTCGCTCTCTGAAGTCTCTCTGTTCTTGCTGCTCTCTCTCTTACTCATCTCTTCCTATGGTCTCTCTCTGCTCTCTCTCTAGTCTCTTTTACCATGCTACACACATAAACACACGTCCTCCCTTCCTCCCATGTCTTGCAGAGTCCGTGAGGTCCATCCCTGTGTCCGGAGCCTCTGGTGCTGGTTCCATGTCTCCCAGCCTGAGCGGGCAGCAGCTGGCCTCCTCCATCCCCTCTCCTCCCACCTCCACCTCCTCCTCCAAGTCCTGGAGGAGCAAGTCCATGAACCTGAAGCACAGTGCCACCTCGGGCATGCTGGCCGGCCCGGGACAGGACCTGCCCCCCCCACAGAGGTCTGTGCTGGACAAGTTCCGGATGATGAGTCCCAGGGCGGGGTCCAGGGTCTCGCCATCTGTGGTGGAGATGGCTCTTCAGGAGGAGGAGGACGGGTCTGAGTGCGGGGACGAAGGAGGAGGACTCGCCATCACTGGGTATGAAACCAGACCAGAGAGAGACCAGAGAGAGAGACCAGAGAGAGACCAGAGAGAGACCAGAGAGAGACCAGAGAGAGACCAGAGAGAGACTAGAGAGAGACCAGAGACCAGAGATAGACCAGAGATATAAAAGAGAAAGACCAAAGTGAGAAAAGACACAAAATAGAGAGAGACCAGAGAGAGACAAGACATAGAATAGAGAGAGAGAACAGAGATAGACGAGAGAGAGATCATAGAGAGACTAGAGATAGAAGAGAGAGGGAGAACAGAGAGGGGCCAAAGACAGACCAGAGCTAGAGAGAGAGACCAGAGAGAGAGACCAGAGAGACACCAGAGAGACACCAGAGAGAGGCCAGATTGAGACCAGAGAGAGACCAAAGTGGGAATTCCACAAATATTCATATAGAGATCTGTTTTGAGAGATTTTAACTAGTTGAATTGCAAGTGGTTTCAAAGTTAGATACTGTACCTAAGCTTTCAATTCAATTCCATTTAGATTTGCCATTATATTTCAGAAAATTCAACGCAGGAAAATGAAATGATAAAATACACATAAAGCCATAGGTCCATAAAAGTTGAAAAAATGTGTTAATTTGGCTGAATTATTAGTTAAATCCCATGATTCTCACCTTTTCCATTCGCAGCACGACTCCAGCCAAAACCTTGTCCAGCACCTCCAACGGCAAACCCTCGTCTTTGTCACAGCCCAAGAGCAACAGCAGCAAAAGTACAGCGCCCCCTAAGGACAAGGAGGACAAGAGCAAGTCCAGCAGAGCCTCCAAAGACCAGACCTCAGCCGAGACCTCCAAGAAGAACCCCAAACTCGCCAGCTTCATCCCCAAAGGCGGAAAATCGTCATCGGCCAAGAAAGACACCAGCAGCTCCCCTTCACCTCCCCCCTCCAGCGGGATCCCCAAACCCGGTTCCAAGACCGGATCCAAGTCCCAGACCCAGGCCTTAAATAGCAGCGGGAACCTTCGCTCCGGGGACAAGCCGAGCAAAGGGAGCGTTTACCGAAGCGGAGGGGAGGGGAAGAGGAGCAGCCTGACCTCGTCCACCAGCACCTCGGCCCTGATGACGGGAGGGGGAGGCAGCTGCGGGCTGGGGGGCAGCGGAGCAGTGCAACTGCCTCAGCAGCAGCAGCACAGCCACCCCAACACAGCCACGGTGGCTCCCTTCATGTACAGGTGAGTGTGGCTGAGGCTTGAGGGTCAGAAGCATAGATGGTTTACAGATGGACAGTTCTAACCCGCTTAGAAGGGAAAAGCTTTGGCTGTAGATCCAGGACTGAGGCTGTAGATCCAGGACTGAGGCTGTAGATCTAGGGCTGAAGCCGTAGATCCAGGACTGTGGTTGTAGATCCAGGACTGAGGCTGTAGATCCAGGACTAAGGCTGTAGATCCAGGACTGAGGCTGTAGAACCAGGACTGAGGCTGTAGATCCAGGACTGAGGCTGTAGATCCAGGACTGAGGCTGAAGATCCAGGACTAAGGCTGTAGATCCAGGACTAAGGCTGTGGATCCAGGACTGAGGCTGTAGATCCAGGACTGAGGCTGTAGATCCAGGACTAAGGCTGTAGATCCAGGACTGAGGCTGTAGAACCAGGACTGAGGCTGTAGATCCAGGACTGAGGCTGAAGATCCAGGACTAAGGCTGTAGATCCAGGACTAAGGCTGTGGATCCAGGACTGAGGCTGTAGATCCAGGACTGAGGCTGTAGATCCAGTACTGAGAACAGATTACTCTCTGGCCTCAGCTTCCCCTGGACTCGGGCCTCTGCACCTCTCCACACGGCGGGGGACTGTGTTCCAGATCTGTCAGATAAATCACTCTTCAAACCTCAGCTGAGAGTGATCCCTCTGCTCTCAAAGAATTTTGTTCAAACTGACAACAGCTCGTGGAGAAGTTACAAGAGCCTTCAAAAGACCTGGATTTAAAGAAACAATTTGTATTTTTGAATATTTGACCAGCGTCTCTGTGAATGCAGCCTCATACCCCCAGACCATAAAATGTATTGAGGAGTGGATTGATCAGGTGTGACATCACCACCGCATTAGCCTAATGAGAAGCTGATTTTAACATAAGCTAGCTGGAGCCAATTTCCCTATATGGGCATTTCTTCTGACAGGTTGCTAAGACGGTTGCTAAGGCCAGCTGGAGTTTCCCCGTCAATCAAATGTTTACTGAGCGAGAGGAGTTTACTGTTACATGTAAGTCAGCAAGGGCCAGATTTTGTTGGAGCCAAACTTTGTCCATGAGCACTTCCCTATTGGGCTTCATTGAGCTAGCAGGTTAGCATTGTCCATCCCTGTATAATCTATAATAGAGACATCCGTCCTTTTGACTGCTACAAAGCAATAGGCACGGCCTCTGTGTCTACTGCTCCCTCTGGTGGTTGCACATGGAGTTACAGACGGAAAGCGTTCACATTTGAAATGACTGTAAATAGTGTAATTATGATTTTCAACGGCCATTGTTTGTGTGTGTGTGCGTGTGTGTCTGTGTAGGACGTTCTCGGAGAATGACTGTACAATGGTAGCCCCCGCTGACTCCAGCCTCAGTCCTACCAAAGGAGACCTGATCTACAGCAAAACCGCCAAGCAGTGCCTCGAAGAGATCTCAGGTAGGACCCACTCGGACTGTGTGTCTGCTGCTGGAGTTGGGAGCTGGGCCGGGGTTGTTGTACTCTCCCTCAGTCCGGTCTCTGGTTGAAAAGTGTTTTGTTTGTTTTGTGAAGGAGATTTAATACGGGGAAGTTGTTTTAATGAAAGTTGTGTCTCTCTCAGTGTCAGAGGTTATCGTTTCGTGGCTTTGCTGTTTCGCTGATTTGTTGTGTGTTCAATTGTGCTTCTCATTTTGAAGTATGACACTGGAGTTACTCTCATTTACAGTCTCTCTGGTCTCTATCTGGTCTGGACTGAAGCAGGTCTAACACAAACCAGGAGTAAAGTAGGTCTATAGCAAGTCCAAACCAGGACTGAAGGAGCACTAAAGCAGGTCTAAAGCAGGTCTAAAGTAGGTCTAACACAGGTCTAAAGCAGGACTCATCCAGGACTGATCAGGACTGATCCAGGACTAAAGTAGGTCTACAGTAGGTCTAAAGCAGGTTGTTGTATCTTCTTCTCAGCAGAAGATGGGGTTCCTCTCACAAACCAGTATGTAGTGTTGGAGAAGGAATGCACTCTGAGTTATGTATTAAAGAAAGAGTTTAATGGCATAATCATAGCATTAAAGTGGTTCTCACCCCCGCTCCTCGGAGCTTACATCACTCACATTTCCTGTTCAAATCTTCCTCTAAATGGGCGTAGCCTGGAGGACTAAAGGGGGCGTGAACGAGACTGGGCCGTTTACATTGCTCTGGGCGGGGGGCTGCTGACGTCAGGTCTTGCTTCAGACGTCAGGTCTTGCTGCCGCGCCAGTGTTGGCGCCAGATTCAAAATTCAAATGTAGTAATACAGGTCGCCAGCAGATGGCGCCTCACAGACGGTTTTAGGCAGAAAATTTAACTTTCAACTAATTTGCACCAAAGTGAAAAAACTATGACCAGGATATGTAGACAACACTATTGGACACTCATTTAAATCGTTTATCAGCAAAAAAAAGTGGATTTGAGGGTGAGTTGTCCTTTAAGTCAAATTCAGGCTTAGCGCTTTAGCCTGGGTCCCTGACAAGATGGAATAGCAGAATGAACCCGACCATAAAAGCAGTGGGCTCTTATAGAGTTTGGGAAACACAGTCACAAGACATAACAACCCACACATCCACAGCCGTTGTAGGCAGTCTCATGCCATCCCATGACAGGCCTCTGTCTGAGATGTCCGTCCAGAGTCACATGAAATCGTATGAGCTGAGAGAAGTGGTCAGCAGTCTTAGATATTGAGTGCTGACATGTCCCAACACATTCTATACGTATGAAGACCCATAAATGTATGTAGAATATTAATAATATCAGACACCACAAGGTCCCTTCCAGGACTGAATGAGGAATGAAGCAGGACTAAAGGAGGTCTAAAGCAGGACTAAAGGAGGTCTAAAGCAGGACTAGGGCAGGACTAAAGCAGGACTGATCCAGGACTGAAGCAGGTCTAAAGCAGGTCTGATCCAGGACTAAAGCAGGTCAAAAGCAGGTCTAAAGTAGGTCTAAACTCGGTCTAAAGCGGTCTAAAGCCAGTCTAAAGCAGGTCTAAAGCAGGTCTAGGGCAGGTCTAAAGCAGGACTGATCCAGGCCTGAAGCAGGTCTAAAGAAGGTCCAAAGCAGGTCTAAAGCAGGTCTAAGTAGGACTGCACCAGGTCTAAAGCAGGTCAAAAGTAGGTCTAAATCTCGTCTAAACCTAGTCTATAGCAGGACTACCACAGGATTAGGGCAGGTCTAAAGCAGGACTAAAGCAGGTCCAAAGTAGAGACTCAGTGGTCATCTGCAGACTCTAGTCCCAGGAGCTCACAAAACACTCCATGTTGAGTGTGACGCAGCAGAAGATGGAGACGGAGCCAATTGTGGCGCTCCCAGACGTCTGCTGCAGCATCAGCCAGAGCTGACCCAGAGTGTGAGGTGAAGCAGTGGGCAGCAGCTGTGGTGTGAGCCGCCGCGTCTGCCCTGGGGCGGACGGCTCAGCTGCCTCTGTCAAGTCCATCATGTTCACACGACACTCAGAAAGCACCACTACTGTTCAGACTGAGCCAATTCTTCACCATTTGTTTTAGATGTTTTAGATTTCCCTGTTGGAGGTAGTGGCTGTAGATCCGGGGTCTCGAACTCATGCATCTGTGTGTGAAAATGAATATGTCTGTAGTATGTTCTTATGAAGAGGCAAGATTAATTGTGTGGCACAGTTCAGACGCAAGGCAACTCAAAGGGATTAGCAAAACAAGATCAGAAAATGCAATAAATAATCTCAAAAAGACCAGATAAAGACCAGAAAGACCAGAAGTTCAGAGAGAGACCAGAAAGACCAAAGAGAGACCAGAGAGAGATCCGAGAGAAACCAGAGAGAGACCGGAGAGAGACCGGAGAGAGTTCAGAGAAAGTTCAGAGAGAGACCAGAAAGACCAGAGAGAGTTCAGATAGAGACCAGAAAGACCAGAGAGAGACCAGAGCGAGACCAGAGATAGAGACCAGTGAGCGAGACCAGTGAGCGAGACCAGAGAGCGAGACCAGAGAGCGAGACCAGAGAGCGAGACCAGAGAGCGAGACCAGAGAGCGAGACCAGAGAGCGAGACCAGAGAGCGAGACCAGAGAGCGAGACCAGAGAGCGAGACCAGATCGAGATCCGAGAAAGACCAAAGAGAGACCAAAGAGAGACCAAAGAGAGACCAAAGAGAGACCGGAGAGAGACCAAAGAGAGACCAAAGAGAGACCGGAGAGAGACCGGAGAGAGACAGACCAAAGACAGACCAAAGAGAGACCAGAGAGAGACCAGGGTACCTCACTAAAATAATAATAAAATTAAAAGCCGTCAAAGTGATGAGGAGTGGGAACAACACCGGGGTTCGAACAAGGACAGGACATGGCTCGATGTGTTGGTCCTAAGTGGAACAAATGTGTTGTCACTGGTCCAGGTCGGCACCATCGCTCCTGCTCCTCTGCACCAGCAAAGGAAAGTTACTGCGGAAGATTGAACATAGTCTCAGGATGTAAGAGACAATGAGACTGTTTACTTTGTCATGATCAGAGAGAGACCAGAGAGAGAGAGAGAGCGAGACCAGGGAGGGAGAGAGACCAGGGAGGTAGAGACCAGGGAGGGAGGGAGAGAGAGAGAGAGACCAGGGAGAAAGAGAGAGACCAGCTATGAAGGGAGAGAGAGCGAGACCAGAGTGAGTAGAGTAGAGTACAGTAGAGTCTCTCTCTTGTCTTTTTCTGGTCTCTCCCTTGTCTCTCTCTGGTCTCTCTCTTTCTCTGTTCTCCCTCTGTTTTTTCCTGGTCTTTCTCTGGTCACTCTCTGTTCCCTCTCTGGTCTTTCTCTGGTCTCTCTATGGTCTCTCTCTGGTCCCTCTCTCATCTTTCTCTGGTCTCTACTTTTGTTATAAAGTCAGAATCGAATCCACTCCGATGATGTCATAGTGGTACAATGACATCATAGTTGTACAGGACAGAGACAGTAGATGTTGAAGTCACAGATCCAGGTTCTGTAATGCAGCCTTTTTGCTTCACTGCAGCTGTTTACGACTGGACAAGAACGAGCCACAGATGCTGCTGAAAACATACTTCTAAAAATGAGCATTAGTTTTGATCCTGAGACACTGGTCCCAGACGACGCCGGTCCGTTAGCGTCGCTGGTCGCACGTGTCTGTGACTGACAGCTGTGAACGATGGCGACGGCGCTAATAATGTGTGCGCTGATGGACGGGGACAGGGCTCCGGTCTCACTGGTGATCGCCATAAGCCTCTCGTCTGCTCGGTTTGCTGCTCCAGACCAGCTTTTAATTAAGTCCAGGACAGAGACGGAGCGACGAGGGGAGAGGGGGGGAGGGAGGGTGAGGGAGAGAGAGGGAAAGGGAGAGGGACAGGGGGAGAGGGGGAGGGGGGAGAGAAAGGAATTGAGAGAGAGAGGGAGATGGAGAGAGAGATGAAGAGGGAGGGAGAAAGAGGGAGGGGAGAGAGAAAGAAATGGAAAGAGGAAGGGGAGAGAGAGAGAGGGAGAGAAACGAAACAAGAGAGAGGGGAAGGGAGATAGAGAGAGAGCTGAAGAGGGAGAGAGAGAGAGAGGTAGGAAGATAGAAAGAGGGAGGGAGAGAGAGAGAGAGAGATGAAGAGGGAGAGGGAGTGACATGGAAAGAGGGAGGGGAGAGAGAGAGGGAGGGAGAGGGGAGAGAAAGGAAACGATAGAGAGAGGGAGATAGAGAGATGAAGAGGGGGAGAGAGAGGGAGATAGAGCGATGAAGAAGGGGAGAGAGAGAGGGAGGGAGAGGGGAGAGAAAGGAAAAAATAGAGAGAGAGGGAGATAGAGAGATGAAGAGGGGGAGAGAGAGAGAGGGAGATATAGGGAGAGGGAGAGAGAGGGAGGGACATGGAAAGAGGGAGGGGAGAGAGAGAGATGCATTACAAAGCATTCAAGTAGTGGCAGAATGCATTCACCTGTATATTTTAAATTCATCTCATTCTAAGAAATAATGTAGTACAACATGTCTGTGGCTTGTGTTGTGGCAGACACATGCATTGATAAAATAAACATTCAGGTTTAATTGTTAGACCGATTAATTGGTCATTGTTATAGTCACTGTTTGACTCTTTGGGCTGATGGTGGTTCTCTCTTTTGATTTATTTTTGCTTGAGACCAAACATACATGCATATGAGAGACCAGGCAGAAACCAGCGATAGACCAGGCAGAGACCAGAGATAGACCAGAGATAGACCATGCAGAGACCAGCCAGTGACCAGAGAGACCAGAGAGAGACCAGAGAGAGACCAGAGAGAGAGACCGGAAAGAGACCAAAATGACATGCATGTGAGCAAACTGTTTTGAGAGTACGATAGATCATATGACACAGTTAAGTCTATTGAGGTTTGAAAGTTGGGTATCCCAGCTTTAATCACAGACGAGGCAGGTTCAGACTCAGAGAGAGAGAGAGAGAGAGAAGCAGGAGGAGAGAGAGAGGCGTTGGGAGCAGCACACACATCTCTCCTTGCCGCTTCCTCAGCTCCACCGCACACCACACCACACACCAGTCCGCCAAGGCATCGGGGAAATCTGCCAGAACGCTCACACCGGACCCGACAAGCCTCCTCTCACTCTGTCATCGAGGAAAAGCCGAGGGGAGGATTCCAACATGGCAAGATGCAGGCACGGTTGCTAAGAGATAAAACAAAAAACAGGTGGAATTACCAGGACTACCTACCGGCTTACAATCTTTTGCCCAAACGATGGATTTTCTCGCCTTTTTGCCGCCCAGCCTGACTCAACTGCAGCCGGACCATCACCCGAATTGGAAAATGTTGATAAGGATTGTCTTTCTGTCGGCTCAAGCTAATACTGAGTCCATAAGTTTGCTCTGTAGGAGGTTGGGGCGGGACTAGGGAAGAGGTGTTACTGTTGTGTGGCATAGACAAGTCCCCTGATGAACCCAGCTCCTATCGATTGGAAAGAAAATGTGTCTATGTGCGTCTAGTTTTTGAGTTTTTGTCTGGGCGTGATGGACATTTAGGCTTAGGTGGTGCTAATGAGCAATGTCTAAAAGATTTTACAGCTAATTATTAAAGGGGCAGGTGTGAAGATAGGCAATAATGAACGCTATATGGGAATAACTATAATTGCTTTGAAAATGTGTGATATTTCAGTATCTAGCTAATTGTACGTTGGCAATTATGCAATTATACATATGTCATTAGCATGCCAGCTGTGTGGTCCTGTTTTGACCAATCACGGCTGTTGGTTTTGACCTCTACAAACTGTATTTATCGGATGCGTTCATATTGCCGCACATTTTTGGTATAGTAGCATCAAAACTAGATCCAAGACTTTTAGACGGAATAGGACCAGATAAAGAGCTTGCGTCATATGATTGCGATTCACTTTTTAGCCAAATCTGCCAAACATTGTCCCGTTTTGAGGTTTTTGGACGTGGCGATTATTAGCACAGAACTTAAAATTCGCGGAAAGGACTAGTTACGATAGAAGTTGAATGAGCTGAAAGTAGTGTGTGTTGTGTCGGTGTGAGATGTTTCAAAATATAGCCTCCAAATGCGTCGATAAGATGAAATGTTGAGGCAAGAGGTCCACCGAAAGTTTTGAGAAGTTTTACCGACATGCAACAAGGACAAACATCAGTCAACCATAGAGTTAAAACCCGCAGAGAAGCAACTAATGTCAAAAAGCAACAGAAAACAAGGAAGTGAGAGGGCTCGGCTTGGATCGCAGTCTTCATTTCTACCATTGGGAGATACAAGATTGGGTTCATAGACTCGCAACAACAAGATGGACTGATGAGTTGATAAGTTTGGGTCTTACCGGATAGTTTTTCACTACTTTTTTATTACCTCTGAATCATCTGGGCTGTCCCTTATCAAACTTTGGGTTGGTGACGTTACATCTAAAGCCTTCTGGAATAAACAGCAAGAAACCTCAATACGCAATTGTACTTGGTTCTTCTCACAAGACAAAGAGTGTAAAGAAGCTAGTACTGTTTATATACCAGGATAGACCCATGATGGTGTCTCTGATCAGCTGTTTTTTACCAGATCTGGCCAGTCCGACAGACCTGACAGGGGAGGGACAGGAAGGAGCTGGAGAGATGACCATATAAGGATCAACTACAGTCTCCTAGTTTAATAGTTACCATCAGGGTTTGCAATGGAATTTATGAATGATACAAAGAGACTTTAGTTTTTCGCTGTTGTCTCTGGAAAAGTGAGTCCCATGGGAGAGCCAAGGAAAACTTTAGCTGTTTTTCAATTGAGCGCCAATGGTTCACGCTAATGGGCTGGACACGTACCTGTATTATAAATGGTTTTAGGAAATGCCAAATACTACAGACAGTTCTGATCGTATGAAGCAAAGTGTTCAGCATTAGTTTCACAGCAGTTCATCATGTGACTCCATGGCTTGTTTGGGGAACATGTCTATGGTCTCAGGAGTTCTCCAGGCCCGCCTCTAACCCGCGATGTCCCATATCTCATCAGACCGGACGTGAAACAAAAGCTCGACCTCCTCCTCGCCTGGGTCACTCCAGCTGCCTCACTCCAGTATTGCCTCCGTCCTCGTTCTACAGCCTGAATCCTGCATCTATAGTCCGTTCGTTCCTTGTCGATGCAGGAGGGTCTGAGGGCAGTGGTGATGATCGAGGGCCCTCAACATTCGACAACATTTATGGACATTGGTCTCCGCCCCTTATGGACCAATGGCTCTATGTGTTTTCATCATTGCATTTCCTAAGTTTGAACGGTTTGATTCTCTGATCCGTGTTGGCAAATCAACGTCTTCCGGCATAACTACGGTGGGGATTTAGTTCTATTCAAAAACAAATTGAATCAAATTGAACTGCTCATCATGAAGCGAGGGGCAGAGTTCTCGGTCTTCCACGGCGGCACCAAGAGATCCGCCAACCTGAACCTGCGGGCCAAGCAGCGGTCTCTCAACAGCCTGACCACGTTCGTCGAAACTCGCGGTCAAGACTGGCCCGAGCGGCACGGAGGCGGGGTGGGGGGAGGCAGCCTACAGGGAAGCCCGAGCAAAGAGCCCAGTCGCGGGACCAGGACCAGGTCTTTGTCGCTGTCTCTGAGCAAAGCGCTGTCGCAGTCGGAACACTCACTGATACCGCGGCGATGCAGACTGCAGAGGGCCTCGTACGGCGAGCAGCCCAGTCGCAGGGACCGCGACCGGGACGGGGACAGGGACGGAGGCTGGGCACCTGAAGAGGCGTCCCAGGGCGGGCCGAGAGAGGGCACGGCTCAGCTCGACGAAGAGGTGATCCTGACCATGCTGGGGGATCTGGAGAAGGCGTTACAGCCGCGCAAACGTAAGAGCTCTAGTGGTCGCACACTTTGAATGATTTAATGATGAGAGACAGTATTGAAACTGGTAACTATGGTAACCATCAAAAATATTCTAGTCTGAGTTTAGAGCTAATTTCTCGTTTCAAAAAAGTCGCATTGTTCCGAATTTTCTCAATCAGCATATATTTGCTCTGGTCTCCCTCAAGTCCTTCTGGTCTCTCTATGTGTTTTCTCTCTCTGGATTCTCTCTCAGTGGACCCTTTCTGGTCTCTCTCAGGTCTTTATGGTCTTTATCACTAGTATGCCTCGCTCTTGCCTCTTTCTCTGGCCACTCTCCGGTCTCTCTCTGGTTTCTCTCTGGTCTCTCTCTGGCCAGACTCTGGTCTCTCTCTGGTCTCACTCTGGTCTCTCTCTGGCCTCTCTTGTCTCTCTGGTCTCTCTCTGGCCTCACTCTGGTCTCTTTCTGGTCTCTCTCTGGCCTCTCTCTGGTTTCTCCCTCGTTTCACTCTGGCCTCTCTCTCTGGTCTCTCTCTGGTCTCTCTCTCTGGTCTCTCTCTGTTCTCTCTCTGGCCTCACTCTGGTCTCACTCTGGCCTCACTCTGGCCTCACTCTGGTCTCACTCTGGTCTCACTCTGGTCTCACTCTGGTCTCACTCTGGTCTCACTCTGGCCTCTCTCTGGTCTCTCTCTGGCCTCTCTCTGGTCTCTCTCTGGCCTCTCTCTGGCCTTTCTCTGGTCTCTCTGGTCTCTGACTGTTGCTCGCTTCCCCTGGTTCAGTAGCCGTGCGTGCAGATGCTGCATTCTGTGGATTAATGGGATTACGGCTTTTGCAGAGATTGGAGCAGGTGGAATGAACAGCGCAGCACACACAGGATTTTGGCTCTGATTTCACTGTTCTGCTCTGAGTGAAATTAAAAGTTTAGATTTGATCTGTTTCGTTTGGGAAAGTTTGTTATTTAACAGTGAGTTGTTGTTGTTGATGGTGATTCTGATTCTGGTCAAAAATCGTTATCTCTCTCTCTTTCTCTCAAGTCTCTCTTTGTCTCTCCCTCTCTCTTTCTCTCTCGAGTCTCTTTGGTCTCTTTTTGGTCTCTCTCTGTTCTCTTTGGTCTATCTCTCTCTGGTATCTCTCTCTCTCTCTCTTTCAAGTCTGTCTGTGGTTTCTCTCTCTCTCTCTCTCTGGTCTCTCTCTCTGGTCCCTCTGATCCCCCTCACTCGAGTCTCTCTCTGGCCTTGATATCTAATTTTCTGGTCTCTGTTTTTTCTCTGGTCTGTTTTTTCTGGTGAGGAGCTGTTGTAGTTGTTGGCAAATGAATTGAAACAAGTTCACATGATTCGGGTCAAAAACCTTTCTTTCTGGTCTCTATCTCCCATCCCTCTCTTTGGTCTCTTTGGCCTCTCTCTCTCTCTCTCTGGTATCTCTCTTTGGTTTCTCTCTTGTCACGCTCTTGTTCTTCACTCTGAATAAATGTCGCACCGGGAGGAGACCGGGGGAAGACCCAGGACACCCCGGGGTGACTGTGTCTCTCAGCTGGCCTGGATTCCCCCAGATGAGCTGGAGGCAGTGTATGTGGAGAGGGACAGCTGGGCGACTCTGCTTAGACTGCTGCCCTTGACCCACCTGTAGATAAAGCAGAAGAATATATATGGACAATAAACTGCCAGTAATTTCCCAGATCATTTTTAAAGACCAAAACTAACACATAGTAATTCTTCTTGTTGTAGTTTTAAAGGAAAATGGTGGAGTGTAATCAATAAAACAAAAAAATCAGAAAAAGTCTTGTTTTTCTGGCTTTTTCTCTTGTTCCCCATTGGATTCCGGTGATCAAATCAAAAGCAGAACGCCCAGTGGGAAATCTGGGGGCCTTTTACGCATCGGCAGTGGAGCCAGATCGATGCTTCTGTGAACGAACAGGTCTTTTAATAATAGTTTTAATCTCAAAAACTGAAGAAGGAGAGTGTGACATAACACTGCAGGAACATACTAAATGAAATTTCTAATTGTGAGTAAGATTGGTTTTGTTCCAGGGTTTATGTGTTTTAACATTCGCTCTCAATGTAATAAGTGACTTTAAATGGGTGGAGGAAAAGGTGGATACCGGGCCCTTAAGGGTAAAGCTGGGGGACCTGACTTTCAATCTAAAAATATTATTAAAATCCACTAGTGCCTGGTTATTACTAATGTGTATTTCTGGCTTCCGTCACATCTACTTTGCTCTACTCTACTCTAGCTAGTTGTTTTTGAGTGGTTTGAATGTGTGAGTAGAGTGGAGAAAGGATGGATAGAGTCGAGTAGAGAATGGTGGAGTAGAGTAGAGAAAGAGTGAGAAACCAGAAAGAGACCTGAGTGAGAAACCAGAAAGAGACCAGAGTGAGGGAGCAGAGTGAGACCAGAGTGAGAAACCAGAAAGAGACCTGCGTGAGAAACCAGAAAGAGACCAGAGTGAGGGATCAGAGTGAGGGATCAGAGTGAGGGATCAGAGTGAGAAACCAGAGAGAGACCAACCGTTCCCACACACACCTTAACCAACTTTGAAAAAGAAAAAAACTCAATACACTAAAAGTCACTGTAATTTGTTCATAGTATGATAATGAAAATGAGGGTAAACATCTTCTGGCTGTTGGACTGTGTATGTGTTGTTATGGTCCGGACAGACGTATGCTGCACTTATTACTCTGCACAACTTTTGTATCAAACCATTGAGTTAAAACGTGGCCAGTGCACCATGAAATTGCTTTATCCCAAAGTGAGGCCGGAGAGGAGAAAGTTGCTTACCTTCTGTTCTGACGGGAGTGGTTGAAAGTGCAGAGGACTGACCATGTGTCCTGAGGAATCAATGAAACTGGGATGTGTGAAAAATTGTTCTTTCGATAGTTCTAAACTGAAAAAAATATATTTGCAGAAGAGCAGAGAGCTGGGATCAAAGCAGGACCAGAGGGACCAGAGAGAGACCAGAAAAGAGAGAGACCACAGAGAGAGACTAGAGAGGGACCAGAAAGAAGAGAGACTGGAGAGCTCTCAGAGAAGAGAGACCAGAGAGAGACTAAATAAAGACGAGTAAGGAGAGAGACTAAAGAGAGACCAGGGAGGAGAGAGACTAGAGAGAGACTAGAAAGAGACTAGAAAGGAGAGAGACTGGAAAGACCAGAGAGAGACCAGAGAGAGACCAGAAAGCTCTCAGACCTCTGGGGTCCGGGACCGTGGGTGGGCTGCAGGATGTTTCTTCTGCTCACACTAAGCCTCTGTGTTAGAGACACTTTGTCGATATCTGCTCCGTTCACTGAATACAAAAGCACCGGGGTTCCACTGCTGAAGGAAGAACTGAAATATCTTTGAGTTTCCAGAGAGAAACTTTTCTGTCTTTGCTCCGATACTCGAATGTCAATCCACTCGTCTCTCACTCCATTTTTTTATCTGTGCATCATGAAATAGTTGTGGGGGAGGATTTGGAGGATTATCATGATTTCCAGAAAAACATTTTTCACTTTTGATGTATGTCTCATAGAGATTAGAGAGAGACCAGCGAGACCAGAGAGAAACCAGGGAGTGACAGAGAGATACCAAAGAGACCAGCGAGAGAGACCAAAAACCAGAGAGAGACCAGAAACCAGAGAGTGAGAAAAGAGAGACCAGTGACAGAGTCAACAAAACAGAGAGTCCAGAATCCAGAGACCGCGACCCTAGAGACAATCAAGAGAGATCAAAAACCAGAGAGAGAGACCAGAGATAGACACAATGGAAAAAACAGATGGAGACCAGAGAAAGGCAAAAGAGAGAGACCAAATTAGAGACAGCAACCAAAGAGAGGGTTTGGGTCTCTCTGGTCTCCTTTTGCTACAATTCCGGGAAATCCCCGGGGCCTGTGGGAACCTGTGGCCTCTCTGCAGATCCGGCTGTGGCCTGGTGGTGGCGCTGTGACTGAGCCTCTGCTGCTGTTTTTTCAGGAGAGGACCCAGAGACACGGAGGATGAGGACGGTGAAGAACATCGCAGACCTCCGACAGAACCTGGAGGAGACCATGTCCAACCTCAGGGGGACGCAGGTCACACACAGGTACCAGGAAGGAACTGAGGGGGAGAATTTACACAGCGCGTTACACATGGTACTGAAAGAGAAACCTGTTACAGCATTTAGACAAAATAGAAGGATGTGAATTTATAACAATATGTGGTGGTGTTGGACTTTTATTGATAGAGAGAGGAGAGAGAGATAGAGAACAGGGAGAGACCTGAGAGATAGACCAGAGAGAAAGACCAGAAAGACCAGATCAAGTATAGAGAGAGAGCAGAGAGAGGGACCAGAGACAGACTAGAAAGAGACCAGAGAGAGAGACTAGCGAGAGACCAGCAAGAGACCAGCAAGAGACCAGCGAGAGAGACCAGCGAGAGAGACCAGCGAGAGACACCAGAGAGAGACACCAGATAGAGACACCAAAAAGGGTAGCTAGAGAGGGAACAAAAAAAGACTAAAGAGAGAGACCAGAGAGAGAGCATAAAGAGACCAGAGAAAGACCAGCGTGAGAGAAGAGAGAGAGACAAGAGAGACACCAAAAAGAGAAACCAGGGAGAGAGACCAGAGAGAAGGACCAGAAGACCAGAGAGTGCCTTAATATGACTGTTTTTGACATTGCTGATATTATAATTTCCAAGTGGCAACTTTTGTTTGTTACTTATGTGGCAATAAAAATGATTCTGATTCTGATTCCGATAAAAGTGACCATTAACAGAAATTGCAATGTGGGGGTGAACCATCAGAAAGGCTATGATATGTCTCCTTTAAGTCTGATTTCTCTGCAAACGTAACGAGACCAAGAAGTGCTCTGTGTCATCAGGAGGTGTTGACGCTGACGCTCAGTGAGCTCGGCTGTCTGTGCCCCTGTGGAGGTGGTGTAAAAGTGAAGCCCTCGACACCTGCAGCTGAGAGACCAGACCTCAGCTGTCACTATAGGACACATGCAGAGGCCAGAGAGAGGCCAGAGAGAGGCCAGAGAGAGGCCAGAGAGAGGCCAGAGAGAGACCAGAGAGAGGCCAGAGAGAGATCAGAGAGAGGCCAGAGAGAGGCCAGAGAGAGGCCAGAGAGAGGCCAGAGAGAGGCCAGAGAGAGGCCAGAGAGAGACCAGAGAGAGGCCAGAGAGAGATCAGAGAGAGGCCAGAGAGAGGCCAGAGAGAGGCCAGAGAGAGATCAGAGAGAGATCAGAGAGAGATCAGAGAGAGGCCAGAGAGAGGCCAGAGAGAGGCCAGAGAGAGGCCAGAGAGAGGCCAGGGAGAGATCAGAGAGAGGCCAGAGAGAGGCCAGAGAGAGGCCAGAGAGAGATCAGAGAGAGATCAGAGAGAGAAAAGAGAGAGATGAGGGAGATCAGAGAGAGACCAGAGAGGGCCGCAGATGCAAATTAGCTACAATCTGGTGTATTTACAGCTCCCATCCAAGTAAATACAAAGTGCCAAACTCTCTGTGTGTGTAAATGGTTGGAGGTGGGAGGGGCCGATGGCACATAGTGGTTGCCTTGCTTCTGGTAGTGTGCCCCGGGGCAGCGGTGGCTACAGTAGTAGTTTATCACCGTGTTTGGAGTGAATGAATAATGACGTGTGAAGAGTCCATATAAATCCAATGCTTTATTATCAGTTATGATTATATCCTGCTCGGTCTCCTCTGGTCCTGATCCTGTCTCTGCCGGCAGCACTCTGGAGACCACCTTCGACAGCGCCGTGACGACCGAGGTGAACGGCCGCTCCCCCATGCCCCTGTCCTCCCGGACCTCCCCCATGTCTTGGCGCCTGGCCCAGTCCCAGACCCCCAGACTCCAGGCCGGGGATGCGCCCTCTCTGCCCAGCGCATACAGCACCAGCACGGCCTCCGGAGGCCGCTACAGCAGCGGGAACCCAGATCCAGCCAGGTAAGAGAGGGAGACTGAGGGGAGACTGAGGGGAGACTGAGGGAAGACTGAGGGAAGACTGAGGGAAGACTGAGGGAAGACTGAGGGAAGACTGAGGGGAGACTGAGGGGAGACTGAGGGAAGACTGAGGGGAGACTGAGGGGAGACTGAGGGAAGACTGAGGGAAGACTGAGGGGAGACTGAGGGGAGACTGAGGGGAGACTGAGGGGAGACTGAGGGGAGACTGAGGGAAGACTGAGGGAAGACTGAGGGAAGACTGAGGGAAGACTGAGGGGAGACTGAGGGAAGACTGAGGGAAGACTGAGGGAAGACTGAGGGAAGACTGAGGGAAGACTGAGGGGAGAGTGTGGAGAGTGTACATTTACTACTACAGAGTGACCAAAGAGACAGACCAGAGAGAGAGACCAGAAAGAGACTAGAGAGAGAGAGTAGAGAGACACCAGAGAGAGACACCAGAGAGAGACACCAGAGAGAGACACCAGAGAGAGACACCAGAGAGAGACACCAGAGAGAGACACCAGAGAGAGACACCAGAGAGAGACACCAGAGAGAGACACCAGAGAGGGAGACCAGAGAGGGAGAGCAGAGAGAGAGACAAGAGACGGAGACCAGAGAGAGAGACCAGAGAGGGAGACCAGAGAGGGAGACCAGAGAGAGACCAGAGAGGGAGACCAGAGAGGGAGACCAGAGAGGGAGACCAGAGAGGGAGACCAGAGAGGGAGACCAGAGAGGGAGACCAGAGAGGGAGACCAGAGAGGGAGACCAGAGAGGGAGACCAGAGAGGGAGACCAGAGAGGGAGACCAGAGAGAGAGACCAGAGAGGGAGACCAGAGAGGGAGACCAGAGAGGGAGACCAGAGAGGGAGACCAGAGAGGGAGACCAGAGAGGGAGACCAGAGAGAGAGACCAGAGAGAGAGACCAGAGAGGGAGACCAGAGAGGGTGACCAGAGAGGGAGACCAGAGAGAGAGACCAGAGAGAGAGACCAGAGAGGGAGACCAGACAGAGAGACCAGAGAGAGAGACCAGAGAGAGACCAGAGAGAGAGACTAGAGAGAGACAGAAAGTGCCCTGTAAATTACTATTTGACTCTTTGGGGCTGAGAGCTGATTGACTGAGTGAGGGTGGTCCTCTCTTTTCCACTTTTAGTGCAGGACTAGTTTATTTTTATTTTTTTGCATTTAGAAAGTTAGGTACTCTAGCTTTTAATTTGGCTGTAGTCCTTGAATAAATGGCCTGTGTGTGTTATTCTCCTCTCAGATACATGGCGGACAGCGGACTCAATCTTTACTCGCGGAACTCGGGGAACTCGTCAGACTCCGCCTCCCAACGGGGGAGAGAGACTCCGGGGGACATCGACAGGTGAGACTCTAAACAGAAGAAACCAAACCGGTCTGAACACTCTGGTCCCAGTTTACACACAGCTCAGAATGGGATTTGAAACTAGATACTAATTTAAAGTGTTGATACTGGAGTTAAGTGGGGTCTCTGGTTTATGGCAGGGGTGTTCTAAAAAAATAACTCGCAATTAGTTAAATCCGTCTGTAAGTATGGGAAGACCTGAGACCAGAGAGAGGGACCAGAGTTTTACCAAAGAGAGAGAGAAGAGAGATAGGGAGCAGAGAGAGACAAGAAATAAAGAGAGAGACAAAAGAGGGACCGGGGAGGGTCCCTATCTGGTATCTCTCTTTGGTCTCTCTCTGGTCTCTCTCTGCTCTCTCTCTGGTCTCGCTCTGGTCTCTCTCTGCTCTCTCTTTGGTCTCTCTCTGGTCTCTCTCTGGTCTCTCTCTGGTCTCTCTCTGCTCTCTCTCTGGTCTAATCTCTGGTCTCTCTGCTCTCTCTCTGGTCTCTCTCTGGTTTCTCTCTGGTTTCTCTCTGCTCTCTCTTTGGTCTCTCTCTGCTCTCTCTCTGGTCTCTCTCTGGTCTCTCTCTGGTCTAATCTCTGGTGTCTCTCTGGTCCCTCTCTGCTCTCTCTCTGGTTTCTCTCTGGTCTCTCGCTGGTCTCTCTCTGGTCTCTCTCTGCTCTCTCTCTGGTCTATCTCTGCTCTCTCTCTGCTTTCTCTCTGGTCTCTCTCTGGTCTCTCTCTGCTCTCTCTTTGGTCTCTATCTGCTCTCTCTCTGGTCTCTCTCTGCTCTCTCTCTGCTCTCTCTCTGGTCTCTCTCTGCTCTCTCTTTGGTCTCTCTCTGCTCTCTCTCTGCTCTCTCTTTGCTCTCTCTCTGGTCTAATCTCTGGTGTCTCTCTGGTCCCTCTCTGCTCTCTCTCTGGTTTCTCTCTGGTCTCTCGCTGGTCTCTCTCTGGTCTCTCTCTGCTCTCTCTCTGGTCTATCTCTGCTCTCTATCTGCTCTCTCTCTGGTCTCTCCCTGGTCTCTCTCTGGTCTCTCTGTGGTCTCTCTCTGGTTTCTCTCTGGTCTCTCTCTGGTCTCTCTCTGGTCTCTCTCTGGTTTCTCTCTGGTCTCTCGCTGGTCTCTCGCTGGTCTCTCGCTGGTCTCTCTCTGGTCTCTCTCTGGTCTCTCGCTGGTCTCTCTGGTCTGGAACAAGTGTGTGTTATAGTGAGCTAGGGGCGATTCAATTTACGTGGAACTCAATCGGAGCCAGAGCAAGTTGGAGCCAAACTTCACCATGAGCACTTCCCTATTGGGCTTGTTTGCATCCTCCATCTGTATACAGGCCTCAGACATCTGGACAAAAGTTAGCTGGATCTTGGAGCGTCCAACATGAGCGGATGCCATAAATCCTGCTGAGAATGGGTTCAAACCTCGTCCACCGTCTGTCTCCGTTACTTAGACCCCACTGAGCACAGCCAATCAGCTTTGAGCTCCGGACGGCAGGACACGAAGAAAGCCTCTGATATTTTCTCTCATGTAGATAAAGGTGTTTTTACCATGGATCTGAACATTGTCAGAGTAGAAGCCTGTCTCGCATTCTCAGGAAGACTGTTCCAGATTAAAGAAGCATAAATGTGAAACTCTGCCTCCTCATGTTTAGTCCTGACTCTAGGACCAGCAGGAGGCGAGTCCCTGTGCTCCTCAGAGTCCCAGTAGGAGGTCAGTCCCTGTGCTTCTCAGAGTCCCAGGATCTCTCAGAGGCCATGGAGAGACTTGATCAAACATCTTACACATTTGTAAATAAGCGGCTGATCAGACTAAATAAAGTGTGTGAGAGTTCCTTGAGGCGCCACCTGCAGGTGAAAGCGAGATCCCGTCAGACCTCTAGCTAAATAGGACTGGTTCTGGTTAGTACTGTGATGGAAGAGCTCTGGGAACACTAGGGGCCACAGTGGGGCGACTGCGGCTGTGAAATGCCAGACCAGTCGTTGTGTCCTTATGCAAGACACTTCACCCACATTAGAATGAGTCTGGTGTGTGTAAAGGGTTAGTGGTGGGAGGGGCCGATGGCACATACTGGCTGCTTCTCTTCTGTCACTGTGCCCCAGGGCAGATGTGGCTATAGTAGTTTATCACCACTGTGTATGGAGTGAATGAAAAATGACATAAAAAGTGTCTTTGAGTGTCAAAAAATCCCTTTATAAAACCAACTTATTATCATGATTATTATTATTATTATTATTATTATTATTATTACTATTATTCTATTGTCCAGTTTTATTTAGTGCCAGATAAACTCTCACCATACCTCCCCTTTAAAAGAGAAACCCACTCTCACACCTGCCTCTTCTAAACCATGAGCTCACCTACTTCCAGTCCACACTCCATCACCCGCTGCTCCCTGCTCCACTCTGATTGGTCCAGAGAGAGGCTGAGGGGGCGGGCTTGGTGTCTGGGAGCGGCAGACGCACTAGAAGTAGAGCAAGGAGGTGCCGCGGTCCAGCTCACAGGTTCAGTTCTGACAGAGGAGGACGCGAGGAGGGGACAGAGAACAGGCAAGTGAACGATGTAACTGTCTGTGGCTGCAAATTTAAAGGAGATCTATGTAGTTTTGATGGGAGGGGCCGAGACGTGTGATTTTCTAATGAAGATGTTGTTGTTTTGACTGGAAATAGCGTAAAACTAAATGAAATTGTAAAGGAAAATGCCAATGTTGTATCATAAACTCTGGGACTCTGACCGCTCTCTAGTTTTTCTCTGGTCTCTCTCTCTCGGGTCTCTCTCTCTCTCTAGTCTCTCTTGCTGGTCTCTCTGTCTGATCTCCCTTTAGTCTCTCTATCTGCTGTCTCTCTTGTCCCTCTCTCTGGTCTCTTTCTCTGGTCCTCCTCTAATCTCTCTCTCTGCTCTCTCTCTCTTGTCCCTCTCTCTGGTCTCTCTCCCTGGTCTGTAAGGTCTGGAAGTGTGAATAAGTACCATTATTTTGAGAGAGTAGTAGAAAAATACAAATGTCGCAATAAAAACGCAAAGGGGTCAAAAGCATCTTTCTGACGCACTGCTGCATCATCCTCTGTGTCCAGTGCTGACGTCACACAAATAGTAACTTTTCAGCAACCAAAGAGCCAATCAGGAGCTAGAATGGAAGCCGAGGCTGAAGCTTAACATATTGATTACTGATTTGGGAATTGGGGTGGGACTAAATATGTTATCTTCTTCCCTCTCCCTTTCAGGCAGAAATAGGTGGTCTGCCTAATGCCTGAAATTAGAGAAAAAATATTAAATTTATGGAATAATTTTATTCGTAGAAATAATATGAGTAGATACATAATATGAATAGATACACAAAGAGTTGCTTTACATTGTTATAAAACACTGAAGAAATAAAAATGTTTTGTCACACAAAATCTGTGGCTTATTGCTATATTATCCTGGCGTTTACATTTAGATATTGTCTTCATAAATCCAGATATGACCTCAAACAACGGACCAATTAGGTGCCTTCTGTCACGAATTTGGTTTTTGGCTTGAGAGTAGCAGAGTAATGGTTGGCTCTGATTGGCTCTTTGGTTGCTGGGTAGTTGCTATGGGAGAATTTGGCTCCAGGTGTCCACCCATGGAGCCAGTTTGAGTTAGCACTAATTAGCTTCTTTCCCTCTTTTGTTCCATGCTTGGACGATTCTTTTATAAGACAAGAATGTAAATAAGATAGTACTGCTTAATTACCTGACCGTTAGCGCTGAAAAACATGTCAGGTAAAGCAGCAGAGCGAGCTTCTTTACATATTTGTCTAATTGAAAGGACCTTCTAAATCCTTCTGAGTCCACAATATTAGTCCGGATCTATGTATTGCGTAATCTCGGTCCCGGTGGAAGCTCTTTGATGGCCCGTCGTCTCCTGCATGTGCACTGGCTCCATCCAAGCACACATGATGTCATACAATATTCAGAGCGGGAGGTTCCATCGCGCTCTGGAGGAGAAGGAGTCTAAACCGACTTATTGTTTTTACAGCTCTGACCAGTACAGCTGAGATACCAGGAAGGTCTGCCCCAAATTCGCGCCAACCACTGCCTCTTCTGTCGAAATACTCCAGCCTCACACGGCATCCTTATACGCAGAGCAATAAACCGTAGATTGTCTTAAGCCCAAAATGGTTAATGTGACAAAAAGAGTTTATGAAATAGAGGCGTTTACATTTATATGTGAATCATTAGGAGCCAGAGAAAGCTGGAGAAAAACTTGAGCATTTCCATACCAGAGAGAGAGACCAGAGAGAGAGACCAGTGAGAGAGACCAGAGAGAGAGACCAGTGAGAGACCAGTGAGAGACCAGTGAGAGATCGGAGAGAGATACCAGTGAGAGAGAATAAAGAGAGAGACCAGTGAGAGACCAGTGAGAGACCAGTGAGAGACCAGTGAGAGACCAGTGAGAGACCAGTGAGAGACCAGTGAGAGACCAGTGAGAGACCAGAGAGAGACCAGAGAGAGACCAGAGAGAGACCAGAGAGAGACCAGTGAGAGACCAGAGAGAGACCAGAGAGAGACCAGAGAGAGACCAGAGAGAGACCAGAGAGAGATACCAGTGAGAGAGACCATAGAGAGATCACAGAGGGATTAGAAAGAGAAAAGCAGCTGGGAAAACACATTCAAAGTCAGTGTATACTCAACTTTGGATTCTAGTCTCTCTCTGGTCTCTCTGGTCTCTCTGGTCTGTCACTGGTCTCTCTTTCTAGTCTCTCTTTGGCCTCTCTTTCTAGTCTCTCTTTGGTCTCTCTCTGGTCTCTCTCTCGTGTCTCTCTCTCTCTCTCTTGTCTCTCTCTCTGGTCTCTCTCCCTGCACTGTGTCGATACAAATCAGATGCAAATACACGGAGAGAAAATGCCGTAGAGCGAGATTGTCTTTGAGAGAAAGTTAACAGCAGAAAAAGTGAATCCGTCGTCTTTAGAAATGCAAAAGAAGTGACAAAAGGTGACGCACGTCCATTGACAGCACCAAGGACACTGCACCTACGCACAGCGCTCTCCCACTCTGCGCAGCCTGAGCACCCAACTCTACTATAAATTTATGTTTACAATTTCACGCTGAAAATAACCAATGATCAATACAAAAGAAAATGAAAAAAGTACAGATAATGTAACAGTGTCTGCAGGAGACGAGTTTTTATTACTTTGAAATTTTTCTATTCTCGCAATCATAGCATTTCTTCACACCATCAGAGAAAGACAGAGGCTCTCTGATGGTCTCTCTCTGGTCTCTCTCTGGTCTGTCTCTGGTCTCTATGGGATCTATCTTGTCTCTCTCTCTCTCTCTGGTCTCTCTCAGGTCTTTCTCGCTCTGGTCTCTCTCTGGTCTCTCTCTTTTCTTTCTCTCTGGTCTCGCTCTGGTCTCTCTCTGGTCTCTCTCTAGTTTTGCTCTGGTCTCTCTCTGGTCTCTTCTTGTCTCTCTCTCTCTCTGGTCCCTCTCTTGTCTCTCTCTCTGGTCTCTCTCTAGTTTCTCTGCTCTCTCTCTAGTCTCTCTCTGGTCTCTCTCTGGTCTCTCTCTGATCTCTCTCTGGTCTCTCTCTGGTCTTTCTCTCTGGTCTCTCTCTGGTCTTTCTCTCTGGTCTCTCTCTGGTCTCTCTCTGGTCTTTCTCTCTGGTCTTTCTCTAGTCTCTCTCTGGTTTCTCTCTTGTATCTCTCTCGCTGGTCTCTCTCTTGTCTCTTTTTGGTCTCTATCATGTGTCTCTCTCACTCTCTGGTCTCTCTCTGTTCTCTCTCTTGTCTCTCTCTCTCTCACCTCTCTGCACTCTCTCTTTCCACAAGCTGTTATTAGTTTGAACAAAGCACTTTAATGATCTCGCCTCTATAGCTGCACTGAGCACAAAGTCACAGGCACATTCTCTCTCCCTCTTACTGCGTCTGGCTGGAGTAGAAGTCAGTGGCGGCTGGTGGAATTTTCTACTGGGGGGGCTATGAATATGATGACTAGATATATACCAGCAGTAAGTAAGTTTACACTGACTGTTGTGACTGAAGCCTCACACGAGAATGAAATATTTATCTTCCCAAACATAGCTAATTTGAGGGCATTTTGCATGTGGATACCAGTCTGCTCATGCTTCTTTGCCTTTTCTAAAAAGTGCTTCAGATCAGTCATACCTGTCTTGATCCATGCTGGGTCAGATCCTGATGTTTGAAACAAGAGGCATGGGTTAGCAAAATAAAGCATTAGCCTCGCTACATGCTGCTAGCCAAGATTTGGCGCTGAACCAGGTCCTGGAAAAAGTACGAGTGTACCGTCTCCCCCTGTCGCTGGACTGCTGACTAATGGTAATATTTGGCTGATCAGGTCCAAGCTCTTTAACCTCAACCTTCTCCTGGTATGATCTTCTCTCAAACGGTATTGTTTTGAGTGATCTAACTGAATTATTCTTTTTCTCGTTCTCCATTTTGCGTCTCTTTACGTTCGTCTCAAACTCCCACAGCTTGACCTGTCAATCACTGTAAACGGACGTCACAGACAGTGACAGTACAGGTCGCGGGCGATCCCGCCCCCTCAGGGCGCACTTCTCCTGCGCCCCCAAATCGTCTGCGCATGTACAACTTTTAACGAGAGTCCATAGACGGCTCAGGGCGCAATCTTTTGCGCCCAGAGGCGGAAATACGTCCTCAGTCCGACACAGACAACGCTGATGAGCTTAATCAATCCAACTCAGCATAAACTATAAAGTATTTCTTCCACATCTGAAATAAAACACACATCAATTTCGAAATATTTTAATGTTATCATTTTTTTTAACGTTTTATTCAAGGTAACATGGCAAGTTGTGAGTGGTGGGGCGGCGCCCTAGCGCCCTCTATTGGCCGGCCGCCACTGGTAGAAGTAGCACGAGCAGAGAACTTTATGAGCTACTGTAGTATTTGAAGTCCACATTTTCTGCCTTGTGTGTCCCTCGGGGTGAGAGAGAGACAGAGCGGAGACAGAATGGGCTGGAGCGGGGCCCATCTCTGTCACAAACAAGCTGCTAATTTAGGCAGATGGTGCAGAGCAATGCCCCGATAGTCGTTTGTCTCCGGCTTCTAGAGATTCGCACTTTGGAAACAGACGATGGTGAAGCGGAGTTTAGCGTCTTCTGTCGTTGGTCACAGAAAACAGGGGCCGAACTGGTTTGTGTGTTTTTTATTAGCCAACATGGAACATATGTACATACTTACATACATACAAACATACATTTCATTCACACAAACAGACTCAGGTCGACAGATGCAGAGTGGAGAAGGTTTTTCTGCAGTGATTCTAGATCAGGGATGTCAACGTCAAATACATCAGAGGCCAAAAAAATCTAATTTGCTACACGCCGAGGGCCGGACTGGTTCAATGTTTATCAAAATGATTGCACGGCAGAACCAAGACCTAACACGGTGAACTGTATTTTATTTAGTGATTAAATGAATAATCCAATGTTTTCTTATGGCTCTGTGCAGCTGGTTCTAATACTAATCAAATATCATCCCAGAGGCCAAGATAATTCATTTGCAGGCCGGATCTGGCCCCCGGGCCTTGACTTCGACACCCATGTTCTAGAATCTAGATGAATCAAGTGAGAGGGGGAGAGGAAAGGGAGAAGAAAATAAAATTATCTATAATAATAATAATAGTTGAATAATAAAAAATTCAAATATGAATGCATCATTTTTTTAACGGATTTGATGTGATTTTATTGTAAAGCACTTTGGTCGCCTTGAGTGTTGTAAAGAGCTAGAGTTTGATCATATGTGGATTTACAAAGACCATACAACATAAACACCAGGATCACAGATTAAACCCAAACTGGTGAATGTGACACAAACGGTTACTGAGGTAGAGGACTTTCCTTTGACATGTAAGTCAAAAGGAGCCAGAGACTTCCTCCATGAGCACTTCTCTAGTGGGCTTCTTAGAGCTAGCTAGAGCTAGATGTTAGCATTGTGCTTCTGTACTCAGTCTACAGCCTCCTCCTCCCTCTGCTCTGCTCGTCTCATAGTTCAGTCCTGGTCGTGGGGGTGAGCGGGTTTGCCTCTCCTCGCCGGGGCACAGACCTGCTCCGCTGGGACACCTTGGTAACGTTGCCGCGGTGACGTTACCGCGGCGATTCAGGTCTTCAGCTTCAGCACAGTTCTGTCAGAGCACATTTTTTAAAAGGCAGCATGATTTATTCAGAGCGGCGTTAAGACGCACTTCCCACAGCAGCACAGGACAGGGACTGTTAAAGCTGGGGTACCTGACTTTACTCCTCGTGAATAACATGTTCATGTGTTAAAGCTGGGGTACCTGACTTTACTCCTCGTGAATAACATGTTCATGTGTTAAAGCTGGGGTACCTGACTTTACTCCTCATTAATACAACAGAAAAACTCATGTCTTCTAATGTTCATGTCTGTATAAAGTTGTTGTGGGGTTGCATTAGCCACTCAGACTTTCAGAGCAGTCAATTTGATGACTGCTCATCTGCAAATCAATAAAATTCTGAAATTTTTCCTTCAACATTTTTTGTTTTCCTCCAGTTTTAATGAATATTTTTTTTAGCTTTACTGCTAAAACAGTTTGTTGAAAGGCTAATGCTAACTGATGTAAAAGCGTGTTGCTATGGTAACTAGAACTGGCTCCTCTCTGGTAGAAAATCTAAGCTGAACCAGGACCAGTCCAGGACCGGAAAATTTGGTTGCCAAGCAACTGAAAATGGCTAGATTTGAATTCTGAAGATTTTAATGAATGGAGCTGTCAATATGACTGCTTTAGGAGTTAGAGCTATATCTACTGACATTTAAATAATAAAACAAACATTTCATACAAATTGTGGCATAGAAACAAAATACATAAAGAAACAGAAAGGTTGAAGTAATATAATAATAATAATAATAATACACGTCGTATTCTAAAAGCCGTCACTTTGACTGCTCCCCGTGTCTTGACTCATGTGTTTCTCTGTGTTGACAGTTGGGACGACAGCAGCTCCGTGAGCAGTGGTCTCAGCGACACTTTGGACAATCTCACCACAGACGAAGGTCCATCCACATCCACAGAGGGCAGCGGGCCGCGCAGGAGCAAGACCGGACAGGTGAGGAGGGCCAGGACAGGTTATTTGTGTAGCACTTTTCAAAGTGGCAACTCAAAGTGCTGAATAAAACATTAATTATTATGTTATATAATCTTTTCTATCATTTGTCTCATATCACAGAGAGGGAGCCGGTCCAAGCATGGCGGCGACCCAAAGGTGAGCAGCAGCTGGGCCGGCGCCGAGGATCTCAAGAAGGTGGAGGAGGAGCGAGACCTGGGAGCAATGGACCAGAGCAGTGGACCCCAGCGATGGAAGACCAACCAGGGATCAGCCTCTGCCTCAGCCCTGCCACAGAACTACCAGCCTCACCAGTCACATCCGTCCCACCAAACACTACACTCACAACACCAGTCCCACCAGTCCCACCAGTCCCATCAGTCCCACCAGTCCCACCAGTCCCACCAGTCCCACCAGTCCCACCAATCCCACCAGTCCCATCAGTCCCATCAGTCCCATCAGTCCCACCAGTCTCACCAGTCTCACCAGTCTCATCAGACCCACCAGTCCCAGTATGAAGACCAGGCCCAGAAAAGTGCAGCTCTGGCTCAGGGGTCCCAGACTGGCTCCTGGAGACGGGGGATGAGTGCTCAGGTGGGCATCACTCCACCAAGAAACAAGACCCCATCATCAGCTACCCTCAAACCCACAGGTGAGGTCCAAGTGAGAAAGCCAGGGTATGTTCTAGATTTTGGTATGAGAAAGACCAGAGAGAGAGAGAGACTAGAGAAGAGAGAGGCCACAGAGAAAGGCCTGAGAGAGAGATCAAAGAGAGAGAGATCAAAGAGAGAGACCAGAGAAAAGCAGGTTGAGAGAAAGAGAGGCCAGAGAGAGACAAGAAAGAGACAAAAGAGAGAAGCCAGAGAGAAAGATTTTTTTTTCGACTTTCAACCTGTTTCTTATCCACATAGTTCTGATATAACCTGCTTCGACTCGTTCTGTAGGTAAAACCGATGACGCCAAAGCTTCTGAAAAGGTGAAAGCTTCGTCCAAATCTTCCGGCGGCGGGATCCAACGCTCTCCCTCTGATGCTGGGAAGAGCAGCGGTGACGAGGGCAAGAAACCTCCCTCCGGAATCGTCCGCCCTCCCACCTCCTCCGGCTCTTTCGGCTTCAAGAAGCTCCCAGTCCCCTCTGGTGCTCTGATCACCTCCAGCGGCGCCACCTTAACCAGCGGATCCGCGACCCTAGGGAAAACCCCCAAGTCGCAGTCCGCTCTGGGCAAAGGGGCCGCGATGGTCGGGGCACGGAAGACCAGCCTGGATGGGACCCAACCGGAGGACGATACGGGGGCGATGGTTTGCGGAGGCTCCAAGGTCACGCTGCAGTACCGCTCGCTGCCCAGGCCGGCGAAGTCTTCGGGTGGGATTGCGTCGAGAAGCCCCCACCGCTCCAGCTCCAGCAGCATCGAGTCCAACGTTAGTGCCAAGTCTCAGAAAAGGCGGGAAAGCGGGAAGGTCTGCTCCGATCGTTCCAGCCCCGTTCCCGTTGGTCAAACGGAGAGTAGCAAAGTAGCAGAGCAAGACGGACTCTCCACCTCGCCAAAATCTAGTCCTACCTCTTCCAGTTTGAGGCAACCGGCGTCCAAGTATCCGGACATCGCCTCGCCGACGTTTAGAAGGTGAGGGACTAATATCTATATCTGTACTGTATGTGCGGTCTTTCTGTTGGGTCTGTCCACAGGTGTCAAACCGGTCATCAAAGGGTGCGGCTGCAGGTTTTAGCTTCAACCTAAGCAGAAGATATTGAGTCCCACAGTGGAGAAATGTCCGTTTCAGACCAGTAGGAATGAGGGTTGACAGTAACTCAATACTAAAATAGAATAAAATCTCTAACTTAAAGCACAATAAAGAAGCAAGTTTAAAATACTGTGTACTACAACAAATATATAGTTTTATGAATACATAAAGTGCCTAAGTAAAGTGACAGTGGACAGATGTGGACACAAATATTGATAGATAGATAAATACTTTATTGATCCCCGTAGGAGAAATTCAGGTGTCCAGTAGCAGCAGACTCATCCAGGTTTGTTGTACAGTCTGACAGCCGAAGGAACAAAGGATCTCTTGAAATGTTCTGTTCGACTGCGCAGTGATAGGACCCTGTTGCTACAATTACTCCTCTGAGCGGCCATATTGTCATGATATATATTTTAAAAAAAGCCAAAAAGTACAAGAAACAGTTTTCAGTGTGAGATCAATCAACAAAAACACTTAAAGAACGGTGCAGTTTGTGGAAAGAAGCTGTTAGCATCTACAAATGTCCTGCAACTCAGAGACTGATAGCTTCTGCTAGAGGGAAGAAGCTGGAACATTGCTTTTCCAGGGGTCAGAGGAGTCAGTGATTATTCTAAGAGCTGGGTTTAAGAGTCTGGATTCATAAAGAACCTCGAGAACAGACAGTTCAACAAGCAAACTTTCAACGATGCAGCAATAAAAGTTCAGCAGAATCTTAAGAGTTTGTGATGAATTCTTTGAGAGACCAGGTTCAGTCCATTTCCTCAAGTTAGTCTAGTTTAGACCTAAAGCTTTGATGAAAATGGGTGGAGTCTGGTGTGCTCCTGCTTAGGTTGGAGTGAAAACCTGCAGCCACACCGGCCCTTCCTGGAACCAGTTTGGCTTGTACACTCCCTGGGTTTGTGTTCCACTGTTGCGTTCTCATTTGACACCAACAAATCATTGTTTTAATGTTGTGGAAATGTAAGTGAAAAATGTCTTGTGTCGTCATGGCAATATCAAAAGCAAAAGTTTTGTCCATTTCCTGCAGAGATCAAGAGGAACTTCAGCATTTATATAAGATTGATATAGTTGTTTTAAAAAGATTTACTTAGGACTTTGGGTGCAGGTTTTAAAGAGGCCTCAACCAGAAAAACCTGGACCAATAACAGACCTAGACTAGACCGGGACCAATAACAGACCAAGACTAGACCGGGACCAAAAACAGATTTTGCCCAAGACCAGAATTGGACTAAAAACATCCCAATATCAGACTCAAACCAAAATGAGATCCAAGACCAGACCGGGAGGAAGACAAATCTACAGTAAGACCAGACCGGGACCTAAAAAAGATCCAAGACCCGTTCCGGACCAAAGCTTGATCCAGACTGTGACCAATACCAAACCACATCCAGATTTTGATCCTGGACAAAAGCTGACCTGGACCAAGACCAGCCCCTAAGTTTTAATTTTCTGTTTTGAATTAAAACTAGTTTGGATTCTTCACTGTAAGATTCTTGCGCGGATGAAAAATACAGTTTATTATTGTTTAGATCCTTTTCATGCCTTTTCATCCAACCCATTGTAAACATGCTAATCTATGCTAACCTGAGCTAACCCGAGATAAGTAAATTAACCAGTAGAAGAGGCCGTTCTGACACAGCGAGCGTTCTGGACGTTTTGCTTTTGAGCTACGATCTGCCTCCTCTTTTTTGTATTTTATTTCTCCCTTCCTGCTGCTTGACGTCATCGCTAACTAGCCTCCGCTGCTTTGCTAAAACATCGGCTCCGTCCCATAAAGTGCAAAGTGACGACGTGTTCAAACAGTTCAGAGGGAATCAATGAATTTTGGAATCAGAGAAACAGCGACGTCCCGATCCAGTGGAAGTGCCCTATATACTGACAGTGCACAGAACACAGAGAGACCAAGAAGAGGCCAAAGAGAGACCAGAAGGAGACCAGAGAGAGACCAGAGAGAGAGGAGAGAGAGACCACAGAGAGACCAGGGAGAGAGCTGAGCGAGACCAGAGAGAGATCAGGGAGAGAGCTGAGAGAGACCAGAGGGAGAGGAGAGAGAGACCACAGAGAGACCAGGGAGAGAGCTGAGAGAGACCAGAGGGAGACCAACCGTGAAGCAGCAATGATTGAGCCTCTTACAGGCTATAAATGTTCTGAAGTCACTAAAACATGTAGCTGTGAATGTAATGTGAGAGTGAAGGACGTGTGTAGAGAAAAAAGAAACTACTGAAACAATTGTAAAGCGCTTCATTGAAATACGCATTCTTTACTGAATCGGGACATCTCTGTTACTGCATCGTCTTATACCTAGCGGATGTGTAAAGTTTGGCTCGTTCACCGATGCACTTTCTGGGACTTCTACCCCAGTGAGACCTCTACCCCTGTGAGACTTCTACCCCTGTAGGTCTTCTACCCTAGCTTCTTCCCCTATCAGACTTCTACCCCAGCTTCATCCCTGTGGGCCTTTTACCCGAGCTTCTACCCCTGTCAGACTTCTACCCTTGTAGGTCTTCTACCCTAGCTTCTACCCCTGTAGGTCTTCTTCCCCTGTCAGACTTCTACCCCAGCTTCTACCCCAGCTTACCCCAGCTCTGATTTCTAAAAACTTCCATTGCTCAGCAGATTGTCCTCCTCTGAGCATGTCCAAATTCTCTCCCCTCAGATTGTTTGGCTCCAAAGCGAGCAGCAAGCCCAGCTCCCCAGGCCCCCCGGGGCCCCTCGAGGCCCTGAGCCCCCACGGGATCCTGGTGCGTCAGCCCAGCCTGGACTCCCCTTCATCAGGGGCCAGTGGGGGGAGCAGTCCTCTGTACGCCAAGGCCGCAGAGCTCTGCAGTGACTCCTCGGCTCTGTCCCTGCCCTCGGCCTCCCGCAGCCTGCATACCAGCTCCGAGTCCATAGACCTGCACCCGGGCCCCCAGGGGTCCCGCACCGGCAGTGTCAAGTCCACCCTGTCCGAGGGGTGAGTAAGGCCGCATGATGAAGAGTCTTGTTTCATTGGACGAGTCTGCTGGGGACCACAAGATCTCTGCACCTTTAGATACAACCGACATCTCACAGTCAGTCACAGACCTGGAGTTGATTTTAGACCCATCCATGCTAATACAGGAACGTTTGGCACAAATAGGTATCTCCACCCCTCTGTCAGAGTGTGATGTCATTGTGCCACTATGACATCATTGTCCAGTGATCAACCAGAGCGACGATCATATAGAGAGATGGATCCACTCCCCAGAACTGACAGGCTGTAGATCCAGGACTGAGACCAGAGATCCAGGACTGAGACTGTAGATCCAGGACTGAGGCTGTAGATCCAGGACTGAGTCTGAGGCTGTAGACCCAGGACTGAGTCTGTAGATCCAGGACTGAGTCTGAGGCTGTAGATCCAGGACTGAGTCTATAGATCCAGGACTGAGGCTGTAGATCCAGGACTGAGGCTGTAGATCCAGGACTGAGGCTGTAGATCCAGGACTGAGGCTGTAGATCCAGGACTGAAGGCTCTTTGGCGAGGATGGAGGCGACCAGTTCTTATCAGAGATGTTTGAGACTATACTAAAATCAACAACAGAATTGAATTAAGAAAACTTAGGGTCACTGTATAGAAAGTGTCCTGGATCGGTCTTGACTCTAGTATCATCAAACTGTTTTTACACCGCTGCACTCGTCACAAGTCTCCAAAATGAAACAAGGGTTGGACGTGTTGTGTGTTCTCGTCTCATTCATTCATAAATCTGTCATTCGTGTTAAATGTGTTTTTATAGTTTGTTTTTATGTTTCTTTCCTCGTGCTCCATGTAATCGGCTCATCCTTGTTTTAACAGCATGACCCTCGACAGAAACACACTGCCCAAAAAGGGACTGAGGTATTGACACAAACAAGGACTCTCTCTCTCTGTCTCTTTCTCTCTATCTCTCTGTCTCTCTCTCTCTCTCTCTGTCTCTCTCTCTCTGTCTCTCTCTCTCTCTCTATCTCTCTCTCTGTCTTTATCTCTATCTCTCTCTCACTTTCTCTCTCTCTCTCTCTCTCTCTCTCTCTCTCTCTCTCTCTCTCTCTCTCTCTCTCTCTCTCTCTCTCTCACTCTGCCTCTCTCTTTCTCTGTCCCTCTCCCTCTCTCTGGTCTCAGTCTCTCTCTCTCTCTCCCTCTCTCTCTGATCTCAGTCTCTCTGTGTCTCTCTATCTCTCTCTTTCTCTATGTGTATCTCTCTCACTCTCTCTCTCACCCTCTCTATCTCTCTCTCTCTGTCTGTCTCTCTCTCTCTCTCTCACCCTCTCCCTCTCTTGCTCTCTCTCTCTCTCTCTGGTCTCTCTCTCTCTCTCTTCTCTGGTCTCTCTTGCTCTCTGGTCTCTCTCTCTTTCTCTCTCTCTCTTGCTCTCTCTCTCTCTCTGTTTCTCTCTCTCTCTATCTCTCTCTCTTGCTCTCTCTCTCTATCTCTCTCTCTGCGGCTGCATGGAGGAGAATGGCTCTTGGTTTTCTTTAACAGTGTGCACTAGAAAATAATATTAATACATTTTTGAAGACTGTAAAAAAAAATATGCTTCAGGGCGAGTCTGTCAAAGTCATATCTCTTCTCTCCTCTCTCTTCTTCTTTCCTCTCTCTTCTTCTCCTCTTTCTCATGTTCTCCTCTTCTATCCCTCCTTCTTTGCTCTCTCTTCTGTCTCTCCTTTCCTCCTCTCTCTTCTCTCTCCTTCTTTTCTCTTTTCTCTTTCCTTTTCTCCTCTCCTCTCATCTCTCTTTTCTGTCATCTCTCCTCCTCTACTTATTTCCTCTCTCCTGCTCCTTTCCTCTCTCTCCTTATGTCTTCTCTCTCCTCCTCTCTCTCCTTATGTCTTCTCTCTCCTCCTCTCTCTCCTTATGTCTTCTCTCTCCTCCTCTCTCTCCTTATGTCTTCTCTCTCCTCCTCTCTCTCCTTATCTCCTCTCTCTTCTCCCCTCTCATTTTATCCTATCTCTCCTCTCCTCTCTCTTCTGTCTCCTCTCTCCTCCTTTTCTTCCTTTCTCTCTACTTCTCTCCTTTGATATTTTCTTTTGAAATCCTGCTTTTTTTCTCTACTCTACTCTACTCTACTCTACTCTACTCTAATCTACTCTCCCTTGGTTGGGAGTGTTTCCTCTGACCCTGTTTAAGCAGAACCAGGTCCTCCTTTAGTCCCTCTTGGCCATGAAATGGTTTTACACATATTAATCTAAACTAGACTCATGCTTTGTAAACGTACGCGTTGATCATCTCGCGCTGAAGAGATATTCAAGACCAAAAAAACCACTGCTTAAGGAAACCACGCGCCTGGATGTGCATGTTCAAATTGTGATGTCGCATTGCTGTAAAGAGTCGATCCAAGCTGACAAGGAGAGCTGTCGATTTACTGTATACAACATCCAATATAGACGAGGCAAGTTTATCTGTATGGCACCGTTCATACACAAGGCCACTCAAAGTGCAGAACAAAAAAGAAAAATATCATAATTACTGTATATTAACAAGAGTGAAGATACAATCCTTCAGTTGTTTGCAGCTTTTAACCTGGACTTGAACATTGTCTGAGAAGAAGCCTGTCTCTGACTAGATTTTAGCTATAGTCCTGACTCTGAGTCCCAGCAGGAGGCCAGTCCCTGTGCTTCTCAGAGTCCCAGCAGGAGGCCAGTCCCATGTGCTCCTCAGAGTCCCAGCAGGAGGCCAGTCCCTGTGCTTCTCAGAGTCCCAGCAGGAGGCCAGTCCCTGTGCTTCTCAGAGTCCCAGCAGGAGGCCAGTCCCTGTGCTCCTTGGGGTCCAAGTTTGTTCATATGGCACTAACATGTACTGCGCCGTACATTGGTTTGAGGCCTTTGAGAGACATTAATTTTTTTTACCACACTCGCAAATTGTCTATAAGTAGGCAAGCAAAGTTTTTTTTGTATAGCACAGTTCATACTCAAAGGTAACTCAAAGTTCTTCACAAAACAAGAATGCGGCTAAATTTCTGCTCGTGAGTACGGCGGCATATTGGCGTAGATCTGTGGGCGCTGCTGTTGGATGACTCACTGTGGAACTGCTGACCACTGCCCTGTCACACACACACCTACGCACACACACAGAAACACACATACCAGAGGTGGGACAAAGTCATTGTTTAGCAAGTCACAAGTCAGTCTCAATTCATTGCCCTCAAGTCCCGAGTCAAGTCACGAGTCAAGACAGGCAAGTCCCGAGTCGAGTCCAAGTCAAAGGCCAACAAATCTCAAGTCAGTCCCAAGTCCTACGGTTTGACTTTCGAGTCCTCTCGAGTCTTTTTGACCGCGATTTGTTTCTTGTTGGTCTCCACGTACTTTTGTAGGCAAACAAAATAATGTTAGGAATCATTTTGCTGGTGCATTCTCGTTGGTCTCTGACCCATGGACTAACAGTTTGTTCCATGTCGTTGGCTGCTGGTAAATCAAAACTATCTACGTGATCTAATTGGATGTTGTGCCAGATGCAGGCTCAGTTACACATGCACAGACCACACGTAAAATCAGAGCAGTCCGTGTCAACATACTTTTTATCTTTGGGGTTTTTAATGGGAAGTAGCAAGTGCAGCAGTGCAGCATATATGAATATGAGTATTGGGCTAGGACCTGTATCTATATAATCAGTTTAATGTCCGTAGTGGTTATTGTTCCAAAGGACTGAAGGGACCAATGGAGGGGAAGGACCCTGGCCTGTATGAACTGGACCAGCATTAGTAATATCTCATAATTACCAATATATCATTACATAATAAAATGTCTCATATAAATTAATTCAATCAGTCAAAGCACTGATTCTCATATCAATGCACCATAAACAATAGTGCAAATATTAATCTAGCTTAGTGCACATAATCAAAACAACTATCTAATGTATGCAAACTTTAGCAGGAGGAGCACAGCAAAAACATACTCATAATAATAGGCCTCGGCGCCCACACAGAAAAATATAAGAAATAGCTAACAGAGAAGCGCAGGCTAGCGCTAGTTTGACTCACCAGTTCCTCTTTAAAACACGGCACACAGTGTGACAACTGCGTCGATTCAATTGTATGAGGCGCCTGTAGTGAAAGCATATCAATTACGGTTTGTAGAACAAAATATGACGTTAGGTCGCGATAAATACCTGCAGCTCGCTCATTTCCAGCTCCCCTACGACAATACACCCACCGGTGAATGCAGTGCGCTTGTTTAGGGAAGTGTTGCTGCGCGAACTGCGGGGAACTCACGTTCGAACTCTCTCGCGAGCGCTACAACTACCGCGAGGCTTTGTTTCTTCAGAGACGGCATAGATAGAAAGAGAGATGCGGAGAAAGGTAAAAATGGCCCGGGTTACGCAAGTCTTTGCAAGTCAATTGGCGCAAGTCCAAGTGAAAGTCAGAGTCATTGATGTTAAAGTCCAAGTCGAGTTGCAAGTCTTTTTACATTTGGTCAAGTCGAGTCTAAAGTCATCAAAATCATGACTCGAGTCTGACTCGAGTCCAAGTCACATGACTCGAGTCCACACCTCTGACACATACACACACAGACAAACACACACACACACACAGAAACACACACGCACACACAGACAGACACACACTTCTGCGGGGCGCGAGGGTCAGACGTGACAGCAGCGTGAACCAAACCCAATTATGATTCCCTCTGGATTAAATATGGACCATTGTGGCGCGGGCGATAAGGAGACGAGAGCGAGGCCAGAATGAGAATGACCACTGACTTTGTTGTGTGTGTGTCTCTCTCTCTCTCTATGGTCTTTCTTTTTCTCTCCATGGACTCTTTTTGGTTTCTCTCTGATTTCTCTGTCTCTCGTCTCTCTAGTCTCTCTCTCTAGTCTCTTTCTCTAGTCTCTCTCTCTGGTCTCTTTCTCTATAGTCTCTCTCTCTCTAGTCTCTTTCTAGTGTCTCTCTCTATTCTCTTATAGTCTCTCTTTAGTCTTGTCTCTCGTTTTTCTTTCTGGTCTCTCTCTAGTGTCTTTCTCTCTAGTCTCTCTCTAGTCCCTATCTCTGGTCTGTCTCTGGTCTCTTTCTCCAGTCTCTCTTTGGTCTCTCTTTCCAGTCTCTCGCTACAGTCTCTCTCTTGTCACTCTCGCTGGTCTCTCTCTCAGGGTTCTGACAGAGGACAAACAGTGCATGCCGCATCCTCTTTTATGCATTTCATATTAAAGCAACGTGACCCATGCCTTTGACCCGTGCCTTTGACCCGTGTGTTTGACCCGTGTTGCAGGTATCCCCCGTCGTCACGGCAGGCTTCCCACGAAGACGGGAAGGAGTGGCTGAGGTCTCACTCTACTGGGGGGCTGCAGGACACGGGACAGTCCCCTATGTCTCCACCAGGGGCCGCTAGCAACAACACGGGGAAATACCACTACTCCAACCAGCGTAAGGAACCAGAGTGTTCAGAACCAGGAAACTTCTGTGCTGGGTTGGATTTGGTCCCAGAGTTTTGAGTATTTAAATTGTTCATATATTTTGACGTATTTGACAAGTTGCGATTTATTACAGCATGAGTGATAATAAACACTGGTCTCTATCTCTCTCTGATGTGTCTCTCAGTTCTCCCTCTGGTTTCTCACTCTAGTCTCACCCCAGTGTCTCTCTCTCTCTCTCTCTCTCTGGCCTCTCTCTCTCTCTCTCTCTATCTCTGTTTTCCTTCTGGTCTCTCTCTCTCTAGTCTCTTTCTGGTCTCTCTGTTCTTCTTCTGGTCTCTCTCTCTCTCTGTTCTCCCTCCGGTCTCGCTTTAGTCTCTGATCTCTCTCTGTTCTCCCTCTGGTCTCTCGCGCAATTCTCTCTCTCTCTTTCTCAATGGCCTCTGTCTGGTCTCTCTCTCTCTCTCTCTGGCCTCTCTCTCTGGTCTCTCTCTCTCTCTCGCTGGTCTCTCTCTCTGGTCTTGCTCTCTCTCTCGCTGGTCTCTCTCTCTGGTCTTGCTCTCTCTCTCTATAGTCCATCACTCTCTCTGGTCTCTCTCTCTCTCTCTGGTCTCTCCTCTAACAGGTCACATGTGTGTTTTGCAGTGAGTCCGACTAGCGGGGCTCAGTCCGGCGCCGGCTGCAGCATGAGCAGGTCCAACAGTATTCCTCAGGACTCGTTCGACCTGTTCGCTGAGGGTCTGGGAAGCAGCAACACGTCCCTGCTGGACAGAGGACGTCCCATCAGCCGCTCGGGATCCTTCAGGGACAGCACTGACGAAGGTACTGGGGGTCTACGGGTCTCTCACTGAGAACCAGACTAGAGACCTCAGACAAGAGCACCGCTACTACTGCCCCCTGGAGTTTAACCCAGGACTGGGTCAAAGAGTCCGGCCGCGCTCTCCAGTCTTTCTCTGGGTTCTCTCTCTCTCTCTCTCTGATTTCTCTCTCTCTGGTCCCTCTCTCTGGTACCGCTCTCTAGCCTTTCTCTGGTCTCTCGCTCTCTTTGGTCCCTCTCTCTGGTCTCTCTCTGGTCTCTCTCTGGTCCCTCTTTCTAGTCTTTCTCTGGTCTTTCTCTGGTCTCTCTCTCTGGTCTCTATCTCTCTGGTTTCTCTTTCTGGTCTCTATCTCTCTGGTTTCTCTCTCTGGTCTCTCTCTCTCTGGTATCCATCTCTCTGGTATCTCTCTTTCTGGTCTCTCTCTCTCTGGACTCTCTCTCTCTCTCTGGTCTCTCTCTCCGGTCTCTATCTCTCTAGTTTCTCTCTCTCTCTGGTGTCTCTCTTTCTGGTCTCTCTCTCTCGCTCTGGACTGTCTCTTTCAGGTCTCCATCTGTCTGGTCTCTCTCTCTGGTCTCTCTCTCTCTCTGGTCTCTTTCTCTCTGGTCTCTCTCTCTCTCTCTCTCTCTGGTTTCTCTGGTCTCAGTCTCACTCTCTGGTCTCTCTCTCTCTGGCCTCTCTCTGGCCTCTCTCTCTGGTCTCTCTCTTTCTGGTCTCTCTCTGGCCTCTCTCTCTGGCCTCTCTCTCTAGTCTCTCTCTCTAGTCTCTCTCTCTCTGGCCTCTCTCTCTGGTCTCTCTCTCTGGTCTCTCTCTCTGGCCTCTCTCTCTGGTCTCTCTCTTTCTGGTCTCTCTCTGGCCTCTCTCTCTAGCCTCTCTCTCTAGTCTCTCTCTAGTCTCTCTCTCTCTGGCCTCTCTCTCTAGTCTCTCTCTCTGGTCTCTCTGTCTGGTCACAGTCCGGTCTCATCACTGTTATTTCTCTCCACAGTTCACGGCTCTTCGCTGTCTCTCGTCTCCAGCACCTCCTCACTCTACTCCGCTGTAAGTACAGACTGGATTTCTTATGTTCAAAGGACCTTTCACCTCTGGTATTTCAGCACTGGTAAATAGGCTCATGGTCCTGAATGATAACGCTCATAAATTGCTGGTTTGTAAGATAAGAGTTTGTAAGAAGAGCAACCATCCGCAAACTCAATGTGGCATACAATGACTGTCTGAGGATTTTATTGAAAAAGCCACGATGGGAAAGTGCAAGTACTTTGTTTGTGTCAGCTGGAATAAGGACATTCCAGGCCGCCATGCGATGTTTGATGTACAGTTTTATTTGTCGGCTCAATGAAAGCCAGAATTGTATTGTCATAAGCCTGACAAATGTCAAATTCAGTGCCATGCGGTACCAGTCAGATCTGTGGAGACACTGGTACAGCTGTTTGCTCTGAGAAGTGAGGCTTATTGTTGTGATTACATGTGTTGTTTTGTGTTTTTATGTGATGTGTGTTATGTGTTATGTGTCTTATCCTGGACCCTGAGTCTGTAATAAAGTTTGATATGATATATAAGATGGACAGCGAACACAGGCAATAATCAACGTTGCAGTAATATCAGAGAAAGACCAGAGAGAGACTAGAGAGAAACTAGAGAGAGACTAGAGAGAGACCAGAGTGAGACTAGAGTGAGACCAGAGTGAGACCAGAGTGAGACCAGAGTGAGACTAGAGAGAGACCAGAGAGAGACCAAAGAGAGACCAGAGAGAGACTAGAGAGAGACCAAAGAGAGACCAGAGAGAGACTAGAGAGAGAGAGACCAGAGAGAGACCAGAGAGAGACTAGAGAGAGAGAGACCAGAGTGTCTAGTGAAAGAGCAGAGGGACCAGAGAGACAAGAGAGAGACAAACCAGAGAGAGAATAGAAAGAGACCAGTTGCATTTTGTGAGAATTTGTTTTGGTTATTTACTTTTGAATGTCTAATCTGATTATATAATCTGTTATGTTTGTTTCTTTCTCAGACCGAGGAGAAGGCGCATTCAGAGGTGAGCTCTTTTAGCGAGTGTGTGTTGTGTGGAGGACTGTCTCACGTTTTCAGGTAGATTGTAGCCGTGTTTATCTGAAACTTCACATTCAAATTGATTGTGTATTGTGCAGAGAGAGGCCAGGGAAACTAGAGAGAGAGAGAGAGAGAGAGACTAGAGAGGGAGGCCAGAGAGATTAGAGAGAGGCCAGAAAGAGAGAGACCAGGGAGAGAAGCCAGAGAAACTAGAGAGAGAGACCAGAGAGAGACATCAGAGAGAATAGAGAGGAACCAGAGAAACTAGAGAGAGAGACCACAGAAACCAGAGAGAGACCAGACAGGGAGTCCAGAGAGAGACTGCTGAGAGAGCAGAGAGCGAGACCAGATTGACAACTTTGACAGTGCCACAAACTGTGTAAACTGCTGACCAGACACGTCACAGGAACATAACGTGAGGTGTCTGGGGAGAGTCCAAACTGTCAGCTACGAAAAAAGAAAACAGAAAACCTTAAAAATAGAATGCAGGACCAGAGTTTGTCAGCAGAAGACGAGGAAACTACACCAGAAGCAGAGAGAGGGACATTGCAGCTTGTGTATACAGAGTGAGAGGCCAAAGAGACTAGAGAGAGAGACTACAGAGAGACACCAAAGAGAGAGACCAGAATGAGAGACTTGACAGAGAGACCAAAAAGAGACACCAGAGGGAGACGAGAGAGGGTGAAACCAAAGAGAGACCAGACATAAAGACGAGAGAGATAGACCAAAGAGAGATGGACCAAAGAGAGAGAGACCAAAGAGAGAGAGACCAAAGAGAGAGACCGGACGTTCACCGTTTGATACCAGTTGTTTAAGCAGAATGTTTGTGCATGTGTTTGAGACGGCTGTTGCTTGGTGTGTCTTCCTCTTTCTCTCCTGAGTCATGTGACCGTGATCGAAACCAAAACCAAACTATTGATTAAAAGACATGGAATAATAATTGATAAAAGAGTTGAACAGAGAAGCAAATGAACTTGATGTTGCGTTGCTTTCCGCATCAGTCTCTGTTTTGGATCGTGTTCTGCTTCTCCTCTGACGTCACTTCAGGATCTGTCCCTGATTTTTACTTAACCAATCAACTAGCATGCTAAGAGCGCACTTCCTGGTTCATGGAGTGTAGTCCTATTAAACACGAGAACTCCCGGAGCAGCCGATTGGACGTTTAAGTTTTTAATATGTTAGTTTTACCTTTCTAAAATTCAGCACCAGAGAGAGACAAAAGAGACCAGAGAAAGACCAGAGAGAGAGATCAAAGAGAGAAACCAGAGAGACCAGAGAAATATACCAGAGAGAAAGACCAGAATGAGAGACCAGAGAATAGAGATCGGAAAGAAAAATCAGAGAGAGAAACCAGAGAAAGAGACCAGAAAAAGATACCAGAGAGAAAGACCAGAAAGAGAGAGACCAGAGAGAGAGATCAGAGAGACACTAGAGAGAGAGAGACCAGAGAAAGAGACCAGACAGAGACCAGAGAGAGAGACCATAGAAAGAGACCAGAAAAAGATACCAGAGAGAAAGACCAGAAAGAGAGAGACCAGAGAGAGAGATCAGAGGGACACTAGAGAGAGAGACCAGAGAAAGAGACCAGACAGAAAGACTAGAGCGAGAGACCAGAGAGAGAGACCATAGAAAGAGACCAGAGAGAGACCATAGAGAGAGAGAACATAGAGAGAGACCAGAGAGGGAGACCAGAGAGGGAGACCAGAGAGAGACCAGAGAAAGAGACCAGACAGAAAGACCAGAGAGAGAGACCAGAAAAAGAGACCAGGGAAAGAGACGAGAGAGATAGAGACCATAGAGAGAGAGACCATAGAGAGAGACCAGAGAGAAAGACTGCTCTGGGAGTCCTTGTGTATATGGACTTTGAAGTGCTATACTATCCAAAGAATATAAAATCAGGTACAAGCCCTTTAAGTCGTCCCTGTGTTTGTCCTGCTGCTGTGAAGCTCCTGATGTGACCTGTGTCTAGTCTCAAAACTGCTGATGCTTCTCTCTCTGAATCTCTGAATCTCCTGCTATCCCTGTGTCTCTCTCTCTGTCTCTCTCTCTCCTCTCCATCTCTCTCTCTGAATCTCCTGCTATCCCTGTGTCTCTCTCTCCCCCCCTCCATCTCTCTCTCTGAATCTCCTGCTATCCCTGTGTCTCTCTCTCTATGTCTCTCTGTCTCTGGTTGTGTCCCTGTCTGTCTCTCTGTCTCTCTCTCCCTCTCCATCTCTCTCTCTCCCTCCCTCTCTGTCTCTCTCCCTCTCCATCACTCTCTCTCACTCTCTCCCCAAAGGCTGTGGACCCTTCTCACATCGGTCAGAAAGACACACAAAAATACACAAAGGCGTATTTGTTTTGGATCATTTGAGCGAATTGTTGCTTTTTACTTCTGTATAGAGTCCCCTACCCTACTCTACTCTACCCAACCCTACTCTACTCTACCCTACCCTACCCTACTCTACTCTACCCTACCCAACCCTACCCAACCCTACCCTACTCTACCCTACTCTACTTTACCCTGTTTGGAGCCGATTCCAGTACCAGGTACTTCTTTAGTCCCTCTTGGTCCTAGTTCTATCCGAGCTGGTACTAAAGTGTTCTGACAGTGATTGACCAGAGTGCTGTTGGAAGCCATAGCTACCAAGGAATTTCCACAGATACGGGACCAGATACTAAAGCGTAATGGAAACGCAACTAGCTTGAGTAGAGCCGAGTAGAGTAGAGTTTGCTGAGAATCAAGATCATGTTTAAGGGATAGGAATACTTCTTTCCGCCATTTTGAAGTGGCCGTGTGTGTCAAGGGTCAACGTCCTCTGTGGCTTTTGTCTGCTTTACCTTTGTTGTCTCGCACTAACCCAGCAACCATTCTGTAACCATAGTAACACCGAGTACGTTTACAAAGCACCAGTCAAATTCTATAGCTAGCTAACAAGATGCTATCCAAAGACGCTTGTAAAACCATGAGTAAAAATCAAGAACATTCTCCCTTAGAATGAAAAACTTGAATATTGTAATTATTTTTGTTACATAAAAAAAAAACTTATTAATAAACAACATACAGAAACAGAAGACGTCACAAATTATGAATTATGAAAAATGAGTTATTCCGGTTCTAAACCTAAAAGCCGTCAATTTCTAGTGTTACAGCTGTGCTCAGTTCAAGATAAAAACACAAGGTTGAACTTCATTTTTTTTTTTTTACAAATGCTTTTATACTACTATACTGTATTTACAAATATACTTAAAAATCTCAGTGCTTAGGCAAAGTTTCTAGACTGGCACCAGAGTGGTCAGACAAGCTTGGGAGCAACTGCGAATAGAGCCTATTTGTAGCGTTTTCCGTCTTCTGGTGCTTTGTACTCTCTGTAACGCTTCCATCCCGCTAACCCCAACCTCGAACGGGCGCCATGTCTGTCTCATTTCACTGAAAGCAAAGCAACATGTCGGTGAATAATGTGTGCTCTTCTCTTCCTCAAACCAAGGGCCAAACTGTCCCCAACACCACGGTAAATCCCACTCACTCTGGCATCTTCTACACCAGTCTCTGATCCAGTCTCTGATCTGAGTGTAGCACCTGTCCTGGATCCAGATTTTAGCATGTAGCATCAGCTCCCACTCCCTCTGATACTAGACGTGGAGAGAATTTCTGAAGCATAGAAAATAACTATAGTATAATTACCCTGCTTAAGTACGATTGTGCTCTTCATGACTTAGTGACTTTTTCTGTTACTTTATGTACTGTAGTTTATTTTCCAACATTCTATGGCAGTGTGCTGGACTGTGGTCTCAAACTGGTTCTGGTTCTGAGCCTAGTCACCATAGCAAGGCAAGGCAAGTTTATTTGTATAGCACAATTCATACACAAGGCAACTCAAAGTGCTGAACAAAACAAGAAAGCATTCAAATCATAAATAATCACAGTACATTAAAAAGAACGATAAAAATATAAAATCCCTCAGTTGTATGCACAGCTAGAGCCCTGCACTTGAGCCCTTGGCCCGAGGGCCCCGACAGCCCGACAGCCCGAGGGCCGGGCTTCGGGCCGATGACCGCATAATGACCTCGGACACGGGCCGGGCTCGGGCTCTTCATTTTCAGAGCGGCAGAATACATTTACGAACGCACCCACTGAATATAGCGTTCTATCACGCTGTAGTGTTTGTTGTTCTGTGTAGTGTTGTCATTGACGGCACATAGCGTTACTTACAGGTGTGTTGCAGCATCTGGGCATCATACAGATGCGGCCGTTCACTCTGCACCACTCCGCACACACAGAACTCATTGCAACACATCACTACCATGTATAACTCCGCCCTCTAGCTAAGTCTGCGTTCATATCAGTGCGCGGCACTATATACTACGCTAAAACATTGTTATGGGAGGTTACAAAAAAAAAAAAAAAAGTCGGGCTTGATGTGGGTTTTGGGCCTGAAAATTCAGAAACCATATCGGGCCGGGCCGGGCTGGGGCTCCACCCCTTCGGGCCAGGGCCGGGCTCGGGCCCAGATAATAGGCCCGTGCAGGGCTCTATGCACAGCTAAACAGAACCGTTTTTAACCTGGTTTTAAACATTGTCAGAGAGGAGGCCTGTCTCACAGCAACACACTGTTTGCTTGTAGCAGTTAGCATTAGCCTTTCAACAGACTGTTTTTGATATATTTCAGTTACAGTATATTCATCAGTTTTAGCCATTAGTAAAAGTGAGTAAAGAACGAGTGTGACTGATCTGAGAGCCCTAGTGTTAGTTAAATCCAATGTTGTAACAATGGCCAGACAGAGTTATTTCCTGTCAGTACATTATGGTTTCTGCACACTGTCACTGAAGTCAGAGTTTTTCGGTTCGCAGCAAATCCGTAAACTTCGGCGAGAGCTGGACGCGTCTCAAGAGAAGGTGGCGACGCTGACGTCTCAGCTTGCGGCCAACGTGAGTGTGGCGGGTTTCTGTCAATAAACAAGTGACAAACATGTGATTCTAGAAGTGCTCCAAGAGAATAGACCCATGCCCTGTGTTACTGGGTTAATAAAGTTTAGTCTCAAGTGTAGCACCTGGGCCAAGATAATAGCATATAGCATTAGCTCCCACTCCCACCGATACTAGACATGGTCGGCACTAGATCATATACGGAATCGGGATGAAACCGGAAGTAACAATCCTTCTTTCGAATTAGTTTTAGACTAAAAAGTCCTTAAGTGGTGACTGGTTAAGTTTTAGGTGTCTGATTAGGATGGTTAAGGTTAGGGTTAAGGGTGGGTTGGGGTTATTTTATGGGAATGGCTGGTTAAGTTTAGGCATGTATAGGTATTTTGTCATATTTACTTCCGCTTCTGTCCCGATTCCGTATATGATCTAGTGCTGACCATACTAGACATGGATAATGCCAACCTGCTAGCTCAATCTTCTACCCTCTTTTACACCAGTCTCAGATCCAGTTTAGATCAGCTTTTAAAGACAGAAAAGAGAAAAAGAGAGGACCCAGATTTTAGCATAAAGCATTAGCTCCTAACTAACTGATAGTGACCTGGACAATGCTAACCCGCTAGCTCATCGAAGCCCAATCGAGAAGTGCTTGTGGACCAAGTTTGGCTCTAACTCAATTTGGCTCCTATTGACTTACATGTAAAAGTAAACTAACCCAGGTTAGCCACCTAACCATCTATAAACAGTCGATGGCAGATGGTTCGTGTGTGGTGCCCCTCGGAGGCGGCAGGTGGCGGTACATGTCTGGACCAGAGAACAGACTGTGGGCAGAGACCTTCAAACGTTTGGCATTTTAAAAGGTTGTGACCTTCGTCCTCGCAGCCAGAACCAGCGAATACTAAGCTGAGAGAGAGAGAGGAGGATTTTTCATCAAAACAAAATCATATTACATAACTATTTTAAAGCATTGTTTCTCGTCTCGAACAGCTTCTTACTTTTAAAACCAAATATCTGAATGCTCTGCTCCTTACATTTACAAACAGGAGATGATGACATTACAACGAGTGCTTATGGTTGTAGGCTTCTTCTGCCCTCTGCTGGATCTGTGAACAAACTACAAGCCTCTGTCTGTCCAATAGTGTGACGTCAGTGTCTGTGATTGGTCCCCAAATCCACGCAAAAATGTCAATCCAAGTTTCCAGGCTAGTAGTCAGTATCAAGCGTGATGGATCCCAGTCTCCACAGTTTCGTTCCTAGTTTTCTGTGTCTAAAGCAGGTCTAAAGCAGGTCTAAAGCAGGTCTAAAGCAGGTCTAAAGCAGATCTAAAGCAGGTCTAGTGCAGCTGGTTCATCTCTTCCCTCTGGTGTCTTCCACAGGCTCATCTGGTGGCAGCGTTTGAGAAAAGTCTGAGTAACATGACGTGTCGACTGCAGAGCCTCACCATGACGGCAGAGCAGAAGGTACTGGAACATGGAGGAGAAGGAGGAGAAGGAGGAGAAGGAGGGAGGAGGCGGAAGGAGAGAGAGGAGGGGCATGGAGAGGGAGGAGGAGGAGGGGGAGGATGATGGTGATGAGGAGGATGATGATGATCTACACTCCTCTTGTCCAATCAGGTGTCCTTTTTGTTCTGTTCAATCAGGAGTCAGAGCTGGCCGAGCTGAGGGAGACCATCGACTTGTTAAAAACCCAAAACACAGACGCACAGACGGCGATCCAGGTGGCTCTGAACGGCCCCTCCCACCTGCACAGAGGTACAGGACTGAGGCTGTAGACCCAGGACTGAGGCTGTAGACCCAGGACTGAGGCTGTAGATCCAGGACTGAGGCTGTAGATCCAGCACTGAGGCTGTAGACCCAGGACTGAGGCTGTAGACCCAGGACTGAGGCTGTAGACCCAGGACTGAGGCTGTAGACCCAGGACTGAGGCTGTAGACCCAGGACTGAGGCTGTAGACCCAGGACTGAGACTGTAGACCCAGGACTGAGGCTGTAGATCCAGCACTGAGGCTGTAGACCCAGGACTGAGGCTGTAGACCCAGGACTGAGGCTGTAAGACCAGCGAGAGAGATGAGAAAAGAGACCAGAGAAAAGAGAACAGCGAGAAGAGACCAGAGAGAAGAGACCAGCAAGAGAGGCTAGAGAAAAACCGGAAGGAGACCCGAGGGAGATTCCAGTGAGAAAGACCAGTGAGCGTGACCAGCGAGAAGAGACCAGGGAGACTAGAGACAGAGACTAGAGCATAGAGATCAGAGACACCGACAAGTGACCAGACTGACCAGAGAAAGACCAGAGAGAGACCATAGAGGGACCATAGAGAGACCATAGAGACCAGAGAGAAACTGTGATTGCGTTGCTTGTGTGACGCAGATGTGAGGATCCGTCGGCAGCAGTCGTCGGAGAGCATGTCCAGCATCAACAGCGCAGCGAGCCACAGCAGCCTGGGCAGTTTAGGCAAGGACGCCGACGACAAAAAGAAGAAGAAGAAGAACTGGGTGAGTACTGGCTGCCAAGCTTCTGTCAGTGTGCCCAGGGCAGCTGTGGCTACACTTGTAATTAATGTTAATGTGTATGAAGTGAAGGTATATTTCTGTGAAGCGTCTGAGAGTCCAGCAAAGCACTGTATGAAACCCATACATAATAATTATTGATTAGACCAGAGAGATCAGAGAGAGAGATCAGAGAGAGAGACCAGAGAGAGAGACCAGAGAGGGAGACCAGAGAGAGAGACCAGAGAGAGAGACCAGAGAGAGATCAGAGAGAGACTAAAGAGAGAGACCAGAGAGAGAGACCAGAGAGAGAGACCAAGAGAGGGAGACCAGAGAGGGAGACCAAGAGAGGGAGACCAGAGAGGGAGACCAGAGAGAGAGACCAGAGAGAGATCAGAGAGAGACAAGAGTTAGACCAGAGAGAGACTAAAGAGAGAGACCAGAGAGGGAGACCAGAGACAGACCAGAGGGAGAGAGCAGAGAGAGAGACCAGAGAGAGAGACCAAGAGAGGGAGACCAGAGAGGGAGACCAGAGAGAGAGACCAGAGAGAGATCAGAGAGAGACAAGAGTTAGACCAGAGAGAGACTAAAGAGAGAGACCAGAGAGAGAGAGATCAGAGAGAGATCACAGAGAGACAAGAGAGAGACCAAAGTGAGAGACCAGAGAGACACTGGAGTGAGACTAGAGTGAGACTCAAGAGCAAGACCAGAGAGAGACCAGAGAGAGACCAGAGAGAGACCAGAGAGAGACCAGAGAGCTCTCAGGAAGTTACAAACCTTCATGGTTTTTGATTCCAATTCATTTAAACAGGGGGCTACAGTTTACGGATGGGAAAAGGTCCGAGGGCCACATGGAAACATGAATCAGGCCGTATGTGGCCCCTGGGCCGCACTTTGCCCGGATCTGCGTTGGAGGAACACATTAGTTTGATGTCTTAACCGTTTGTTGTTCTCCAGGTGGCAGACTCCATCCCGGCTCAGGTCAGTCTGTCTGTCTCCTCTTTCCATCCCCTCCATCCCAGACATCAGACATCTCTCTTCAGAACGATCGCATGGATACAACAGGCCTCCCTCCCCCTTTCCTCCCCCCTGTCCCCTCTCCTCTCCTCTGGGGCTGGTTTCATAAAGACTACAGGCACACGTCATGCATTGTTACTTCTACAGAGAGAGAAACTAGAGAGAGAGATTAGAGGGAGACCAGAGAGTGAAACTAGAGAGAGACTAGAAGGAGACCAGAGAGAGACCAAAGAGAGTGTCTCTGTAAGTAGTAGTAAGTAATCTTTATTTATATACCGCCTTTTCACTGCAGATCTGAGTCTCAAAGCGGTTTACAATTGTTAATTTTTGGGCATTTGTCTCCCACTCCACACAGAGATGGGAGCGGGGCCAGTACAGGAGGCGCATGCCAGAACTATTGGACATATTTTTAGTGGTAGGGGAAACCGGAGTACCCGGAGGAAACCTACGCAGACACGGGGAGAACATGCAAACTCCACTCAGAAAGGCCCTGGTCCGACCGGGATTCGAACCCAGGACCTTCTTGCTGAGAGGCGAGAGTGCTATCCACTCAGCCACCGTGCCGCCCTGTGGCTGTGTGGATAGCCCTCTGTGGTATTAAACCCAGCGGACAGGTCCTTCTCTGTGGTCTTAAACCGAGAAGAGAAGCAGGTCCATTGCAGACTAATGAACATTTAAAATAAGTATAAATAGCAAAAAACTGTTGTCCTTTGCTGCACAATAAATTAAGTCCTATTGACGTCTTTCTGAAACATTCCCAGCTCATGTCCCCTTATACTTACAGGATTTCCAACATGGCCGCCTCTCTCTTATGCCCTGCATTCTTACTCCCCTCTCGGAGAACTCTAAAACCAGTGATCATTGCCTGGAAACAGCACGGACTGTGTATCTCCCACCTGTGGGCCCGTCCCCGCGGCGTTCTGGAGACTCATGCGCTCGTCCATGTGCTTTGTGTGTTTTGCAGCTGCGCAGTTCCTTCAAACACGCCTTCAGCAAGAAGAAGTCCAAGTCCCAGTCCGGTCACGACGAGGCGGACGAGCTGAGCGACTCCATGCCCAGCTCTCCCAAACTGCAGCACGACAACCGGCAAGGAAGTCTGTCCACGCTGCGGTCATCGCCCTCCACCGCCGAGTACGTACACATGCATACTTATGTGTTTGTTTGGTCTGAAGTAACAGTGTGCACATGTATTTATGTGAGCAGGAAATGCAATAATAACAAACACATACTGTAGGAGCCAATGGTCCATATGGAGCGGGATGACCATTGTCCAGAAATATTGATAAATGTACCAAATCATTACTGTCCTTAGATCCTCCTGCACCGGTTAAGAGCTACTCAAAACTCAGTGGTTTTAATTACTTCCTGCTCAAACGAAGAGAGCTGAAGCAAAAATGTCCCATCCCCAAAAGGGAACAGAAGCCCTGTTTCCACCAGTCCACACTCTACTCTTCTCTACTTTACTCTAGGCTGTGTTTCCTTTACGCAATATTCTTTGGAACTGTTTTCCTAGCCACCTCTCCTTAACAAACATGTTTTTGTGGAAATTCGTTTCTACCAGTTCTACTCTACTTTACTTCTAAGCCACCCCAATTGAAAGTGTTTACCCATCTTTAGTCCCTCTTGGTCCTGGTTCTACCCAGGCCGAGCTGGTGCTACAGTGTTCTAACTAAGCTATGATGCGGTACCAGATGCTAAAGCGTCTTGCGAGTCACTCTTTGAAACTTAGAGATGTGAGCTGATTGGGTGAGTGAGGTTGGTCCTCTCTTTGTCATGTTTCTGTCTAAAAAAGTTGATCTGAAGATGTGACAGAGGCCAGAAATACCTGAAACTACTGATAGAAGTAGCTGTTTTTCGAGTGGAATTAGTGACTTTATCTGACAGTGAAGTACCCAGTCGTTTTGTGTTATGTCTGACTTGCTTCTTCCTCCTCCTCCTCCTCTTCCTCCTGCTCCTCCTCCTGCTCCTGCTGTAGACAGTGTGTGACTTGTGAGAGCTCGTCCTCTCTCGTCTGGACGCCAAAGAAAAGGCCAAACGGTCACATGGTTTACAAGCACAGATCACGGTAACACAGGCATGGTGTGGCTTTAGGTAACCGTGCTCTGAGTCTGCTGCACGCCATTTTGAATCCTCCAAGACTCAAATATTACTAGTATTTATGTAGAGATCATAGATAGATAGAGAGATACTACATCATTATAAAAGTTACTATTAATAGTAAAGTGCAACAGAACTATCGGTCACAACAGCAGAGGTGGTGCAGCCGCTGGTGAACAGCTGGTTCATGTCTGCAGAGTCTGCTGGTGTCGGACCATTTTCTCTTCTCTCTGGTTCAGAGTAAAATTCTTAATGCTTTATTTGCATTTTCCAAAATAAAATCAGCATTCCTCCAGTGGATTTCCGCTTGATCTGCTTGGTTAGGACCATGTATCTTCTCTGCTCGGCTCCGGATCAGTAAAACCATGTCCTGCAGTAACATTTATATGGTCTATGGTATATTTTGCATTCTTCTAAGAAAGCATGAAGTAGGTACTACTTGGTATCTGGTGCACCTCAAGCAGTGCTGGTGTACCTAAACTATAAGTATTAGATTTTATTGTTGATATGGGGATGAGAAGTTTTCTATTAAGGAAAAAAAACACCAAGATTTTGAGAGTTCCTGCTTTTCCATTACATTGGAAAAAGATTTTGAGCTTTGATTGCATTTAGTTATGTAAAGATGCAGGGCCACTGCACGTGTGTGTGTATGTGTGCGAGTGTGTGTGTGTGTATGTGTGCGAGTGTGTGTGTGTGTATGTGAGCAAGATGGATGGATCTGCTAACCTCTCCTTCTCCCGCGGAGCCTCTCACACTCTCCTCTCCTCTGCTCCTCTGAGTTGGCCCTGTCCCTCTCCTCTGCTCCTCTGAGTTGGCCCCGTCCCTCTCTTCTGGCCCCTTGTGGACTCAGACTGTGGGGGTTGACCCTGTCCCTCTCCTCTGTCCCCTCTCTAATCTCAGGTTGTGTGAATGCACCGAGGCCGAGGCCGAGACCATCCTGCAGCTGAAGAACGAGCTGCGGGAGAAAGAGCTGAAACTCACTGACATCCGCCTGGAGGCTCTGAGCTCCGCCCACCACCTGGACCAGATCCGGGAGGCCATGAACCGCATGCAGGTACCGTCTCCCAGCTCTGGTTTTTTTTATGTCTGTAAATATGACACTGGAGTTTGAAAGTTTGAAAATGGTCAGAAAAAAGTAGACCACACTGCTCTGTCTTCATAAACTCAGACCAGGACTTCAGAACCATAGAGACTTGTACACAACCAGAGCTGCTTTTAAGTCTGTTCTCTGAGCCACAGGAAGCCAGACAAGAAAGACCAGGACTAATGTGATGGTATTTCCTGGTTCTCATCAAGCCTCGAGCTGCAGCGTTTTGAATAAACTGGAGCTGTTTTACAGCTCATTTGGAGAGCTCTGTGAGCAGCCGTTATAGCAGTCTAATCTGGAGACAAATGCAGGAGAAGACTCTCTAAGTCTGCATTAGACACTTTATATTTATTCTGATGTTTTTCAGATAGTGAAAAGCTGCAGATGTTAGTGATTTGATGTGACTGTTACAATTTAAGTCCATTGATACTCCTACATTTCTGACTGTGGGTCGTAGGGAGAGAGACTGCAGGTGACAGATGACGCTCTCTCTTTCTGGGACCAAACACAATCATATCAGTTTTGTCTGAGTTTAACTGGAGACACTGTGAGTGAGTCCACTGGTCTGAAGGACATTTCCCTTTGTGGGTTAAATAATGTACTGCATCTATCTGCTGTATAAAACCACAGGAAACATTGTGTTTATGCCTTTGCTCAGAATGAGATCGAGACTCTGAAGGCGGAGAACGACCGCCTGAAGTCCAGTGGGAACGCCGCCGCCGCCGCTCCACTGAAGGCAGCACGGCCTCCCTCTGACACCTCCAGCGAGTCCTCGTCCTCCTCCCGACAGAGTCTGGGCCTGTCCCTCAACAACCTCAACATCACAGACTCCATCATGTCAGGTCAGTACAGGGAGCAAGGAACAAGGAACCAAAAACTAGGAACCAGGAACTAGGAACCAGGAACTAGGAACCGAGAAAAAGGAGGCACACGACACATTCAGTGTTGTCTTGGCCAGAAACAGGAGAGGGGCAGGATTTATGAAGTCACATCGTGGACAAAAATCTCTCTCTAGAGAGAGAGAGATCAAAGAGAGAGATCAAAGAGAGAGATCAAAGAGAGAGATCTGAGAGAGAGAGACCAGAGAGAGACCAGAGAGAGAAAGGTACTGACGCCACCTGAGTGTGTGTGTTTGTGTGCGTGTGTAACTGTGTGTGATTGTCTGCTTGTGTGTGGGAATACGTCTGTGATTGTGCGTTTGTGCGTCTGCTCTGTGTGTATCTGCTGACTGTATACAAATGTGTATTTTATGGTATGTGCTTGTGTTATTTTATACCCACCTGTATGTGGAGTGTTCTTCCCTGCCGGGGGACTACGGATGCAAATTAGCCTAAGGCTAACTCCGGTACAATGCATCAAATGGAGGCATTTATGTTTTAATTTTACACTGTCCCTTTTTAAATAAATAAAAAATAAAAATCAGAGAGAGAGTATAGAGAGAGACCAGAGAGAGATCAAAGAGAGAGATCGGAGAGAGAGAGAGGCCAGAGAGAGATCGGAGAGAGAGACCAGTGAGAGACTTTTAAACGAAACAAATAAAAAAAGTACTTTTTGAGATTTTTTCACAATTCCATTGATTGGAAACTGGGAGTTCTAGTGTTCAGTTTTGTGTTTACAGACGACAGCTTTGAGGGAAACCTGCGCAAAGAAGGTCGAAGTGTGAAGATCGTGGTGTCCATCAACAGCACGCTCAAGACCAGGAAGGTCAGAGAGAGAGAACCATGGACCGTGCAAAGACCAGAAAGACTAATACATGATGTGGTGATTACAGGGGAAGGTCTGTCAGGAATACCTCATCGGATCCATCGGCGTCAGCGGGAAAACCAAATGGGACGTGTTGGATGGAGTCATCAGACGCCTGTTTAAGGTGACCTCTGACCTCTGACTCTCCCTTCAGTGGATCACCGTCACAGACTGTTAGTGGCTGTAGACCCATATTTGTAGACTCATCTTGTAGACCCATACATATTTCAGCAGGACTAGAGAGAAACCAGAGGGAGACTAGAGAGAGAGACAAGGGAGTGACCAGAGAGATGGATGACAGATAGAGACCAGAGGGAGACCAGGAAAGAGAGAGACCAGAAAAAAACCAGAGGGAGAGACCAGAGAGAGAGACTAGAGTGAGACACCAGAAAGAGAGACCAGAGAAAGGTAAGAGCGAGAGCAGAGCGAGACCAGGAAAGCGAGGGGCCTGAGAGTGACACCACAGAGACTAGCAAGAGAGTGAGACCAAAGAGAGAGACCTGGAAACAACTATAGGTTAAACTATAGGCTCTTTGGCATGAACCTTGTAAACACAGCCTCTTTCAGACGTCACAAACATACAGTACATTTGTTTTTGCAGTCTCTCTCTCTCTGGAGTGTTGTACTTTAGTTTTAGCACAGTGTATGCTAGCCTCTCTCTTCTCTCTGTTGTCGGCCTCAGGAGTACGTGTTCCGCCTGGACCCCAGCAGCTCCCTGGGCCTCTCCTCGGACAGCATCGTGTCGTACCGCATGGGGGACGTGGTGCGCTCCCACTGCTCTGACCTGCCCGAGCTGCTGCCCTGTGGGTACCTGGTGGGAGACAGCAACGTCATCAAGGTCAACCTCAAAGGTGATCCTGGCCTGCTGACACAATCTCCATCCAAAATCTCTCTTTTCTCTTTCTCTCTAGTCGCTTTCTGGTCTCTCTCTCTCTCTCTCTCTCTCTGGTCTTTATCTCTGGCCTCTCTTCACAATCTCTCTCTAGTCTCTCTATGATCTTTTTCTCCGGGTCTCTCTCTCTGGTCCCTCTTTGGTCTCTCTCTCCGGTCTCTGTGGTCTCTCTCCAGACGCTCTTTCTTGGGCTCTCTCTCCGGGCTCTCTCTCCTGTCTCTCTCTGTGGTCTCTCTCTCTCTCCAATCTTTCTGTGATCTCTCTCTGTTGTCCCTCTCTCTGATATCCCTCTCTTTCCAGTCTCTCTCTGTAGTCCCTCTTTCTGATATCTCTCTCTGGTCTCTCTTTCTGGTCTTTCTGGTCTCTACGGTCTCTCTCTGGTCTCTCTCTTAAAACTATACTTTAGTATTTTTTTCCGTCACAATCCAGATAGTAATCCTGACCTGACCTTGTCCTTCTGAACAGGCGTGAGAGAGAACAGCTTGGACTCTCTGGTGTTCGACACGCTCATCCCAAAGCCCATCCTGCAGCGGTACCTGAACCTCCTGATGGAACACCGGCGCATCATCCTGTCGGGACCCAGCGGCACCGGGAAATCCTTCCTCGCCGCCAAGCTGTCAGAGTACCTCCTGTGTCAGCTGGGACAGGAGCCCAGCGAGCGCAACGTTGCCCGCTTCAACGTGGACCACAACTCCAGCAAGGTGAGCACGCAGGATTGGACCAAGGGATTCAAGATGGCTGCCTGTTCACTGAAGCGAGTTAGCCCTTAGCTGCTACCTCCAGAAGCTAGCTCACGATTAGCATTTTGTCTCTTCCCAATGCAAATTCTGATCCCATTAAGATCAATCGACTGTGTCACTGCCGCAAGTTAGCTGTTAGCTGTTAACTAGAGATCCAAGACGTTGGTTCATTCAAGACAATGCCCGTTTTTCACCGGTGCATGGTCAAAGTTAGCCGATTGCTGCTACCTCCAAAAACAAACTCGGAACTTGAATTCCTGCAAGGTCCAATCCACTGACTGTGTCACTGGCGCATTCCCTGAGTTAACCGTTAGTTGCGAGTTATGCAACATGTCTGCGCGTTCAAGCCTAGCGACTTGATAGGCCGGACACATTTATTGAGAAAATAAAACACAAAATCCATAAAGAAAAAAACCCTCCAAATCCGACCTTTGTGATTGGGCTAGTTTTGAGGACGAGCCATTTTCGTAAACATTGGGAATTGCCCATGGGAATGTTTTCTGAACACGTCTCCGCAAAAAGGCTAAGGTTAAATGCCATGTAGTTTTGACCCATTAGCCTGTGTAGCTCGGTGTGTGTGGACAGGGTGCTCCAGGGTTTTGGGGCGAAATGCACTTGTTTCTGCGCAGTGGGAATGAGGCTGTAAATGAGTTTTCTCTATTTTATATTTGTTGCTCCCTGCGCCACATAAAATATTCAAATAAACCTAAACTCTGTGACGTCTCTGCTTTTGATCACTATGTTTGAAATCCAAAAGAAATAATCTACAAATCTGGTGCAACAAAAGAGGTGCTTTGATCTTTATCAGAGCACGAATGCCACTGCTTTCTTCGCTTTCATCTGAAGTCTCTGCGGTTGTTGACAAATCCCCTGAAAGCTTCTTCTTTCAGGGCATTTCAAAACGTGGTGAAAAAATATTCATTTATGAATACATTTTACAAGGGTGAGGCTTTACTTTATGTATTGGACTGACTGTAACCGTAGACTGTATACAGATGGACGATGCTAACCCGATAGCTCAATGAAGCCTAATGGGGAAGTGCTCATGGGCAAAGTTTGGCTCCAACTTGCTCTGGCTCCTAATGACTTACGCGGAAAAGTAAACTCCTCTCGCCCAGTAACCATTTTTGTCACACACAATATTTCTGAAAAAAATCGGTGTTTTAGTGCTTTCTATGATTCTGGTTATATTGTCTTTGTAAATCCAGATTGACCAATCAGATGCCTCCATTCGCAGGGAAAACTCCAATATACCTTAGCAACCGTCTTAGCAACACGTTTGTCCCTGTAAAAATGCTAAAAGCTAGAGCCACAGTAGATAATCCTATATAAGGAATTTGGCTCCAGCTAGCTTATGTGTACAAATCGGCCTGTTCTGCGTTGTGGCTACCACCGTGGTGATGTCACACTCTGGGCCCTGGTCCCTGATGGTGTGGTTGTGTGCAGGAGTTGCGTCAGTACCTGTCCAGTCTGGCAGAGCAGTGCAACTCTGAGGACACGGCTCCAGCGCTCCCCCTGGTGGTCATCCTGGAGAACCTGCACCACATCGGCTCACTCAGCGACATCTTCAACGGCTTCCTGAACTGCAAGTACCACAAGTGGTCAGTACACACGCCTTCTTTTACGACTACTACTACTACTACTGACGCTATTCCAGGTACTATTATTGATTGACTGCGGAACCTTCCGCAGTCAACCATTGGTTTTGTATTTCTTTATTCCGTCATTTTTTTTGACACGTTTCACAGCTTTCACATTTTCAACAATTTCCACAAGTTATACATCAAAACGTTCCACATGTTTGGGAGATTATTGCTATTACTTTTGGGACTTCAGCGATTTCCGGTTTTTCCGCAATCGGACAAAAATCTGCATTGAGAATTCTGCAATGCATTTTAATAGGCCCATGCATTTTAATAGGACTTCAGCTCTTTCAGACATTTCTACAGTTTCAATGATTCAACAGTTTCAATGATTCAACAGTTTCAAGGACTTCAGCAGTTTCAAGGTTTCAAGAGTTTCAAGGACTTCAACAGTTTCAAGGACTTCAACAGTTTCAAGGACTTCAACAGTTTCAAGGACTTCACCAGTTTCAAGGACTTCAGTGTAATCATGCAACCTAATAGGGATTTTTCCATGTAAACCAGTATAATGCAACTTAATGGGGATTTTTCCATGTAAACCAGTATAATGCAACTTAATAGGGGTTTTTACATGTAAACCAGTATAATGCAACTTAATAGGGTTTTTTCCATGTAAACCAGTATAATGCAACTTAATAGGGATTTTTCCATGTAAACCAGTATAATGCAACTTAATAGGGTTTTTTTCATGTAAACCAGTATAATGCAACTTAATGGGGATTTTTCCATGTAAACCAGTATAATGCAACTTAATATGGGTTTTTACATGTAAACCAGTATAATGCAACTTAATAGGGTTTTTTTTTTACATGTAAACCAGTATAATGGAACTTAATAGGGTTTTTTACATGTAAACCAGTATAATGGAACTTAATAGGGGTTTTTTACATGTAAACCAGTATAATGGAACTTAATAGGGGTTTTTACATGTAAACCAGTATAATGCAACTTAATAGGGATTTTTACATGTAAACCAGTATAATGGAACTTAATAGGGTTTTTTACATGTAAACCAGTATAATGGAACTTAATAGGGGTTTTTACATGTAAACCAGTATAATGCAACTTAATAGGGATTTTTACATGTAAACCAGTATAATGCAACTTAATAGGGATTTTTCCATGTAAACCAGTATAATGCAACTTAATAGGGTTTTTTACATGTAAACCAGTATAAATGCAACTTAATGGGGATTTTTCCATGTAAACCAGTATAATGCAACTTAATAGGGGTTTTTACATGTAAACCAGTATAATGCAACTTAATAGGGTTTTTTACATGTAAACCAGTATAATGCAACTTAATGGGGATTTTTCCATGTAAACCAGTATAATGCAACTTAATAGGGGTTTTTACATGTAAACCAGTATAAAGGATAACAGTTTAAAGGATATCAGGAGCTTCAAATACTTCAGGAGTTTCAAAGATGTTTAAAGTATTTTAACAGTTTCAAGGATTTCAAGGATTTTTCAGCTAAATTCCACATTAGATCTGTTCCGCAGTCAATCGCAATGGCTTCAGCCATTGCAAGTTTCTAGTTTCTTCTGTTAATACTACTACTACTACTGTAACTACTATTACTACTGATACTACCACAACTACTAGTACTACTGCAGCTACTATTACTACTGCTGCCACAATTACGACAACTACTACTACTGCTACTTTACAACTGCTACTACTGCTGCTGCTAGTATACGAACAATCATGTGTGAATACTCCTTCAGAGTTCCATAGCTACTATTTGATTGACTGCGGAACCTTCCGCAGTCAACCATTGGTTTTGGTGTTCTTTATTCCGTCTTTTTCCTGATTTTTGACACGTTTCACAGCTTTCACATTTTCAACAATTTCCACAAGTTATACATCAAAACGTTCCACATGTTTGGGAGATTATTGCTATTACTTTTGGGACTTCAGCGATTTCCGGTTTTTCCGCAATCGGACAAAAATCGGTCGATTTTTCCCATTGACTTATAATGGGGCTTCCACAAATTCATAGTTTTCAGAATTTTCTTCAACATTTTCAGCATTTTCTGCAGTTTGTGCATGTTCAGCTTCCACAACTTGTGAGTTTTCAGAACATTAAAAAAACTAGAAACTTGCAATGGCTGAAGCCATTGCGTTTTGGCGGAACAGATCTAATGTGGAAGCCATTGACATTTCCACGGGAAGTTAAGCTGGAAAATGTGGGAAATATGACTAATATAAATATGAAGCGATCTCTTCCTTCCTAAAGAAGAGTCACTAATATCATATATATAATAATACTTACTTACTTACTTACATGTGTCCACAGGAGGAGATCCTCCAGATCCTGGCCCAACACCAAGGCCACAGGAACCACGTGGTTCAGTGGTTTCACTCCTTCCAGATCTCTGGGACTTTTATCCATGAGTTCGAGAAACTGGACATCAGCCTGAAGCAGTACGTGAGGGAGAGTCCGTACGGAGGTCTGGGGCTGATGGAGATACGTCCCATCGTCTCTCAGGTACAAACTGATGCGTCGCCATGGTAACGCCTCACCCTGGACTCGCACTGGGACCATAGATTGTTCTGATGATCCACAACTCTCAGAATCACAGTCTAAGGAGTATTGCTCATGATTTATTTATTGTGTTTAAGAAAATGAATTGTTTTGCTCCAACAGCAGATTGTCTCAGCCTAATCTCTGCACTGAGAAAAGCACATGTTTTTGAAAACATGCTAAGTAGCTAAGACCAGGGTCATGGTTAGCATCGCTGCACACTTTAGAGATTATTAAAGTTATGTTTTCAGAAAGAGACAGATATTTCAGTTTCAGACTTTGTTACATGTATCCCACCAGGGGCAATTTGTTTGAGCAGGGCACCAAAACTGATATACACACACATATGCACACACATAAACATACATGCACACACATAAACATACATGCACACACACACATACATATACACCCAATTACACACCCATGTGAATATTTTTGTGTATATGTACCTGTGTATATATGTGTGTATTTATGGTACTAACCTGAGTCGGTTGCAGATGGCACAGGCGCTCCACTTCCTGAAGGGACTCGGGATCATGCACAACGACCTGAAACTGGACAACATCATGTTGGTGGACCACCTCAGGAAGCCTCTGTGTGTTAAACTTATTGACTTTGGTTTAGCTAGCACAGAGAATTGTCAGGGCAAGGAGATTCATAACCAATACTACAGGTACGTGAGCCACACAGGGACAGAATCAGGGAAGTCCTCCATGTACTGTGCTATATAAATAATCCTGACTCACTCTTTTAGGCATGTAGGGCGTCCAAACGCTTAGATTAGAAATGTATGTGTTTGGACTCGGGCTGTGATTAACCACTATTTAGATTAGAATCCACTCAATATTCATTTGGATTAGTTTTGATCACAAAAGGCTAAAGGCTAAAGCTAGAATTATGCAAAACCTTAAAGACAAATCATAACAAATCTGGTTGTTTCATAATCTGTACATTTTTGAGAGAGAATCTATCAATAATATAATAATATAATAATAAAGTAGAAAAGCGGCTGAGGCGGTGAAGCTGCTTCCTCTGGTCGATGTTTGCAAAGTGTGCTTGGTTCGCACCATTTTCCCTGCTCTGGTTCAGAGTGAAATTCTCAGTGTTCCAGAGAGATGAGTTCTGCAGTGGGTCTAGTTTTGTCAGGAGCTCATCAGGACCAGCAGCGGCAAAAACACTGGACACTTATGAAGAGAGGAGACTTCTTTAATGAAGAGGGATTTTGTAATTCTGAAAACTTTATTAACATGAAAAAAATAAATCTGCTTTTGTCTGGATCAGTGTAAAACCATGATCTAAACTGCAGCAACATTTACAGACAGAAAAATAACAGTTTGAGAGAAACTTAGGACTTGCTGCGGTTTCCAGAGCGTTCAAAAGTAAAACCATAAAAGAATATTCCATTTGTTAAATCAGTTTGAACCATTTGATAAATCAGTAAAAGAATAATTCTGTGTGAAGTGTGTCTCAGCGTCTCCAGAAAGCTCTAAGTTAAAACCCTGATTCCAAACGATTGAACTTGTCTTTGTCCCCACAGAGCTCCAGAGGTCTTTCTCGGGGCCCCTGTGGATTCGGCGGCTGACATGTGGGCCCTAGGCATCATCGCCGTGACAACGTTCATGGGAAGGATGCCCCTTCCAGGCCCCAGCGACGAGGACATGGTCAGTTTCACAAACACCTTTGACCTGGTCCAGTCCAGGCCACTGTCACTTTACTGTCACTTTACTGTCACTTTACTGGCACTTTACTGTTACTTTACCGTCACTTTACCGTCACTTTACTGTCACTTTACTGTCACTTTACTGTCACTTTACTTTCACTTTACTGTCACTTTACCGTCACTTTACCGTCACTTTACAGTTACTTTACCGTCACTTTACTGTCACTTTACTGTCACTTTACTATCACTTTACTGTCACTTTACTGTCACTTTACTGTCACTTTACTGTCACTTTACTGTCACTTTACTGTCACTTTACTGTCACTTCACTGTCACTTTACTGTCACTTTACTGTCACTTTACTTTCACTTTACTGTCACTTTATCGTCACTTTACTGTCACTTTACTGTCACTTTACTGTCACTTTACTGTCACTTTACTGTCACTTTACCGTCACTTTACTGTTACTTAATTGACACTTTACTGGCACTTTACTATCACTTTACTCTCACTTTACAGTCACTTTACTTTCACTTTACCGTCACTTTACTGGCACTTTACTGTCACTTTACTCTCACTTTACTGTCACTTTACTGTCATTTTACTGTTACTTTACTGTCACTTTACTGTCACTTTACTGTCACTTTACTGTCACTTTACTGTCACTTTACCGTCATTTTACTGTCACTTTACTGTCACTTTACTGGCACTTTACTGGCACTTTACTGTCATTTTACCGTCACTTTACTGTCACTTTACTGTCACTTTACTGTCATTTTACTGTCACTTTACTGTCATTTTACCGTCACTTTACTGTCACTTTACTGTCACTTTACTGTCACTTTACTGTCACTTTACTGTCACTTTACCGTCACTTTACTGTTACTTAATTGACACTTTACTGGCACTTTACTATCACTTTACTCTCACTTTACAGTCACTTTACTTTCACTTTACCGTCACTTTACTGGCACTTTACTGTCACTTTACTCTCACTTTACTGTCATTTTACCGTCACTTTACTGTCACTTTACCGTCACTTTACCATCACTTTACTGTCACTTTACTGGCACTTTACCTTCATTTTACCGTCACTTTACTGTCACTTTACTGGCACTTTACTATCACTTTACTGTCACTTTACCGTCACTTTACTGTCACTTTACTGTCACTTTACTCTCACTTTACTGTCACTTTACTGGCACTTTACCGTCACTTTACTGTCACTTTACTTTCACTTTACTGTCACTTTACCGTCACTTTACTGTCACTTTACTGTCACTTTACTGTCATTTTACTGTCACTTTACTGTCACTTTACTGGCACTTTAGTGTCATTTTACCGTCACTTTACTGTCACTTTACTGTCATTTTACTGTCACTTTACTGTCACTTTACTGGCACTTTACTGTCACTTTACTGTCACTTTACCGTCACTTTACTGTCACTTTACTGTCACTTTACCATCATTTTACCGTCACTTTACTGGCACTTTACTATAACTTTACTGTCACTTTACCGTCACTTTACTGTCACTTTACTTTCACTTTACCGTCACTTTACTGTCACTTTACTTTCACCTTACCGTCACTTTACCGTCACTTTATTGGCACTTTACTGTCACTTTACTCTCACTTTACTGTCACTTTACTGTCATTTTACCATCAATTTACTGTCACTTTACTGGCACTTTACCGTCACTTTACCGTCACTTCACTGTCACTTTACTATCACTTTACCGTCACTTTGCTGTCACTTTACCGTTACTTTACTGTCACTTTACTGTCACTTTACCTTCACTTTACTGTCACTTTACTGTCACTTTACTGTCATTTTACCGTCACTTTACCGTCACTTTACCGTCACTTTACTGTCACTTTACTGTCACTTTACCGTCACTTTACTGTCACTTTACTGTCACTTTATTGTCACTTTACTGGCACGTTACTGTCACTTTACTGTCACTTTACTGTCCTTATCTGTGTCTAGTGTCACTTTGTATTATTGTATCCATGTGTGTGTGTATGTGTGTGTGTTCTTGTGTGTGCTTACATTTGTGTGTGTGTCTGTATTTGAATATGTGTTTTTCTTTGTTATAGTCTGTTTTTGTTCTTACTCTGTTGTTTTTATTCCATATTCAAATAAATTTCATTCGTTCATTGCACTAATCCAAACGTGTGGAAAGTACAAAGTGTAGATTGTGTGTTACATGCATATTGTGTATTGTTAAAAAGCGTGTTGTGTGTACAGATGAGGCACATCGTGGAGACTGTGGGTCACTGTCCTGGGTCTGTGTTAGGCTCTGGTCTCTACACAGAACAGTATTATGGTCTGTCCAGCAGCAGGACATGGGAGTTCAAGGTTTGTAGAAATACTTCAATCTGGAAATGTCCAACAAACGACCAACATGAGCTCATGGTGTGTTTCAGTTTCCTCCTCTGGACCCGCAAGCGAGAGCGTTACACCATTTGGACGACATTCACAAAGTAAGAGCAAAGAAAACAGACTTTTGTCCCGTTTCTGCCTCTACATTCTGTCCTTCTGATCTTACTTTAACATGAATATTGCATGTTTTACAATTGCCTTAACCCCAAATCTATTACATTTATACAAAAGTGTAAACTCCATCAACAACAGCAATAGATCCAGGACTGAGGCTGTAGACCCAGGACTGAAGCTGTAGACCCATGACTGAGGCTGTAGACCCTGGACTGAGGGTGTAGATCTAGGACTGAGGCTGTAGATCCAGGACTCAGACTGTAGACCCAGGACTCAGACTGTAGAACGAGGCCCATATATCTTTTCTGATCTTCTGTGTGTGTTTCAGAGAGGACGTTTAGGGCGTCCATTTGCTTCTGTCGAGGTCCATGATCGACTCGCCTTCGTTGATCTGGTGAAGCAGATGTTAGACCCAAACCCTGCATCGAGGATCACCCCAGCAGCTGTGATGTCGCACACTTTTGTGAGCATGCACCACCTGGCCGAGGGAGACCCATGCTAGTGAGTACCGCCCCCTGATCACAGGCCACATGTCATAGATACAAACCATAACACAAAGTACAACGGATTATACACAAACGCACACCAGAAACTTAAGATGCAGAACATAAATAATACACACAAAATATTCAAACACACACTTTTGGCGACTGGTGAAAAACCCTGGACTGAAACTTATAAATCTTTACTTTAGTCGCTTAACGTCGCTCTGTCAGGTCCATCTTCAAATCTATCACACCAGAAGTAGCTCTTTCTCAAAAGCAATATATAAAAAGTAAACATTAAAAATATCACTTTACATTGATTCAAAACGCTCACAACAAACATTGATCAAATAATCAGAAACTAAATATAAAAATGTACAAAATCAAAACAATAAAAATGTTTTCTTAACTCTAGTCGAAGACACATTAGTGACTAAACATTCTCCATTGTGAGATCAGTAAAGTTCATCTTATCTTAAACTTGGGACTTAACAAAAAACTGTACACACTGTATCTTCAACTGTTACACAAAGGGATAAAAGTACACACAACTTACATCCCACATACACACAACCCACACAAATGGGCATTTATCAATCAATCAATCAAACTTTATCTGTAGACGCCTTTCATACACAGGGCAACACAAAGCGCTTCACAGTCCACAACACTCAAGGCACAAATCATCACATAAAACAAGCAGTAGAATCACAATTAAAACATTAAAATTACACAATAAATAACAACAGTGCATTAAAAATAGAGATAAAATCCTTCATTTAGCAAAGACAGAAGACATAAGTCGTCTCCTAAAGATAAATATTACAGAAACCATTTGGCTGCATACGATATATGGATGTATGGAGTGATTATTGTCAGTAATTGTGGTAAAATGTTGTTTTTCAGTCATTCCACGAGCGTCCACGTCATGAACAAGGCCTACGGCATCGTGAGGAACCAGCTGCTGTTAAACTGCGGCGCCGTATTCCTGCCTGTTCAGAGCGTTCCCGTCTCAGCTCCCGTCAAACGGAAACGGACAGAGACTCAGGAGGACGACTGTGACGTGGCCTCACCGGCAAAGAAAAGGCAGATCCAGGAGACCACCGCAGCAGAGAGAGGACCTGACACCATCCAGGCCAACCTCCCAGAACCGGATCCACTGAAGGAGACAAGGACCAGCCTCCAGGGAGATCAGACCGGGACATCACCAACAGCACCCAAAATGGAACTTCCCATTGCCCGGGAAGACCAGGAGACAACACCGAATGTACGAGAGAGGACTTCCACCAACTCCCCAAATCCACCTAAAAGAAGGACTCGTACCAAGGGGGGCGGGCTACGAACCTTGACTAAGATCGTCCAGACAGAAGCCTCCTCAGGTGCAAACCCATCACCAAAGCCACCGACAAAGACTCGAACCCACAAAGGGAGACGGAGGAGAAAGAAAACAGTCACATCCACAGTCGACAACGGATCACCGAGTCCACCGAGGACTTAAAGAAGGAGCAGGAGCCGGAGTCACAGCAGTAGCAATATTCTTTAAAGATTCCCCTTAATTAATCTATTTTGTATCACACACACATCATAATCTTCATCATCGTCATCATCGTCGTCATACTTATATCATGTATGACACACACAGATGTGAAAATACAGGTTAACAACATGTATTTCCTTCATTGAGGGCGGGACATAATGGATTTTGTTGTCACTATAATATCTGCAAAATGATATATATATAATAATGCAGATATAGACATATACATATATATCATTTGCACTGTTATTCTGAAAGAGCACTGGCTGTAATTGAGTGAGTGCTTTAATAAAAAGTCTAACATGGGGGGGTCAGTTTGCATCCCCCTCAGAAAATGGGTAAGATAGATGCTGTACGACACACACATTCATAGAGGGGCGGGACATAAGTCTGTCTGGACAACTGTGGGTCTGTCCATCACCAACCTCTTACTGAGGAGTGGTCACGTGAAGCTAAGGAGGGCAGGGCCTGGTTAGTACTGTGATGGGAGACCTATGGGAACAGCAGGTGCCACAGTGGGCTGTCGTTGTGTGCTTAGGCAAGACACTTCACCCACATCCTTGATTCTACCCCCGGTCAGGCCCAGGCTTGAAGTGGGAGGTGGGGACGAGGCGGCCGCAGCTCTTTGGTTTGAAACCTGCTCCCATTGGTAAAGGTCTCCCATCACAGCTCTAACCAGGCCCTGCCCTGCTTAGCTTCACGTGACCACTCCTCAGTAAGAGGTTGGTGATGGACAGATCCACAGTTGTCCAGACAGACTTATGTCCCGCCCCTCTATGAATGTGTGTGTCGTACAGCAGGGGCGCATCTACCCATTTTCTGAGGGGGATGCAAACTGACCCCCCCATGTTAGACTTTTTATTAAAGGAACTCAATTACAGCCAGTGCTCTTTCAGGTTAACAGTGCAAATGATATATATATGTATATGTCTATATCTCATGATATAATCATATATATCATTTTGCAGATATTATAGTGACAACAAAATCCCTACTTTACATTACAACATAAATGTGTTAAAGGTTTTTGACTAAATCGATACATGTTCTTTTCTTCATGAAATCTGAGTAAAGGAGGCTCACAATACAGCGATCAAACCAATTATCAAAAATGACGTTTTATGAAATGCTCTCCTACATTTATCATTATGTTAGACCCAAAACATAAAAGTAAAAATGATTAGGCGATTGATAAATGAGAGTGAGTCGATATTCAACAAGAGTTTTCTGAAGTGAGAGGCTGGCCCTGAATCCAAACTAATAAAACATGTATGAGCCGATTTGATTTTTAATCTAGTTTCAAAGTTTAACTCAGATCCAATCGTTTCAATCTGCAAAAGGAGTTAACCCCTCCCACCTGTAAACGGAGTCAATGAAACACCTCCAGACCTTAGAAGGAAATGTAATTTGTACTGTGGTGTGGTACGACCAGGCTAAGACAAATCTAAACTAAAGTAATCACTGTTGGAACGAAAGTCTAGACATTCAAGATGATCAAAAGCATCAAACTGGTGCTGAGGGGTTGGACCAGCTGGATGGGACTGGACTCATCCTTACATTGACAGCTTTGGAGAAAACATTTGTGATCCATTTGATTTATTTGATTAAAGTTGTTGATAATTACAGTAAAACACAAAGTTCCAACAGTAGAAAAATACAGATGGACAGAACACATCTCTGACCACAGCGACTGAGGTTACTTTACCTTCTTTCCTACCATTGTTGGAAACGGAACTGATCCCCAATGGTTCAATTCCACTTGTTCTTGTCCCTAAATCACAACAGTTATAATCTTGGAAGACTTTACCAAACCGTGGAGTTCACCAACAACATATGAAACACAATAAATGCAGTGATAAAAACACACAGAGCCATTGGTCCAAAAGGAGAGAGACCAACGTCCATGGATGTTGATAAAGTCCATGGCTGTGGGTGAATGTGGAGTGTGCTGTAGTTGTGTGTTTTAAAGAGGTTTCAAAGACTGTATGAATGTTGTATTTGTGAAAACATGTGATAACTTTATATTGTTGCTAAATGTGATGTATTTGTTTGCAGGTTCCAAAGTGTGTGTTTGTGCGATGGCCGCAGCGTCACTGCTGCAGTTATGGACGCACACCGGATGTGACGATGAGATCTCAAACCCTGCTTTAGGTCAGATTTGTTTGAAATATATGTTACCGTGTCTTTTGTCACAGTTTTCAGTTTGAACATGATTGTTTTGTGTCTGGGAACGCCTTGGGGTCCCCCCGGACGAGCTGGAGGAAGTGTGTGTGGATGGGGAAGTCTGGGCGTCTCTGCTTAGACTGCTGCCCCCGCGACCCGGCAACGGATAAAGCGGAAGAAAATGGATGGATGGATGGATGTTTTGTGTCTCCCATCCACAGCTGCCTCCTCTGTCCCTAAACCTGTGTGTACTCGAGTACTGGACTTGGCGATCCTTCTTGATACAAGTCTGTGAGTATTTGACCCGGTCTCAGGAGAAAACACAGACACATTGATGTGTAATTGTACTTTTGTGTTTAGGAAAAGTCTGAATGTGTGAAGTGTGAGCAGAGAGCAGACTTCTCTCTCCACACACACTTCCTGCAGCTCATCTGGGGGACCCCACATAGTCCCTCTGTGTCCTGGTCTTTACCAAAGCTCAGGACCAGAGGTGAGGGACACATGGTCCTGACACTGGACCAGTGGAGGACACTGTCCTTTCTCTTTAGCTCCCTGTGCATTTCATGAGTAAGTTCACCTTTGTGTGTTTTAGCAAATATCTGTGAAGTTGCTCTTTGTGAAATGGTGTCTTTGCTTGAATTATTCATGAGAAACTTTTTACACATTTCAGGAGAAAGAAGCACAGCTGGTGTTGGACTTAAATGGACGGTCCCAAAATCAATATATACTGCAACATAAACATAGGGGCTCAGTTGGTAGAGCACTGGTCTTTGGACCTGATGGTCGTGGGTTCAATCCCCCCACAACCCATGCTCCCACTGATCTCTCTTGAGTCCCTGAGCAAGGCACTTAACCACACTTTGCCTGAAGCCCCCGCTGAAGGAGCAGCATCTACCTGAGAACCCCCACCTGCAGGATCAGTGAGGGACTTGGGGGCAGCTCTGATGTCCGTCCCGACCCAGAAATGGATAAATAAAGGGAACGACATGACAAAAAATGTATGTTTTATTTTTCTGGAACAGGGGTATGAAATCTTTTGCTCTGGAGCCACATGCAAGCATTCCAAACGCTTGGAAAGAACATTTGAATACATGTACCTATCTAATTTTATATATAGTGATGTCATATGACGTTGGAAATTGTGGATTTTAGAATGTTCATAAATATCATGTAAATAAAATATTTTCATTTCTTTTACATGAGGGACAGGCCTCCTCGCTGACAATGTTTAAAACCAGGTTAAAGACAGTTCTGTTTAGCTGTGCATACTGAGGGATTTTATATTTTCATCTGTCTCCGGAAAACGTCTTTACAGGATGGTTCAAAGTTGGCTCTTGGCCCAAAGCTCCGTTCCACATGTGTGTCAATGCTGAGGGAGTACAGATGCTTATTTACTGTCTATGGACCACACGCTGGACTCGGAGAGAGGCTGCATGAGCTGCATGGACGCCGCTGATTCGCTGGTTCAGTTTCTCCTTGCTGTCGATCTGTGACGCTTTTGACGTCACGGATTGTGCCACGTAACGATTTGAATCAGCTCGTTTCTGTGTCTCTGGAGAATGAAAGAGAAAGATCGCTCTAACTAAAGATTGACGGAATCAATGAAAAAACTACTCTGGGCATGTTTATGAGGCCAACTATCACTGATCATGCACCGTAAAAACGACAACTCAAAATTGTTCACCTTACTAAGATTTTTGCAATCACTGACAATAAAATTGCAAGTTGGAACTTGAACCGTCTGTTGTGAGCCACTTTTTTCAGATGAAAAGTTCATCTTATTTGATAAATTAAGTTCATTTTACTTTGAAGTTGTAGTTGACATGTCAACTACAACTTCAAAGTATAACTTGAAATATAAATGAATGTAACCTATTTTATAAATATTGTAAGATCAAAGCAAGAAAAAAAGTGATTTGGTGTACAGTAATGGAAAAGTTACTGTACACAATACAGTATTGCATATATTGCATATGCAATACCGACGTGGCTGTGAACAATACGTTTGTGAATTGTCACTAAATATGCTAAACCACCGGGCACAAACTACTTTGTCGAAACTAATAAACAAGAGCAGGTTATCCTGGGCTAAAGCTAAGTTACAGCCATTGGATATAGCAAATCATTTAACCAAATATCTAATTGAGAAAATTGATAAGCTTCGAAGTGATATGGGTCAGGGTAACAACACAAAAGTGGAAGAATTTATATCAAATAAGATAATAGCAGGAAAAATGTGTAAATTTGAATTTGTTGAAGTTTCTGTAAATAGAGTAGAAACATTATTACATGAATGCAAAGATAAACCATCTGGTGTGGACAACATTGAGGCAAAATTACTAAAATGGTAGCAAATCTAATTGCTCTGCCAATTACACACATTCTAAATTTGAGTTTCGGTTTAAGTATCTATCCACAGGCTTGGAAAACTGCTAAGATAATACCATTACCAAAGAGCTCTGCTGTACCTTTTTGTGGGCCTAACAGTAGACCGATAAGCCTGCTGCCAACCCTGAGCAAAATTATGGAGAGGATAGTTTTTGAACAAATACAGACATATTTTTCAGATAATCATTTGAACACTGACTTCCAGTATGCATATAGAGTAGGGCACTCAACAACTACAGCCATGGCACAAATGACGACCGACTGGCTTAGTGCACTAGACAATAAGAGACTGGCAGGTGCTGTGCTGTTAGACTTTAGTTCAGCCTTTGATCTTATCGACCACAAACTTTTGCTGAGGAAAATGAAATGTTATGGTTTCAGTCCAACTGCATTACTCTGGCTTGAAAGATATCTAGAAAACAGGAGACAAACTGTTTTCTTCAATGGAAGCTACTCGGATACACAGAATGTTAGCTGTGGGATACCGCAGGGAAGCTGTTTAGGTCCTCTCCTGTTTTCTATTTACACAAATGATTTGCCGTTAGTAGTTGAAAAAGCTAAAGTCACTATGTACGCAGATGACTCCACAATTTATTCATCACAAAAAAACTATTGAAGAACTCAAAACTGTATTCATGAAAAACTTAAAATGTGTTAATGAGTGGGTCAAAAACAATAAACTAGCGTTAAACATTAGCACAACAAAAAGTATTGTGTTTGGAACCAGATGTATGCTGTTGGACGAGCCTAAATTAAATTGAACTGTTAACAATACAAGTGTGGAGCAAGTTCATGAGAACAAACTACTGGGAGTGGACATTGATAGGAGACTGTTATGGTCCAAACACACGAGCACAGTAGCACAAAGAATGAGTCGGAGTCTGTCAAGGATTAGAAGATGCTCCCATCTCTTACCGCTCAACATGACAGCAGATGTCATAAAAACACTTGTTCTTTCACAGTTGGATTATTGTTCTGAAATTTGGTCGAGTGCTGCATTATCAAATATTAGGCAGTTACAAATGGTTCAGAACAAGGCAGCTCGACTTGCTCTGCGGTGTACGTACAGAACAAATGTAAAGTGGATGCATTCGTGTTTGTCTTGGTTAATGGTGAAAGAGAGATTTGAGGCATCGTTACTCAATTTCACAAGAATTATTATTGAGAACAAAACTCCAAATGTGCTTTATCAAGAGCTCTGTTTTAGTTCTGGTGAGCACAACTATGAAACCCGACACGCCACAGAAGGCAGATTCAAGTTACCCAAAGTAAAAACAAATTTTGGAAAAGCAACTGTAATGTACAGGTCAATGTTTGCCTGGAATCATCTCCCAAATGACATTATAATTAATGCAAACAGTAAATACCAATTTAAAATCCTTTTAAAAAGACATCTATTGACAAATTAGTATAAACATGTGATATTACAACTGTGCTGTAATCTCTCTAACTACCATTGACAACTGAAATTGGGTCTGGGTCTTGTGTGTGTGTGTGTGTGTGTGACCCTGTGTCATCATTTGTATCATTTTTGTTTTTATTTTAGTTATTTTCTCTCGCCTGTTTCACTTTCTTGGTGTGTTTGATCGTGCTCTGGTTCAAACTGAAAAGGTTCAACAGAGGAGCTCATTGTTGCCGCTACTGCTAAAAACATCCGCAACCTTATAACGTCACTACCCAGAATGCACTGCGACGTAAACAACAATGGCGGCCTACGGTAAATTTAAGATTATAAAACATATTAAAGTAGTGACTAATTTCTATAAAAAACGAGTCTGGCCACGAAGAAGCTGTGTCCAGACTCACATAAGACAGTGTTGAAATTCAAGTGTCTGGTAGTTTTCCCGCCGTTTGGAGGCGTATTCCTTTTAAAATGGCTTTTGAGTGAGAGGGGCAGGTAGAGACGGAGAGAGACTGTAGGAGAGAGGCAGACAGGAAATTAAGTAAAATGTCTTTTGAATGCATTTCTCTGTAGTGAAGTAACTATTATGGTATGGAAAGAATGTATAAATTTATCATTTTATGTAATTATATGTATTTTCATTTGCACGTTATGGTTATTTTAGATTTTGATATTTTTGTTTTGTCAATTTATGTTCTATTTTGTTGTCCAATTATCTATATTTTGTGTATTAATGTAAAAAGAAAGAATGAATTTGAAAGGTTTGAATGATTCTCAGTATTAAAGAAGCTGTGGCCAGACTAACATGTCTCCCTTTGGTCTTTCCACAGCTGCAGCTCATTTTTAGGCAACACAGTCTAGTAAGCTGTGTGCCGCTTGCTACGCACAGCTTCCCCTAGGGCTGGTGCAGGTAACACACTAGTGTTATGCACAGGCGTCATGCACAGGTGTTACGCACAGGTGTTATACACAGGTGTTATGCACAGGTGTTATACACAGGTGCTATGCACTGGTGTTATGCACAGGTGTTATGCACAGGTGTTATGCACAGGTGTTATGCACAGGTGTTATGCAGAGATGTTATGCACTGGTGTTATGCTCTTGGTCCAAAAGTGGCTCTTGGTCTAAAAGTGGCTCTTGGGCCCCTTGGTTCCAGATGCTGTCGATGCTGAAGGGGGTGTTTTGTTTGGACCAGTCTAGTTTAGCTGCTGTGGACTTTTGAATTCACTCATTAAATGAATGGGGCTCGTGCAGCTAACACATGCACAAATGCCATTTTGAAAAAGTCGGAAAAAGGGAAAAATTGTGACACAGACGTTTAAAGGGCCTGACCGTTAATATTTACAGTCTAAATCCCTATTCGAACGGGATTAGTACAGTATGACCTGTGGACCTCTGGTAATTAGTGATAATCGCGGAGGACGTCTGAGATCTTGCAGTGCATTCACACGGGATAACCATGTCTGTGATTTTCACTGACATCTCACATAACGGCCGCACGTGCGCAGGTCTCGCTGCTTCACACAGTTCATAAAGTCTGGCGTCTGACCACAGCAGCCACAGAGACCATGAGGACAAACACATACATGTGGATTTTACTGCTCTACAGTTCTCTGGCCTGTACTGTCTGTAATGTTTAAACAATTCTGTTTGTACGAACTACCCATGAACGCCCCACATACTCTGCTAACATACTGCTAACATTGTGCAAAGTAAACGCACAAACACAACTCATCGTTCTGATCATTAGTGTCAGTGAACACATTACACTGTGCTCTACACTTCTCCATAGACCTCACAGAGACAGCAGCAGCCGCAACCCTGCAGCTGTGTACACAGCCGCGATACGCGACCCCTCTGCTCATTGACAAAAACAACACAGACAGTAAAGAGAAAGCGGCAACAGCGATCACAATCACTGACATGCAGATCCACAGGATCAGTATTATCACAGGACGTCTGTGTTTGGACAAATACAGGAGGTCATTTGTGGCGGAATTATGACTTTACAAATTACAGACATGGTGCATTCGCACGGGACTAAGATCTCAGACGTCCTCCGAGATCATCACAAATTACCAGAGGTCTACAAATTAAACTAATCCCGTCCGAATAGGGCTTATGTTCAGGACGTGATGCCGTTTCCAGCACATTCAAAAGTAAACAATATAAACAACAACATAATAACAACATAAAGTTCAGAGGTTGTGGCAAAGAACTCTGACTTTTTAATACAATGTTGTCTTGTTTAATACAATAACTAATGTATGTACGAACCTAAAGAAGGAAAAAAGGCTAAATTGGCCATTTTTATCATCTTAGGCTGCTTTCAAAATGTTTTAACTTTTGTTCCTTACTCGTCTCGATTGATAAAATAAATATTAGTAAGTCTGTGTTCTGTGTCTGTAGATTCTTATTCTTTCTTCTAAATCCTGCTACATTCATAATAACTTGGTAAAAGTAGTAATCTATGAACAACAAGGCGTTTACATCACAACCGTTCATAAGCATTACGTCATTGATTCCGATGTCGTCTTTTAGAACCTCCATAGAACTTCCGTTGCCGCTGTTGCCATGGCAGCCCAGACTCAGTCTTTAGTCTCAGTTCACCTCAGAGCTTGTTTCAGTTCGCATCGATATTATTTTGCTCGTAAAGAAGTCGCTTTTGTGAAAAACTTGACGGATTGTTTTGATTTGGTGAGTGACTACGAGGGGAAGACATGGATACAGTGAGGCATTGTGGGAAATGTGGCCAAAGAATCAAACGGTTTGGGACTTTTGGGCTAAAATCTTTGTTATCCAAGTCGCGTGCTAAATGCTAACGTATGAAACACAACTGTATGTTTTGAATCGGGCTAAAGTCGAAGCAGAATTGTCTTTTTAATGTTTTTAATTGTGTCAAAAACAGACTAGACCTGGTTTTTCATCCTTTTCGCTGAAATAAGAAGGTTTTCTGGTGTAAACTGTTGGAAATCCTTGAGTCTGACTGTTCTTTTCTCTTGCTTCGTGCTGCACTAAAGAACTGATCCACACATTAGAACTTAAAGCTGGGGTACATAACTTTCAAACCCCTAAAATCAGACTTGGTGAAATGATGGGAGACCTCTGGGAACAGCGGGGGCCTCACTGAAGCGGCAAACAAGGCCTTCTTACAATGAACATTACATTTTCTGTTGCAGATCATGCAGTCCTATCTCCAGAACCCTCCGGACCTGCGTCCCGGGGCCCTGCTCCAGTCTCCGGTCCACTGCTTCCAGCTGCAGGAGCACTTGGCCTCTGGGGTTTATGGAAAGGTCATAGACTGTTGGAACGTCACGGCCCAGAGACCCGCGGTCCTGAAGGTCCTCCAGGTCCAGAACGCCGAGTTCTTTTGGCAGGAGGAGGTCAGTTTGAACACAGTGGGGAAAGCTGCTTTAGTTTTGCAAAGGGCAGAAAAGGTCTGGAACATTTCTGTAAAGTTTACCATACATTTCCACGGGAAGTTAAGCTGGAAAATGTGGGAAATATGCCACAACTGGGAATGAATTGTAACGTAATGAGTGAGTGATGGATGGTGTTGGTCGAGGGCTTTGATGGTCCGGTGTGTTCGGCGTCTGGCTTCATCACCGTGTGGAGAGAATGGAACAATATGACTAATATAAATATGAAGCGATCTCTTCCTTCCTAAAGAAGAGTCACTAATATCATATAATATAATACTTACTTACTTACTTACATGTGTCCACAGGAGGAGATCCTCCAGATCCTGGCCCAACACCAAGGCCACAGGAACCACGTGGTTCAGTGGTTTCACTCCTTCCAGATCTCTGGGACTTTTATCCATGAGTTCGAGAAACTGGACATCAGCCTGAAGCAGTACGTGAGGGAGAGTCCGTACGGAGGTCTGGGGCTGATGGAGATACGTCCCATCGTCTCTCAGGTACAAACTGATGCGTCGCCATGGTAACGCCTCACCCTGACTCGCACTGGGACCATAGATTGTTCTGATGATCCACAACTCTCAGAATCACAGTCTAAGGAGTATTGCTCATGATTTATTTATTGTGTTTAAGAAAATGAATTGTTTTGCTCCAAAAGCAGATTGTCTCAGCCTAATCTCTGCACTGAGAAAAGCACATGTTTTTGAAAACATGCTAAGTAGCTAAGACCAGGATCATGGTTAGCATCGCTGCACACTTTAGAGATTATTAAAGTTATGTTTTCAGAAAGAGACAGATATTTCAGTTTCAGACTTTGTTACATGTATCCCACCAGGGGCAATTTGTTTGAGCAGGGCACCAAAACTGATATACACACACATATGCACACACATACATGCACACACATAAACATACATGCACACACACACATACATATACACCCAATTACACACCCATGTGAATATTTTTGTGTATATGTACCTGTGTATATATGTGTGTATTTATGGTACTAACCTGAGTCGGTTGCAGATGGCACAGGCGCTCCACTTCCTGAAGGGACTCGGGATCATGCACAACGACCTGAAACTGGACAACATCATGTTGGTGGACCACCTCAGGAAGCCTCTGTGTGTTAAACTTATTGACTTTGGTTTAGCTAGCACAGAGAATTGTCAGGGCAAGGAGATTCATAACCAATACTACAGGTACGTGAGCCACACAGGGACAGAATCAGGGAAGTCCTCCATGTACTGTGCTATATAAATAATCCTGACTCACTCTTTTAGGCATGTAGGGCGTCCAAACGCTTAGATTAGAAATGTATGTGTTTGGACTCGGGCTGTGATTAACCACTATTTAGATTAGAATCCACTCAATATTCATTTGGATTAGTTTTGATCACAAAAGGCTAAAGGCTAAAGCTAGAATTATGCAAAACCTTAAAACAAATCATAACAAATCTGGTTGTTTCATAATCTGTACATTTTTGAGAGAGAATCTATCAATAATATAATAATATAATAATAAAGTAGAAAAGCGGCTGAGGCGGTGAAGCTGCTTCCTCTGGTCGATGTTTGCAAAGTGTGCTTGGTTCGCACCATTTTCCCTGCTCTGGTTCAGAGTGAAATTCTCAGTGTTCCAGAGAGATGAGTTCTGCAGTGGGTCTAGTTTTGTCAGGAGCTCATCAGGACCAGCAGCGGCAAAAACACTGGACACTTATGAAGAGAGGAGACTTCTTTAATGAAGAGGGATTCTGTAATTCTGAAAACTTTATTAACATGAAAAAAATAAATCTGCTTTTGTCTGGATCAGTGTAAAACCATGATCTAAACTGCAGCAACATTTACAGACAGAAAACATAATCAGTTTGAAGATAAACATAGGACTTGCTGAGCTGTTTCCAGAGCGTCTCAAAAGTAAAACCATAAAAAAGATTCCATTTTGTTAAAGCCAGTTTGATCCATTTGATAAATCATAAAAGTATAAGATTCGGTGGGAATGTCGCTCTCAGCGTCTCCAGAAAGCGTCTAATTAAAAAACCCTGATTCAATCGATTGGAACTCTGTCTTGTGCCCCAACAGAGCTCCAGAGGTCGTTCTCTCGGGCCCCTGGTGGTAAAAAAATAGCGGGCTTTCGCGGCTGACATGTGGGCCCTAGGCAATCATCGCCAGTGGCCAACGTTCATAGGAAGGATGCCTCCTTCCATGCCCCAGCTGACGAGTACATGGCACAGTTTCACAAACAGCCTTTGGACCTGTCCAGTCCAGCCACACGTTCACTGTACTGTGCACTTTACTGGTCACTTTACTGCGACTTTACTGGTTTACGTGGTAACTTCACTTCCCGATTACCGTCACTTTACTGTCACTTTACTGTCACTTTACTGTCACTTTACTTTCACTTTACTGTCACTTTACCGTCACTTTACCGTCACTTTACAGTTACTTTACTCCGTCACTTTACTGTCACTTTACCTGTCACTTTACTATCACTTTACTGTCACTTTACTGTCACTTTACTGTCACTAGTTACTGTCACTTTACTGTCACTTTACTGTCACTTTAGACTGTCACTTTACTGTCACTTTTACTTGTCACTTTACTGTCACTTTACATTTCACTTTACTGTCACTTTATCGTCACTTTACTGTCACTTTACTGTCACTTTAACTGTCACTTTACTGTCACTTTACTGTCACTTTACCGTCACTTTACTGTTACTGGTTCTTATTGACACTTTACTGCACTTACTATCACTTTACTCTCACTTTACAGTCACTTTTACTTCACTTACCGTCACACTTTACTGGCACTTTACTGCATTACACTCACTTTACTCTCACTTTACTGTCACTTTACTGTCACTTTTACCTACTTTACCTACACTTTAACTGGCACTGACTTTACTGTCACTTTACTGTCACTTTACCGTCACTTTACTGTCACACTCACTTTACCGGCACTTTTACTGAGCACTTTACTGTCACTTTACGGCACTTTACTGGTCACTTTACTGTCATTTTACCGTCACTTTACTGTCACTTTACTGTCACTTTTACTGTCACTTTACTGTCACTTTACTGTCACTTTTAACCGTCACTTTACTGTCACTTTACTGTCACTTGACGTCACTACGTCACTTTACTGTCACTTTACTGTCACTTTACCGTCACTTTACCTGTTCACTTAATTGACACTTTACTGTCACTTTACTATCACTTTACTGTCACTTTACAGGCACTTTACTTTCACTTTACGGTCACTTTACTGGCACTTTACATGTCACTTTACTCTCACTTTACATCAGTTTTATACCGTCACTTTACTGGCACTTTACGAGAAACGTACTGTGTCACATTTACGTCACTTTACTTCACTTGGACTTCCTACTTATACAGCTCTTTACTGTCACTTTTACTTTCACCTTACCAGTCCACTTTACCCTCACTTTAATGGCCCTTTACTTGTCACATTTAACTCCACTATATTCGCTTTACTGGTCATGTACCATCAATTTACTGTCAAGTTGACGGCACTTTATTACCGTCACTTTACCGTCACTCGTCCTGGCACTTTATGCTAACACTTTACCGCACTTTGCGTCACTTTACCGTTACGTTTACTGGTCACTTACGTGGGTCACTTGTACCTTCACGTTAACTGTCACGTTACTTCACTGACGTTCATTTACGTCACTTTAACCCGTCACTTTACGTCCACTTTACTGTCACTTCTAACTGTCACTTTCCGCACTTTAACTGTCACAGTAACTTCACTTATTGGTCACTTTACTGGCACGGTACTACTGTTCACTTTACTGGCGACTTAACTGTCCTGTATCTAGTCTAGTGTCAATTTTATTATTATATCCATGTTGTTGATTTATGGTGTTCTTGTGTTGGCTTTAACAATTGTTGTGTTTGAATTTGATATTGTATTTTCATTGTTATAGGCTTTTTTGTGCTTACTCTGGGTTTTTATTCATATTCAAATAAAGTTCTTCTACCTCTTGCACTAAGCCAAACGAGTGGAAAGTACAAAAGTAGATTGTGTTTACATCTATGGTTATTGTTAAAAAGCCGTTTGTGTGGTACAGATAGGCACATCGTGAACGGGTGTCACTGTCCATGGTCTTGGTTAGCGTCTGTATCTACACAAAACAGTATTATTCTGTCCACTCCAAGACATGGGATTTACACGTTGCAAAATCCTTCAATCTAAATGTCCAACAAACGACCAACATAGGCTCATGGTGTGTTTCAGTGTGTCCTCATGCTGAGACCCGCAAGCGAAAGCGATACACCAATGTGGATAGTGACGACATCACAAAGTAAGAGCAAAGAAAACAGACTTTTGTCACCTTTACTGCCTCTACATTCCTGTCCTTCTACTTACTTTAACATTGAATATTAGCATTTTTACAATTGCCTTAACCACAAATCCTTTCTGACATTTATACGATAGTGTAATCTCCCATCTACTACACATAAGATCATCAGAGGCCTGTAACCCAGACTGAAGCTGTAGAACCCATGACTGAGCTGTAGACCCATGGACTGAGGGTAGATCTAGACTGGAGCTGTAGATCCAGACTCAACTGTATACCCCTGACGCAACTTAGAACGACCCAGATTTATCTTTTACTGAGCTTCTTAGTGTTCATAGAGAGAGGACGTTTAGTGCGTCATTTGCTTCAGTCGAGGTCCATGATCGACTCGCCTTCTTTGGATCTGGTGAAGCTGATTCTTGGACCCAAACCCTTGCGCATCGCGATCACCCTGCACTGGATTGTCCTCACTTTGTAACATCACCACCTGGCCGAGGGAGACCCATGCTAGGATACCGCCACCCAAGTGATCACAGGCAACATGTCATAGCTACAAAACCATAACACACAACCAGTAAGTACAAACTGATTATACACAAAACGCACCCAAAACTGTAATGATGCAAACTTTAATAATACACACAGAAATATTCTAACACACACTTTGGCGACTGTGAAAAACCCTACTGAAACTTATAAATCTT